TAAAATTCTCTTCATCACCAAACCTTTTTTGTATGTTTTTCTTATTTTTTTTTCGAGAAATAATGTGAGAGGTGATGTGAGCAAGCATTTTCGTCAACTTCGTCTCACTGCTGTTCTGCTCCACACATGGGTCTCTTAATGGGTCAAGGCAGCTGGCAGATATATTCTTGATCTTACCTTTGACTTTAATTAAGAAGGATATGCCCCTGGTGCCCGCCTACCACTTTGTTCAGCTGCTGATTTATGTGGACAAGTTAGTGTCTATACTAACTAGCAGGTGATAAATGAGGACAAATGTTTACACTAACTAGCAGGTGATGAGGACAAATATTTACACTAACTAGCAGGTGATGAATGAAATATGTTTATACTTTGACCTGCACTGCATAATTGAGGACAAGGTCAACGTTTCCCCGAGACAAAGAGGCACCATGTACAGTACAGTATATTACTTGCTGAGTTCCCTAATTTTGTATTCGGTCCTGTGTTTGTGTGTGTGTTTGTGTGTGTGTGTGTGTGTGTGTGTGTGTGTGTGTGTGTGTGTGTGTGTGTGTGTGTGTGTATAAATGTTAAAAATGAATGTCTGTTACACTACATTTGCCTCTCTCTCTCTCTCTCTCTCTCTCTCTCTCTCTCTCTAACTGGGGAAGTTAATCTCCGCAAGGAAACTCAATACAGGCACCAGGGAATCTGTTGGCATAAGGACGCCTCTGCTAATAATAGTGAATAAAATAGTTAAAACACTTGTGCCTTTACCGTGTGTTGTATGTGTGTTCGCCAACATGCATGTAATTACACTCGTGTATATGCCTGCACGTTTGTAAATACAAGCCTGCATGAAATACACCATTGGAGGCCAACATACACTCTCAAACACACACATACATACACACACACACACACACACACACACTCACACACACACGCTGTACAGCTGGTGACCTTAAATTGGGTAATGGGTCAAGGTTAAACATGGACGGATTCGGTTTCCGTCCTTACCAACTCAACACTTTCCTGCCCTGGTTGTGCCAAGTCATATGTCTTCGTGTCACTCTCTCCCCCTCATACCAGGAACTTCACCGCCTCCCCCCACGGTGACCACATTCTGGGGTGATCATTGCAGGGATCATGTGGATTGATCTTAAATGCATAGTGAATCATGAGTCACTTCTTAACACCACTATGCTCCTGAAGCTAACTCAGATATTTTTTTCCTAATTAATAAATTGTAAGGAATTCGATAATATAAACAAAAACATTTAATTTCCCTTTATTATAATTCTATTAGAAATTAGCCAAAGAAAAGCTTATTATTTCCTGTATTCATGTAATTTATATTCAGTGTATTCATGGACTCAATAATCCTGAGGAAAATAGTTTTATATAAAAAAAATATCAGAGGAAATATCCAACCATGTGATCTCTTATCTGTGACACCTATTAATGACATCAGTTCATCAGTGTCCAAAACAATACTGGCAAGTCCTATGATGTTTATTCTCCTAAGATAAGTAATATACCATGTCTTTATTATCAGAATTTTATAAAACCGACATCTTGCATTTTGGGTTTTTGTAACTTTACATTATGACTCATGCGAAGAAAGTTTCTCTAAATAAGGTAGAGGAGACGAACAATGCAATGAGACTGACTGACCTGACCAACCTGACACAACAACGCTTAATATTTTCTTAAGGGGTTTTGGTATGTGAAGTTCCCCACACACCAGCTAGTGTCCTGGAGTCTAAGCTTAGGTTGTGACACTAAAGGAACACAACTCATCGTCTTTTAACCAGTTACTTGGAGGCGGAACAAGAAACCTTTTGGTGGATGTTGTTACTTTTTTTTATGTATTTTCGTGCTTCAGCAACTTAGATCTTTAATTATGATTTACTCAACCTTAATTCCTACACGAGGCAACAATTAGACATCAAGAAAGATTTGGGGTATAATTTTCGCATCAAACACCACTTCAAAAACACTGCGGGGCATTCACAACTATAACATATTGGCTTGGTCTTTAAATACGTAGAATAAAGAAATACAAAAGAAAGAAAGAAAGAAAGAAAGACAGAAAGAAAGAAATGAATAACACACTCGAATAACAAAGAAAAAGTAAGTCTCTCTCAGGGGTTACGTGGACACTGAACACATCATCAGGAGTTCCTTAGTGTATGTTTAGTCAGTTTACCATTGGGTGGGGTATTGAAACGGCGAGAGTCTTCAGTGAATCAGTCCACACCTCTTGTACCTCTTGGTTTGTTTAGTTGTCCTGCTGCCACCATCATCAGCCAACGACACTCAGCAGCCAGGCCAGGCAGGGTAGTAATCTCCCTCAACACACACACAACCACACACACACACACATACACACACACACACACACACACACACACCTTACCATAGAAAAATCGATTGGGAAATAACAAAAAAATTAAAGTAAGGTAAGATAACTATGTAATATTCGATGATAATTCAAAGACGGGAGTTGGTTTTCAGTAAAGTAATGCAAATGAAATCTTACATGACAGTTGGTTAGTTGTATCCTCGCTGTTAGTACACACACACACAAACACACACACACACACACACACACACACACACTCGTTATTGATGCTTGTGTGTTTCTAGAACAGATCACTAGATAACATCTTTAATTAATTCCGATTGGCTACACACACACACACACACACACACACACACACACACACACACACACACTCCCTTCATTCGCTGTCATTCACTCACTCCTACAGTAGTTATATATCTCTTCTACAATAGTACTCCTTTTAACAACCGACTCCTAATGTCCCTATCTGATTGAACACTGTCGCTTCATACAACTAGCGTTAGTGTACCCTCATGTACCAGAAGGGGAGAGGAAGCATGGTGTCAAGTGTTGGCCAATGTAAAACTCAACCAACTGAAAGACACTGCGGTTGGCTGTCTGGTATGCTGACCCTTTATTTTTACTGCTCGCTGACCACCTGCCTACCACCAACACTATTCTATATGATTTCCTCTTGAGATATTTTCAGCTTTTATGCACCTCAGATGAACGTCAGGGTACAGGTAAGATATTTTAGTGATTACTGAAGAATTGTGATTTAGAGTTTGTATTTTAATGTTTAAATATAATGAAGGAGTCTAACGATTAAAGTATATTAACCCCTTGAGTACGGTTTCTTAATCCTTTGATTACAATTACCTGTTTTCTTGAGTACGATGATGTTGTTCTTAAGAGTTTACTTATATATCGTTAAATAATCTCTCTCTCTCTCTCTCTCTCTCTCTCTCTCAATATTGTTCAGTACTCAATAAACACAATCTTTTCTCTCCTGTATTATCGTGAGAAGTTATTGTCGAGATGTTTGTTTGTACTGATTACAAACAAGACTCAGTACACGGTAAACTGTAAACAAAATTTAGAAAGCGATTGAAAAAATATCTATTCCATAAGTTTGAGATTTATATAAATACATTTTTTTCCTTCATCATCTGATTCGCAACTCGAGGATATAAACACAGAACAAATTTTAACCCAATATAAAACCTGATTTACAGAAAAAAGAAGGAAAGGGAGAACTTGTAATTACCCCCAAAATTAGTGTTATTTAAAGGGATTATTTCTCTATTATGATATATACACATTTATCTCTCTTATGTGTTGTTCAGTAGAGTATAGCCTCAAGGGTCTACTGCAGACTGCGGCATCAGAAGGTGAATATGTGTATGACTGCTCGGCATCAACTACCAAAGCAAACTCTATTTCACCACAAGTTACTAAATTGCCATCTCTCACCTGTAATCAGAACACATTTATTCGCCGGTGTACAAGCTTTGGCATATACCTAAGTGCATGTTTTATAACACGACTCCTCCTCCTCCTCAAGAGAACAAAAAATATCTAATATACAAAATTATAACGAAACTCCGTCCACGACCGACCTGGAAGAGAGGAATTTTCGTCGACAAAAGGGCGGCAGTTTTTCCTCCGTCGCTAACATGTCGCCAAAAAAAAAAATGTTACTTATTACTACTACTAGTGTTGATTTTTTTTTATCTTCTTGTGGTGAGACTAGTAGTAGTATCAGTAAGAGTTAGCCGACCACTATCACCATCATGAAGGAGATGATGGTGTCAATTATGGTGATGTAGGCAGTGATAATAAAAATAATATTGATTTTATCAATAATATTATAGCTACAACAATACTGATGATGATAATGGTAATGAATAATAATATTAATAATACAAATACTATAAATAATATTGATGGTGAGAATTTTATTATTATTATTATTATTATCACCTTCATCATCTTTATTATTACAGCTGTTTTCGACGTTGTTATTGCTATGTTAGTCTTACTTATTCTATAATACGACAATAAGTCTAACACGAAATCCTCAGTGGGTTAATATTTGGATGTGTTCATCTTTACTCTCATAATATATAACTTATTAAAAACAAATGAAACCCCTTAAGGATATCTGGTAGACGGAGTTAGCCACTGTCTTTATTTATGTAGAGTTTTTATGATGAATATATCAAACAAATAAACAATGAAAGAATATTATATGTGTCTTGAATTAAGAGTGTTGGACCTGTGGGACTACTACTTGCTTTACTAGGAGAGATAACTCCTCAATAAATGTCACCCCCCAGTTTCTGGCTCTAGTGAAAGTATCATTACTTTCTCATTATTTTGGTGACACCCAATTACGGAACGAACAATACATTCATACCGTCATGCATGGCTGAGTCCTTACAGAGCTCTGGGAAGCTGGTTGGTATTGGTGTTGAAGTCTTGTAGTCAGCTGAGTGGATTTTAAGATTATAAACAGTGTGGGTGTTGGCGGTGGCTGGAGTGTCCCCATCACCACAAGGACGTGTCGAGGTAATTGAGTGGACAACCAGGTGGACAGGTCAGGATGTAGGGCAGGAGTGAAGGGCAGGACGTGTCTGCCAAGGGCGTTCCCCTCCCGTGTGAGCTATGACTAGGCACCGCTCCAGGCCCCTCGCTATAAAAGATCCGCAGTCCCAGTCTCTGGCACCAGTTGCCCACCACAACACCCGCCATCATGAAGTTTGTGAGTCACATTGCTCTCCCACCGTCCAGAGGAACGAAAGATTACACTGTAGTGGAGCTGGTCAGCCATGTGGATGATCGTCTGTCCACTGTAACCTAATAAGAGTGTTTCAACATTCACACTGTAACTGACCGTTCACTGTTAACATTCTACACCTCTGATTGTTCAATGTTGTTTCAGTATTACGGCTCGTCCACCGTCACTGTTCTGTGGGTTTGATCTTTTATCTCAGCTGTATCCTGGAGTTCACTGCTCCCTCACTGCTGTGTTGATTTACTCACTGTCGCAACACAATGTAACTGGTCGTTTACAGTCAAAAACAAAGGTGAGACGATCATCCGCTCTGGCTGTATAATGTTGTTTGATCGACCACTGCCACTGTACTGTGAGGTTGACTGTCCACTCCCGCAACACTGCTGTCGACTGTCGCTCTCACTTCAAGGAGTATTTAGTCGCGCTCTGTTAGTGGGCTGCCGTATGATGTTAGTGCACAGTATGAGTTAAACTTTACCGTCGTTGTGCAGTATTTCTGTACATCTGTTCTCTTCTTACTGTTCACTGTCATTATGCAGGGATACAATAAATTTAGCGTGAGTGACTTTCTCTCAAGCAGGATAGTATGACAGGCTGGTTACCAGTGTTACTAGAGACCTGTAATAATATACAACTCATTGGTATCTGAACTGAGTTCCAGGAACTATTATTTCACTAAAATTTCAGAATCATAATGTCAATTGTTGAATGGCGTCATATTACACACTACCCTGACGAGTCCTGCTTGTTGGGACAGCCACTGCTCGTATACAACATTAACGAAGAATAATTACTTTTCTCAAGATAATCTCTCACTGCAGGTGCTCCTCGCCGCCATGGCCGCCGTGGCCGTCGCCGTCCCAAGACCCGACTATAAGGCCGCCGACAGCATGGAAAAGAAGGATGTAGTGCCCATCATTCAGGACGACCGTGTCCACGAGGAAGACGGAAGGTACCACATCGAAGTGAAGACTGGAAACGGAATCACCATCTCACAATCCGGTTCACCTGAGGGAGATTCAGGAGCGATCAGCAAGGCTGGAGAATACTCGTGAGTGAGACTCATCTCTCTTTACTTCATTAACAAGAGGTCAACATAAGCTCTCAGGGCAAATATTAAACTCCATTTTCCAGGGATGTTTGACAAGACTGTTGGTGCTAACTTGCGTCTGCTTACTTTCATGTCGAGGGAAGTTAAACATTATTTGTTCATCATTTTTTGGACCTCTTATTAATAAACCCAGATTACTCAGACTTTTTTCAGAATAGAATTATATACGTGTTTTCGAGTTACTGGCGGGATAAAAGTAATACTCACTGTCCCACATATCCAAGAATTTAGTACTATATTCCATTCTCTTCATAGTATTATGTACTGTAGTCCATTCGCTGAACATCTTTTTTTCCACAGTTACACCGCCCCTGATGGCACAATAGTGAGAATGAAGTTCGTTGCAAATGCGAACGGCTTCCAGCCTGAGTCTGACCTGCTGCCAGTGGCCCCCGAGTTCCCCCACCCAATCCCCCAGTTCGTGCTGGACCAGATCGCCTTCGCAGCTGCAGAGGACGCTGCCCGCGCCCGCGCTGAGGCCAGTGCGCCTTCCAGTAAATATAGTAGCCCAAACTAACTCCTGTGAGACGATAAACACCCGGTTCTACTGATCAACAAACACACTCATGTATTTATTGTATTTATTAACACAAAATGAATAATATGCAGATCGAATAAATCTGATATATACAAAAGAATTTCTTTGTCTTTCATTTTTGGAGAATGTATCGAAAGAGTAATCAAAGCTTCTAGTTATTACTGTTGTTAGTAAGGGTTAAATAAAGACCCCTGAACAGACCTGGAAACATAACACCCAATTAATGTGTAAAGACGAGACTTCGGTCTTTATCTTGTTAACACGAATAAGAATTTCCCGTTGTTAAAATATCAACATCTTCCACGGGAAATATTCGCTGTGGACGCATACGTCTATTATTTAAGTAAATTCTAATCTGATGCAATATGAATGAGGTAAATCGAACATTGTTACTGTCGTCTTTGCCGTTGGTAAGACGAGATGTAAGCTTAATCTGACAAAGCTGGCCATAAAGTTTATATATAGAAGATAAACCAAGTTTATTTACGCTCTGGATTAGTGAAGATACTGAGAGGCGGGAGACTGTCAGCACGTCAGCCGAAGTAAAAGGTCCGGTCGCTGGTGCACTGAACTCGTCTCTATTATTCATCCTGCCATCTATAAATATGTCAGGAGGCTTACCCAGAATACCAAATATTATGTCTAATGAAAAACTGCCGAGACAGAATTCTTGATACATTGTTTTGACCTGAGACAATGCATAATGTGATGTAATATAGAAAGTACAGTTGTGGGTAAAATTCCTTAGACACTTTTGACAATATGTAGCATCATCCACTTGTGATGCAGGTAAGGGGGATTGGGACTTGGTCATCACCCAGATTTTTTCTTTGTGTTCTCAAATGTCTTTCCATGATATCCTACCATAACGATAACAATCGGTCACTAACTATAAAACAATCCCTTACTGACTCACACATGGATACTAGATATTGCTAAGTGTGGAGGAAATCTTTGATGACCAGAGAATTTACTTCATCAGGAGAGAGGTAAGTGTCCCTCAGATTACGAAATGAACATCTCCAGAGGCCTTGTGAGGCAACCTGAGTGACTAACAACAGTGTTTAAGTCTTATGGTGTCATATTAACGAGGTCTTTAGTGTAACATTATACTGAGTGATGTCTCTGACTATCTAATTATCTATTTAATCGATTTATCTACTTGCTTATTATCAATTCATAATCTTGTAGACTCTCAATCTATAATAATAGGACAGTGAATGTATTTTCTATTTTCTATTGTTATCATACAAAAAATAAGACTCAACAACTATGCTTTCTGAGATATAATGATAACAACATAAAACATGTGATGACGACGCTGATCCAACCACAGATTCTCTCACGTCACTAAACAAGTTCAGCTTCAGTCTTAGATATCTGAGCTTTAGACCCCGAGGAACAGTGAACATCTACGTTGACACATTGTCGTGTTATTGTGTATCACCTGCTGGTAACGGGACCAAATGCACGTACAATAAACCTCACTTGAAAGAATATATTATTAAGGAGTTGTAGTACATCATCGTAACCTGGGAAGCTGACGTAACATTATGGTTTCATATATGTGCATATACTGTACAATCGTGTGTCCATAATCGAGTATACACAGTAAGAATATATAAATGAACACACACACACACACACACACACACATACAGAATTACAGGGAAGGCTAAAGGGAAAAATACCTTAGACAACTGGGAAAATTATTTTAGCAAAAAAAGTCAATAAAAATCTACAAATACATTTTCAGCAAAGTAAAAAAAGTATAACAATTCTTTTTGAGGTTGTCTATGAAAGTTTGGCTCTTGGACATAAATTAATATTTGTTAGATAGAGTAAATAGTTCGTGAATTATTATGTATATCGAATTAGGTGTGAAGCATAGAAATAAATTAGTCGAACTTGGTGACTGTAAGAATTATGTTGTGTGGACCTGAGATATACAACTGGTTCTGTCTTTAAGAACTTTGTCATAGATGGAATGGCAGTTTTGGGTTTTACTTTTAAAAGTAATTAAGATATGGGTGTCTAGAATGCAAGAAATCTGATAATATATGCATACTGTATACATCATGACGGCTGATGAGTTATAAGGCATATAGTTATTGCGTTAAAAGATATCTGGGAAAATAGCTGACCTTTGAGTGATACAGCACAACACTCAGACACAAGCAAGTTCACCTGGACATTTACAGTAAAACTGGTTCAAGTTACAAACACAATTTTTACCCGGTATGTTGTGAGGTTCCTTGAGAGGGGCAGTGACCATTCAGTACGGTGGGTGACACTGTGTCCAGGAGGAGGCGTCTCATAACATTAACACGTAGAGATGCGGACCGACGGAGTCACAGAGGAAAGATACATCAGTGAGATAGTTCCTCTGCACTCCACCTACTGCTTTCCTCTTCCCGACGTCACCTTCAAGAATCAAGGTTCCTTCTGCGGAAAATATGTATATAAAGAAAAACAGAAAAAAGATAAATTAGTGTATGGTGGAAATCCAGCAAGGAGATATAACGAGAAATAAGAGAAGAAAAGGAGAAAAGTCTAAAGTGAATGATAATCAGGTGTATGAAGCAGAATAGTGATATTATGAGAACAAAATTGAAATCAGATATCGAGTGAATCACTGTGTTATCAGATACTGGATGATAGTCTGAGATATCAAGAAAGTACTGCTGTGGTGAGGAGGAAGACGGTACACATCAGTGATACAACGAGGGAGATCGATTCCACTAAACTGTACATAATGCTTTAGTGAGGTTGATTCGAGAGCCCATAACCCGTAAGACAACTCAGGTAAGCTAATGACTAATAATACAGTACAATAAATGTCGATGGTGTTTACAAAAGCACTAATGTTTGGTCTTTGCCTAAGAGTCGGCCGTGTACAGTGTCTATTCATTATAATGGAGACATATAATTTTCTCCCCATGTATCGTGCATCTACCTACTCACTCCTCGTCATCAAAACAAGGTGATTATATTGATAGCTGGAAGATTACCGTCCAATTAGATTTTTTCCCCCATAAGTTCATTACATTTACCTTGGGGAGATTACTGTTCATTTATATTTTGGTCACAAGTTAATTTCTCTGTGGGGAAATTACTGTACAATAATATATATATTTCTTATTCTTTTTACAGGTATTCTCTTTCATCATGACCTCGTTACTCAGGATTGATACAAGGCTCTCTCAGCTTACAAAACCTCATTCCATCACCAAATAATCATATCCTTGGATGATTTCGCGGCGGATAATGAAAAGGAGGATGATGCCACGTCCTCGTCAGCACCTCCCTCCTTATCTTTAACATTAGACGAGATAACACTCAGATATTCTCACATTTTCTTGAAACTTGCCGAGGATGTTAAGTCCTTGAAGACCTTAAAGGAGTTCAGTAGTTGGTGTTATCCCATGAACACTGGTGGTTTGGTGGCCAGTTTAATTCGTCCACTTTCCATCGGCTACAACACTACCTGAAGATTGTACAAGTTTACGAATATTCTCAGGTGGCTCATGACGGGGTACTGGGGGGCATTGCATGTTACTCTTTTGGCCAACGCTTGAAGTTAATGTCTAGTTAAATATATAATCATAGAGAAAGAACAACTGTACGTATACTTATGAAACTCTTCGATGGAGTGTGTTGTGTTACTCATGGTGTTACTACTGGTATGTTGTGTTACTCATGGTGTTACTACTGGTATGTTGTGTTACTCATGGTGTTACTCTTGGTGTGTTGTGTTACTCATGGTGTTACTACTGGTGTGTTGTGTTACTCATGGTGTTACTCCTGGTGTGTTGTGTTACTCATGGTGTTACTATTGGTATGTTGTCACTTATGGTGTGTTATGTCACTCATGGTGTTACTCCTGGTGTGTATGTCACTCATGGTGTTACTCCTATGTGTTATATCCCTAACTTACTTAATAATTGTTGCAGTATTATGTAATAATAAATGTCGAAACTTATTTTGTAAATTCTACTACGTAATAATATAAATAAGTTATATCAACAACAGCAGTAAAGTTATTTATGTTACTTATGCTGTTATACATAGACAGTGAAGATATATAAACTAACACTCACTTGATTAAATATAACAATATCTCTTAGACAATTTGGGTTCAGAACTCACAGAACAGAGCAGCCAGCGATGACGAGGACTTTCTGAACACTGACAAAGCAAACTTAGAAAATCACATGTCTGTAACAGATTTCCAAACAGCCAATCACATTGGACTTTCATGACTAAGGTTAATTTAATTGGTTATGTAAGTCGAACTTCAACGCCGAAGGATTCGGGTTTGGTAATAGATAAAATCCAATAACTAACGTATTTTAGTGGTTACTGAATCAGATCTAAACCCTAAAGAGACCTATAATTTGATGCTAAAACAAGATGGGGAAAAATTATATGATCGTATTTAACGGGACACACACGATTCTTTATTTCTGGCTAAGTTATTAAATAGTATAAAAAAACATCTCACCTTATCTTGTCTCCTCACGACATTCGCTTGAAGTTACAAGACGAAATTTGTGTGTCTTGGTCTGCTCAGGAAAACACACATATGTACAGTATCTGACGATCGTACATACACCTCAAGATGATCACCAGCCTTCAGTCATCCCTTCTCTACCTCTGATAGTTACACTTTTCTCAACCAAATTCCTCTGTTCTCTACATATACACAAAACTAGCTCTACAAGTTTGCCTCATTTACATACAGGTAAACAAGTACACCATTGTTGTTGTTGACGATGCTTACTTCACCTTGAGATTACAAATACCTGAAATAAGTTACAAAAAAACACATGAAAGGGGGGAACTCTGTCTCGAATTACATAGGGATGAGGAGAGTGAGCGTGTGGGGTGGAGGGATGGGGGAGGTTATGTGGAAAGAGAAAGGGCTGTTTGGGAGTAGGGACATATGGGATTTGAGAGAGAGGTGATTGAGTTTGGGTGTAGTGACCTGACGAAGGGCACGTGGGAATGGGCATAGAGGCATCGAGGAAAGGACACACACACACACACACACACACACACACACACACACACACACACACACCTCTGGACCTAGACACACCCACGAACCTAACAGGACTTGGGAGGGTGCGTGTGATAAGTTAATTTTCAGTACCGCAGAGTTTCATGGACCCACCCTAAGGTATTTCCTCTCTGCCTAACACTCAGTTTATCCCAGGTGGTGTGGGTAATGTTCTAAGGACATCTGGTATCATATCCTCTCAAAGGTTGTCTCTGTAACTACCTCTAAAATATGTACCATTCTTGACGTGTATTTGTATAACGTTCAGTAACTTTGAATTGTGTTTTTATTATTATTATTATTATTATTATTATTATTATTATTATTATTATTATTATTATTATTATTATTATTATTATTATTATTATTATTATTATTATTATTATTATTATTATTATTATTATTATTATTATTATTATTATTATTATTATTATTATTATTATTATTATTATTATTATTATTATTATTATTATTATTATTATTATTATTACCATTATTATTATTATTATTATTATTATTATTATTATTATTATTATTATTATTATTATTATTATTATTATTATTATTATTATTATTAGAATGAGACTGAGATAATATTTCATGTATGGGTTATTTACCTGTACATATAATTTACACCTGTTGAAAAGATGTTTTGTCCAAATTAATTAGCTTTAAATACACCTAAACATAACTGAATTAAAGGTTACAAATTCATCGTCTCCTTTCATTGTACATACAAGTGAAAATGTATTATAATTTGGAACTGTAATTTTCTATAACAGGATTTTTCTGTATCTTTTGTATATGTTAATGAGACCAATAGAATTAGTCGTAGTTAATATGACCTGTAATAATTGGCTACTCACTTATTAACTATTTATGTACCTTAGTAAACTGAGTCCATCACTGTTTACACTTACTCTCAATATCAGTAAATCCTTCGCTGACAAACCTCTTGATTTACAGGTTATTTAGTCAACTGTGTAAGGTATCAGGTTCTAATGCTACTGACTCAGCATTAATTCTTAGCTTACATAGATATTTAATCCTATAAGGAGATTTAAGATTCTGTTCAAGCTTGTAAAGTTTTGGTACGTGTCAGAGCCTGTGGTCGATAATAATTTATAGCAGTAGGGTAATAGTGATAGATTGTATTATCCTCACCATACAAGAAGTCGAGAGAGAGAGAGAGAGAGAGAGAGAGAGAGAGAGAGAGAGAGAGAGAGAGAGAGAGAGAGAGAGAGACCGATAATCTAATCCTATATGTAAAGCCGAGGTCAGCGTGTGTAAGGAGGCAGAATGGAGTGGAGAGGGTAGGGGCACAAGGCCGCTCATTGTGTAACAAGAACACCCCCTCGTCCTACCCCCAGCAGCTTCATGTCGACGTTCCAGCCTTACAGAACCACGAGGCAACATTCTTTACAAAAACACTCTTCCGTTTACTTCAGCTGACGCACAGTTCCCTTTGTTCTGTTGTGTGAGAACAGCTGTGACGAGTGTTGTAGTCTTCTGCCACACACAGACTCATTCTTGACCTGGATTTTTCCCAGTTTGATAAATGAGGTCTTGTCGTTTACTACTTCCCTGAGAGGTACTGAATCCATGACGGTATTGGTCGTAAAGCTCAGAAGTGATATGTTACTTGTTGACACATTCTTTACCCATCTAGGACAATGGTTAACTTGATGATGGTTTAATATGTTTCTATTAGATCTCTCACAACTGAAGACTAGAGGATGATAGTCAACAATATATTCTCATCTTAGGACAGGGAGGAGAAGAGACGAACTGTGAACTAAGATAAAAAAAATTGGTTCATGAAATTTATTGTCATCTGGCTGGGACAAGGTGTGTGGGAGGTTTGGATGGAGGTGTGTGACTCAGCGTTATGTTAATTAACCTTGGTCTCGTGTTTTTACATAATTAATTGGAAACCTGTTTATTGAGAGAAAAATAATTTTTTGATATTTCAATGGATTTTCCTCACTTGAAGACGGAACCGTGAGAATTCTTGTTCTTTATTATTATTATTATTATTATTATTATTATTATTATTATTATTATTATTATTATTATTATTATTATTATTATTATTATTATTATTATTATTATTATTATTATTATTATTATTATTATTATTATTATTATTACTATTATTATTATTATTATTATTATTATTATTCAAAGAGACAAAATTTGAATATATTGATACTGATGTAATAAAATAAACGTCAGAGTCTCACCCTCCCCACAGGTGTCTGGTTACACGTCTAACCTTTCCGGTACGTTAGTATGTCTGATGAAAACAACAATAAGAGTCCCTCTGTCTACCTGAGACTCCAAACTAATGGTACAAGTCTTCAACTGTTTGTCTACTCACAGGGGTTAAAAAAAATCGTTTGGCTGTTTCGTCCTGACGTCTTATATAACGAAGATAAATAGATAACAGTGCACTATATCACTGTATTGACTTTACCTGTATATCACACGTTACTTCTCTCCCCTTATACTATAGATTACCTGAGGTTACCTGAACAGGATCAACACCAAGATTCCTTTAGATTATATTACGTCAGAATACCTCAAGGTGGTTCTTAGTCCAGTCATTTTTTTATATATACACGGCCTTCCAAGGTGACCAGGAGTGCCCGAAGTTGGATTACCTTTGTTGATGACCTCATTAGTTCTCCAGTTATCAGTGGTTTTCCACATTTCACTCTGAACAAGCAGCATTCTCCTAAGTATACTTAACATTAAGCTCAGAAAGTGAAAATGACTCGGGTCTCTTAGAATTGCGCTATCATATATATTTACCAACTAAATGTATCAGCAAACTGACCCGACTTGAGACGACGCCAAGTTGTAGATCTTGGACGTCTGCTCACCGATCATGATATTGGTTTGTGTTATAGGACAGGCAGAGCGGACGGTGTTCATCATCATCAGAAAGGGTTACTTAGGTTGACCACATCTTTTGATATCGCACATCATGCCTCTAGGGTGTACAACCAGCGACAATCATGAGTATGTGACTGTCAGTATTGGAAATGTACCCAAAACTAGGACCACAAATCCGGTCAGTCATATAAATACAGTAATTCGGAAATGAAATGAAACGAAACTAATTTAATTTATGTTGACTTATCCTAAAGATCATAGGAGAGTATTAGTTACAGTTTAGGGTTAGTCTCATTGGTTCATGTCGTCTGGAAGAAACTAATCTCGTGTAGTATTCTAGTTCATGATTTTATATATTTTCAGCACTGAGCAACTGGTATCCGCAGTGTGTTCAGGAAGTTGTGTGGCCAGAATGTTGTGTGGTCAGATTGTTGTGTGGCCAGCTCTTGTCACTGCCCCTTGCTGCGTCACTCCCCTCCCCACTGAGCCGAGTCCCCCACGTTACAGTTTACACAGTCTACGGCCTCGACACTCACAGCGGAAACACCAGCAGCCGTCATTCACCAGCAGAACGAAAGCCTTTAAAACAATCAACCATTCTCCATTGAGCAATAATTTAATTCCATTCATTGGTATTATTTTAAGTTTTTATTGTGAAAATAATAAAATTGCATTTTAATGAGCAAATCTAAATGAGAAAGAGAGAGAAAAAGAGAGAAAGAGAAAGGAATGATTTACATAAATGTCTCTGAGATACAGAGATGGGAAGGGCAGGGAATCGGTGAAGGGCAAATCAGGGTTGACCAAGGGCGTCTCCTCGCCTGGGTCAGTACCGAGAAGACCTGGTGGGTCACCACTATATAAGCTCCAGGGACCATCTCCAGGCCATCAGTTTGAGACGACGAACACCACCATGAAGTTCGTAAGTGTACAGCGATCCGCTAAGGAACTTAGTAACCTGCTAGCGAAGACTTTGATGTTTATAAGTCTTGGCAAATGTTCCTGGTGTTCAGTGCCTAAAAGCTAAATGACAGTAATATAATGCGTATACCAAGTACAAGTAATAGGTTTTAGCACAACATTTATTCATATTTGAATTTATAAAAAAATGCATTTTAGCATACGGAAACACACGAATCATGTCTAAACATTTCATAGTATCATATAACATACATAGTCATTGATCAGATCTTTAAAGTAATTTGCATACATACAGAAAATCTACAGTGTATTTTAATTAAAAATTAATAAACAAGAATCTTCTTGTTACAGAATATGTAATCTAATGTCTAGTAATTGGTGTCATAAAACAACACGAATTAAACAACTCACTCGTACGAAGATTTACAGAAACGAGACAAAATTCAGCAGTCACTTTATTACCTCAGATGATCCTCGCCGCCGTGGCCTCCCTGGCTGTCGCCGCCCCCCAGTACACCCTCCCTGAGCCCAGCTACGTCGCCCCCGCTGCCTCCAGCAGGGCTGTCTCCATCGACAGTGTGGAGGTTATACCTATCCTCAGGGACGACCGCGTCCACGAGGAAGATGGAAGGTACAGCGTCGACTTAGAAACTGGCAACGGCATCGTTATGTCCCAGTCTGGCTCTCCTGATGGTCCAGAGGGCGCTGTGGTTAAGGCTGGTCAATACTCGTGAGTATATTTAATGTTCTTATGAGTTCTGATTCCTCAAAAGCTTTCATTGTTACTCATAGCATCACGAGTAAGTTTAGTGAATTAAATTATACATTCTTCCTCCACAGCTACACTGCTCCTGACGGCACTCTGGTGGAGGTGAAGTACGTCGCCGACGAGAACGGCTTCCAGCCCCAGTCTGACGTGCTGCCAGTGGCTCCCGCCTTCCCCCACCCAATCCCCCAGTTCGTGCTGGACCAGATCGCCTTCGCTGCTGAGGAGGACGCTGCCCGCGCCCGCGCTGAGGTTGCTGAAGTCAGGGCCTCTGCCTCTGCCCCTGCCCCATCCCGGTCTTATGGTCAACCCCAGTAAATGAAACTTTTAAATAACTTCTAAACACTTCATTCATTCAATAATTTATTGTATATAATATACATATTGTACTATGTAATAAAAAAAATACAATTTCATTATACAAGAGATTTTTTTGTTACCACTTTTTTCCTGTTATAAATTTATTAGATGGTTTACTCGATATATGTCCGGGAATCCCTTGAACGATCACCTGAACAAAGCTGTTTACTTCTGAATTTTAAAACAATATAATAAAAATGCGAACTTTCTGTCCACTAACACTATTCCCTGTAGCTGCCACATAATTCAACCACACGCACTCTTGATTCTACCGTGTGATTCTATTGCCTTTAACCTCAGTTCTCCCACGCTCTCTGACACTACTAAATATCAAAATTTTCCTCATAGAATAATTTTTATATTTACCTTTTATGAGTCCCGGGGTGGATCTTTCCGTTCTGTTATTACATTCCTTTTTACAACAACATGCTCTGCCAACTGCGACTTGAGATCCTTATACCTTGAAATGGTGTTTGGTACTTTAACTTTACAAGGGAAACAGATTCTTAAAATAAATACCATTAGACTCAGCGTGTTGCCCCTGCCTATCATCAGTGTGATATTTTGAATAAAATGATAAACACAAACTAGAAATCATAGATACTATTGGTTTTAACTTCTACTATAGCTGATTTTGATGACTAGGAGTTGTCTTTTGAGGATCCGTTTCTATCATGCTCCTGTTTCTTGTGCCTCTATCACCCTCAGCCTGATACTCACCACGCCTCTCTTAACCACGTGTTTTGTATCTTAACTCTTATCTTCAACTGTATCTCGTCCCTCTGGTCGATTCATTCAAGGCTCCTCTGGTCGCCCTCCCCCTCCTCCTTCTCGTCGTACCAAGTAAACAAACTATCTTCGTATGTTTTCTCTTATTGTTGTTTATACACGTCACTCCTGCCTCTTTTACTTGCTCTAAAATCTTCACTTTCAACCAGTTTCTCAGTGACACTCTCAATATCTACTAAAACAAGTACATCTCAGTATTCTTGATCAACATCTCTTTCTTCTTCCTCACTGCTCCATGCAATAACAACTACTTCAACCTTATTACAGTTCGTTTATCCCGCTCTCATCCTATCCCCTCACTTGCTCCTAAAAATCTCCCTCTTTCTTTAACACTGCTCGTAAACTAAACCTGTACACCTGTGTCAACTCCTCATTTCTCCTAGCCATAATCCTGATCGTATCTCTTTCCGTTTTGCTACCCACCATAACCTCCATCCTATCAGCATTCACTTTCAACCTCTTGTTCTCATGACTCTCCGGCCACTGCAACACTCTTCTCTGTAGCACTTTTTCTTTTTATACCGTTTGGGCCAAATATTTCCCAATCATGAGTTCCCTAACAGCCAATATATTGATGTTGTCACTGTATACCTCTATCATATCAACTATCACTGAGCTGTAATTCATTTGGGCAATGTTTCCCCTACGCCTGTAAATCAACAAGTGTGCACCCCTCTTCCTAAGCTCGGTATTCACACTGAAGAATTAATATGAATCACATTTTATATACTCTATCCATCTTCGTATCTCCTCTCGAATCCGTAACCGTCCAGCATATACCCGTATACATCTTACCCCAAGTGTTTGTTCAGGACCTCACCAATGTCTGTCTTCTCTCCAGCCGGTACCTGTTTTACTAGATCCCTGAAAGCTTCCATCGTTGTGCAATCCTTCTTCCGTTACCAGCTTAACTAACATCATCCTATCAATAATCCTATTAACTTGTGACAAATTTTCTTTCATCTCCTATTTTAGTATCAATCAAATATCGTCGAAAAAAAATATCTATCCTTAAGCTGTATAATTTAAAATAAAGTGAAACCAAAGCTTATATAAACATCCCCAAAGACCTACCAAAATATAGACTCAATAAACATAGCTTAACAGAAAATTATGACCAAGACAACGATAGAAACTAAATCTAACACCGTCTAAAGTGACAGTATTATTGTTTGTAAATAAACGTGGGCAAAAATGTGGATAAACTCAAGACAAACAAGAGTCATTGAAATAGTTAAATAAAAACACAGGCCAGTGGAGGAAACATGGCCATTGAGTGTTGGCCATATGTGAAAATTCATAAACATCCAAAAATATTTAAACCATAATAAGAATTTACCGAATTAAGAATCAGAGTCACATTTCTTATAATACATGTAAGAAAGATTCATTCATATATCTTAAGCAGTTAAGGGTTTATGGTTAAATAAATTGACAATGAGGACTTAACCCCCTCAGCACAAAGTCATCGTACTCAAGAAATTTGGTAATTTTAAAGCAAGGATTGAGACATTATACTCAATGGATTTCATAGTAGTGCACAATGGTTTAAGTTTTCGTTCTCAAGGGGCGAGGATATGCAGAGTATCGTCCTCGAGGAGTTAAGGAGATGTTCCCACAATCACTAGTGTATTAGCTAAATTAGATCCGAGTGTCTTCCTCTTGTTTATGTGAATTGTCAATCAATCAAACAAACACGGTCGGAAGACGTTTCAAGACAGAGAGAGAGGGATAGGAGGAATGGTGTAGGGAAAAGTTTCTGAGATAAAGAGCTGGGGAGGGCTGGGCATCGGTGAAGGGCAAGTCAGGGTTGACTCAGGGCGTCTACTCGCCTTGGGTCAGTACCGGGAAGACCTGGTGGGTCACCACTATATAAGCTCCAGGTACCATTTCCAGGCCATCAGTTTGAGACGACGAACACCACCATGAAGTTCGTAAGTGTACAGCGCTCCGCTAAGGAACTTAGTAACCTGCTAGCGAAGACTTGATGTTTATAAGTCCACGGAAATATTCCTGGTGTCCAGCGCCGGAAAAATTTAATTACAATTATTTTGATCATAAAAATTAATGATTTTTAGCACAGCATTTAATATTCAATCATAATTGTATTTATGAAAAAAATAGCACAAAGAAACACACGAGTCATGTGTAAACATTTCATAGTATCATATAACATACATAGTGATTGTTCAGATCCTTAAATTTGTATACATATAGATAATCATACAGTATATGTTAATTAAAAAGTTATTAACAAGAATCTTCTTGTTACAGAATATGTAATCAAATGTCTAGTAATTGGTGTCATAAAGCAACACGAATTAAACAACTCACTCGTACGAAGATTTACAGAAACGAGACAAAATTCAGCAGTCACTTTATTACCTCAGATGATCCTCGCCGCCGTGGCCTCCCTGGCTGTCGCCGCCCCCCAGTACACCCTCCCTGAGCCCAGCTACGTCGCCCCCGCTGCCTCCAGCAGGGCTGTCTCCATCGACAGTGTGGAGGTTATACCTATCCTCAGGGACGACCGCGTCCACGAGGAAGATGGAAGGTACAGCGTCGACTTAGAAACTGGCAACGGCATCGTTATGTCCCAGTCTGGCTCTCCTAATGGTCCAGAGGGCGCTGTGGTTAAGGCTGGTCAATACTCGTGAGTATATTTAATGTTCTTATGAGTTCTGATTCCTCAAAAGCTTTCATTGTTACTCATAGCATCACGAGTAAGTTTAGTGAATTAAATTATACATTCTTCCTCCACAGCTACACTGCTCCTGACGGCACTCTGGTGGAGGTGAAGTACGTCGCCGACGAGAACGGCTTCCAGCCCCAGTCTGACGTGCTGCCAGTGGCTCCCGCCTTCCCCCACCCAATCCCCCAGTTCGTGCTGGACCAGATCGCCTTCGCCGCTGAGGAGGATGCTGCCCGCGCCCGCGCTGAGGTTGCTGAAGTCAGGGCCTCTGCCTCTGCCCCTGCCCCATCCCGGTCTTATGGTCAACCCCAGTAAATATCCCTTGACGTCATGTAATCGACTTATGAATCTTCGCTGACTTTTACTTATTTATTGTCTGTATTTATATATATACGAGTATGTTAAGTGAAGTGTAAATAAGATGGTGTTCTTTATGAATATATGCATTCATACCTGATGATTTCCTTTTATTATTCCATGTGATGCTGTGATATATGTGGACTGTAGAACAACTGAGACCTAGTTTGCATTTTATGATAATTGAGCCTGTGTGTGTGTGGGTGAGCACCTTGTTGTTACATTACTGTTACCCTTTGTAGATGGAGGTGAGGGTGGAGGTGTAGGGTGGAGGTGGAGGTGGAGGGGTAGAGATAGATGTGTAGGGAGAAAGAAAGACATGTGGACTCTTCTGTAGCTTTTTTTGTCCAACTCAGTGTTCACCTTTACCGACCTGACTGAAATGAATACCCCGCTTGAAGCTGTGTTAATCAATAACATTCAGTGAACTTTTTCTTACCTTTTGAACATTATAAAATCCTAAGACTCTTCCTTTATCATTACTTTCGTTTTTATTTCTTATTTTCATTAGGATTTTCTGTGAGTTAGGCGATTTTTCACGCTAGTTAAGAAATAAAGTAAAGACTGGTGAAGACGAGCCAGGAAAGAGGACATGATCGAGTTTATAACACCAAAAAGTGTGAGAATGATTAGCCAAAATTCCCAAGTGCAGGTAAAGGTCTGCTGGTGCCTGCAACTCATGGTGGAGAGAGAGACGTGCGTGTTATAACCCATCCTCTCTCTCTCTCTCTCTCTCTCTCTCTCATAAATGATAAAATCGAAACAAAAACTGGCAAAAAGAAACAATGTTGTATAAGGTATAATCCCTTCAAACAGTCCTCATTCATTCACTTTTCATTTCATTTAATAGACTGCATCGTTCTTACCTGCTTAATTAATTTCCGACAGGTGATTGGGCAGTTATGGTTTACCCTCTCACTTCTGCCTCTCACTGGCCAGACTCCTTCACTACCTTGACCATCTTTATTTATTCCAGGTTATTACAACAAAACAACATATGATTTTTTTTCACTGTCCTGTTCTGAAGTTGTCTCTCTAATAAATGTCTCCATCTAGTGCAAAGTGAACTTGCCTAATTAAAGTCGAGTCTTAATATTATTTTGATGCTCTCTGAAGGTATTATTTAGAGACTTTAGTTCAATTCAAACCGTTAAATGCATTCTGAAATTTTCGTACGAACACCTGAGAGTCTTAACACGGATTCATGATTATCTCGTGGACGAAGAATATACGAAAGTGTACACTACATGACGGGATGATTCATTAGTCCGCCTCACCTGAAACCTATTGTAAAAAGGTACCATCTCTTACAAGAACAGCTGATTGACACATACATTACATGGCCAAGTTTACGTAAATATTCCCTTGAAGCGTTAAGTGATTCAGTAATTCAGGACGTAACATGAGTATTTTACGATCAGCAGTATCAAGTACGAACACGTCGAGTCGTAACAGAACACTAAATGGCGTCACCCAGGGAGGGACAACACCGGGCTCGTATCTCAGGTGAACTTGTAACAAACCTCACGTAGATTTAGCTGAGGGTGAGTTGAGGGTTGCCACACTAAGGTCAGGTTACCCACCGTCTGGTCTGATTAGCTTCATTTTTTGCATGTAAACATTGCTTTTGTGCTTCACCACACAGGCACCAATACTGTCCATCGTTTTAATAGTATTTTCATCTCCCTCTTAACTGTGCTGTGATAATGAGATAATTGGCGCTTCAGATATATTCATTACACAAACTCAGCAAATTAACGCATAACACGAGAGAAAAATGAAGAAAAAACATCTCTTTGGACAATGTATCGCGGACTGTAGCACCTCAGGGGGGATCTCTTGCATTTGACCCGACACATGACTCTCGATCGTACTCTTTTAATCAACAGATACAAAGGTACAAGTTGTTAGTTGGCCAGAAACATCACTAATGACGGGACGACATGGAAGTTAGTTCTTCTGAGTAGCCACGTGAGAAAATGTGTCAGAGTTGTTCGAGTGGTTTAACATGACCTTGGAGGAACAACTTGCACGGCTTTATGCCTCGTCATCTTCATTTAAAGCCAAGACGTCAGCGCTTCCTTCAGGTGCATTGGTTGGCTGCGCCTGGAGAGATTCAGGTGACGTGAAGAAAAGTAAATTCACCTGTGGAAAGAGAGGCTGCATGAACTTATTAGCAAATCCTGCCCCTGCCAACTACAGTTAATTAACCAAACAGTAGTGGTACCTTCTCCTCCCTCCAGCAGCTTAATCGAGATTTTCTAGTTCCCACCATCGCAATGGGTCCTTCATCCCCAGTACTCGCAGTCCGAACAAGTGGAGTGACTTCTCCCATCTTAGTTATAAATCACACACACAGGTTGAGAGAAGACAGGTATACCTCTCCCTATTTGTCAGCCAGATGGGTATTTAAGACAGACTGGTAAGGCTCTGGTTCCACCATTACAGCAATACTGTCTCATAGGAGATTTCAATAATACACTGATTCCTTAATTTAGGTTCGGCCTCGAGACTAATGGACTACCAGTCAGGAAAGATAACAACTTTCCCATTATATTGACTCACAAAACTCACAGCACGCGATGCCATCTTACTTAATACAAGACACGAGGATACATATATTAGGGATGACCAGAATGAAAATGAGGAAATTAGTGCATGGGCAGAGAGAGCTGACTCCTGTGTCTGTTGATCTACACCACACACTAAACCCGCAACCAGACGTGTGTCCTTCAGGGTCCCAGGGGCGATCATGTCCCCAGAGGGTGATCATATCCCCAGAGGGTGATCATGTCCCTAGAGGGTGATCATGTCCCCAGAGGGTGATCATGTCCCCAGAGGGTGATCATGTCCCTAGAGAGTGATCATGTCCCGTTACCTTAAAATCATTGAGGAGGTTTTCATTGATCAAAGAAAGAAATTAAAGAACTTAGTGACATTATTGTGAGACATTTTACTAAAGGAGATATTTTTGCTTTGTCTCTTGTACTAAACTTAAATTTTTTGTACGTGGATTGGGAAGGACTCACTATGATTAAAAGTGAACTTGAATTATTTGTAATGCTATATTAACTTCATGCACACATCCTATCCGTAACGACTGGAAAATTAAATTGAGAATGAATAATTATTATATCATAAAATAATTAAAAATGTAAAAATCTTTTTCTCAGCCACATGCTCCCTACATTGACGTCACAGTTACAGGCAGAATTCTAGAAGTAATGACATCACAAATCAATGAATAACCAAGTATTAACTCATTATGTTCAATGGGATGTGGCGCAGTCGAGAACGGACATTCATAAGACTTCTCTGCTTTTACGGTCCCGACGTTTCCCAAAGAGAAGGTACATGTACAGTTTGCATGTTATTGTCATGCAAGACCTATAGCGTGGAAAGTGTGTCGACACGGTAGGGTATTCTTCAGGCAGCAGTGAGGGTAAGGCTGTCTTAACCAAGGGCAGTCCTTTCTCCAGTGTTAGTGTATATATAGTGCTGTAGATAAGCCAAGAGTATGAGTCTTCCTCGAGCCTCAGAGATGAAGTTTGTGAGTATCTCTTCCAATGTTAGGTTCAGTCATTGTGTGTTGGGCTGCCACAGGGTATCTTACTAAGTACTGGTTCCGATTCTATTTAATAATATTCCTGTTACTTTTGTGTATTCTAGAGGAATGCGTCTGGGTGGTATAAGTACATCTTCACCACTTGTCAAACAGTACTTACTACTGAATTTAAGGGGGAGGGGGTTCATGGTGCTACTACATACACTCAGGACTAGTGGTGTTACTACATACACTCAGGACTAGTGGTGCTACTACATACACTCAGGACTAGTGGTGCTACTACATACACTCAAGACTAGTGGTGCTACTACATACACTCAGGACTAGTGGTGCTACTACATACACTCAGGACTAGTGGTGTTACTACATACACTCAGGACTAGTGGTGCTACTACATACACTCAGGACTAGTGGTGCTACTACATACACTCAGGACTAGTGGTGCTACTACATACACTCAGGACTAGTGGTGCTACTACATACACTCAGGACTAGTGGTGCTACTACATACACTCAGGACTAGTGGTGCTACTACATACACTCAGGACTAGTGGTGCTACTACATACACTCAGGACTAGTGGTGCTACTACATACACTCAGGACTAGTGGTGCTACTACATACACTCAGGACTAGTGGTGCTACTACATACACTCAGGACTAGTGGTGCTACTACATACACACAGGACTAGTGGTGCTACTACATACACTCAGGACTAGTGGTGCTACTACATACACTCAGGACTAGTGGTGCTACTACATACACTCAGGACTAGTGGTGCTACTACATACACTCAGGACTAGTAGTGGTGCTACTACATACACTCAGGACTAGTGGTGCTACTACATACACTCAGGACTAGTGGTGCTACTACATACACTCAGGACTAGTGGTGCTACTACATACACTCAGGACTAGTGGTGCTACTACATACACTCAGGACTAGTGGTGCTACTACATACACTCAGGACTAGTGGTGCTACTACATACACTCAGTGTCCTGTACTTATAAACTATTTTTCAGTCTATTAAATTATGATCGTTACTCAGCAAACATGAATGGGAGAAGCCAGTGTCTTCCCCCTCGCCTTCGTCGCACCAAGTACTGTGCTCATGTGTGTGTGCAAATTCATAGTCTTTCCTTCGATTATGCATACCTTCAGTCGGGCTTCTCAAAAAGAATGAATGTGATAAAACACGAGAATTTAACTTAGCATGGACAGTCGCGAAGAACTGTAGATTGGAATTAAATCAAGATAAACATGACAGTCTTGAATGACATAAGCCAATTTTCATAACGTTTACTTTTATCACAGGTGATCCTCTCCACCGTCGCTGCCCTGGCCATCGCCGCCCCCCAGTACGGTTACAACCCTCCACCAGTACCCACCCCCACAGAGCCTCCATACACTTATGGCCCCCCCGAGCCTCCACAGACTTACGGCGCTCCCGATCACTTGCTTAAGTCTGCCGGTGAGGTTGTTGAGGTGGTACCTATCCTGAAGGACGAGCGTACTCAGGAGGACGACGGTACCTTCACCCTTGACGTGGAGACTGGCAACAGCATCTCTTTATATCAGGCTGGTTCTCCTAGCGGCCCTGATGGAGCTGTGGTCCAAACTGGAAGATATTCGTGAGTATCAAGTATATGACAGTTTATACCGAGTTTGGAGAATATACAGTGCAACAAATACCTACTAATAATGATAACTGCTTGAGTAACAAACTCCCCATGACACAGGTACCCTGCTCCTGACGGCACTATAATCGAAGTACAGTTTGTCGCCGACGAGAACGGCTTCCAGCCCGAGTCAGATATTCTGCCAGTGGCTCCCGCCTTCCCCCACCCAATCCCTCAGTTCGTGCTGGATCAAATCGCCTTCGCTGCTGAGGAAGACCGCGCTGAGGCTGCTGCAGTCAGGAGCGCTCCCTCTCCCACCTACGGCGCCCCTCAGTAACTGCTGCTCATCATGAACCACTCTAACGCTGACCTCCCTCATGTATATATTATATTTATAATACAATTAATATATGAAAGATGGTGTGTATGAATAATAAGAAGCATGATAAAAAAGATACATTTTTCTTTCTATGCGTAACCTACGGCATTGATATGTGAGACATGTACAAGTTGAACACCCAACATGAGCTACACATCAACTCAGTATTACACAAACTTACATCCATTTTGATTGTAATATGCACTATATCTTGGTAATAAAGTTACAATTCTTCTAAGCTACGTTCATCTCTATGTTCACGCATACCATACCTGATTATGATGGTAACTAACTTTAAAAATACGGAAGTACAGGCGGCAGTCTAGCCTCATTGTGTACTGAAAATGGCTTAACCTACAGTGTGCTGTATTCGCACCACCACTTACAAACTAGTAAGTTTATATGTGCTCTGTTTTCACTTTTCAGTGTCAACTACATAAAAGTTAAGAAATGTCTTAATACCATTTAGTCAGCTACACAACTTACGTTAAGTAGATTTCGAGTTATCAATCAGGCAACGATATATAGTGTGGCACCACAGCTGACTAAACCATTAATGACTGCAAACTGCTTAACCTAACCTAACCTAACCTATCCTAACATGACATAATATGCTATAAAAATATTCTAAGATCATCATGTTAGTTAGGGCAGGTAAGGGTTTGCTTTGATTAACTTAGGTTAGATTAATTAGTTTATTGTGTATGTATTCATTTATAATTTCTTCATATCTGGTCCCCCGCAAATTAAAACCCTAATTTAAATGATATATGAAAATGAGTCTTGTCTCGGCATGTAGGTAGGTGAATAAACAGGCCATTCACTTATTGATATGCAATAGGAGTTCTTAGCTTTACCTTCTATTGCTAATTAATACAAAGTTCTCTCACTAGTCATGAATGGAATCGTGCTGTGATTGTCAATATATATCAAGCAATTGGTATCCAGTCTCAACGATCTTATGAACTTCAGTCACAAGGATCTTACACTACGACTCATAAACTTCAGTCATAAGGATCTTACACAACGACTCATAAACTTCAGTCACAAGGATCTTACACTACGACTCATAAACTTCAGAGTCACAAGGATCTTACACTACGACTCATAAACTTCAGTCACAAGGATCTTACACTACGACTCATAAACTTCAGTCACAAGGATCTTACACTACGACTCATAAACTTCAGAGTCACAAGGATCTTACACTACGACTCATAAACTTCAGAGTCACAAGGATCTTACACTACGACTCATAAACTTCAGAGTCACAAGGATCTTACACAACGACTCATAAACTTCAGAGTCACAAGGATCTTACACAACGACTCATAAACTTCAGAGTCACAAGGATCTTACACTACGACTCATAAACTTCAGAGTCACAAGGATCTTACACTACGACTCATAAACTTCAGAGTCACAAGGATCTTACACTACGACTCATAAACTTCAGAGTCACAATGATCTTACACTACGACTCATAAACTTCACCGTGCAAAGTTTTGCCATCAACATCTAGCAAAATGTTCTAGAGGTTTAATTATCCTTTCAAAAGCTTATCCACTCGCCCTAGAGAACCGGTCCTGTACCCTAGCAGATGTGAGAGAGTCTGCCGCGTACATGCAAGTCACGGTGCTGCACTTGTCAGATTAGTGTGGGGGTTGAGGCCATCCCGTATAGTGGCTCATGGGAGAAGGTAGCTCAGACTGTGGCGCACCTGAGACACAAACGTACAAGAAATGCATTTAAGATTTTGGGCGCGTTTACCTGTTCACTTTTAGACCGATTCAGACAATTTATACGTACTCTCTTCCGATTGGTTGGGAGAATGAGTGGGAGGAGCATCAGCAACAAAGTGTAAACAAACAGACAGGTTTCATAAAGATGGAATACTGTTATGAAAAAATTATTAGTGATTTGGAATCATCTGATGAAGCCACTGGGTAAAGAAAATAGGTACTCTTGCAGAATATATATATTGCACATGTACAGTAAAAGTCATACAGTACTTAAGGCATAAATGAAATAAATACAGGAAGGTGGGTGGAGATCCTTGGAGTGGGATGGCTCATGTTAAATAAAGGTTACTGAGGTGCTCCGTAAGTCAAGGAGGGAGAAGAGGCAGCAGACCTGATGCCATTGGCCTCAGCGCGGGCGCGGGCAGCGTCCTCTTCAGCAGCGAAGGCGATCTGGTCCAGCACGAACTGAGGGATTGGGTGGGGGAAGGCGGGAGCCACTGGCAGAATATCTGACTCGGGTTGGAAGCCGTTTTCGTCAGCGACAAACTTCAGTTCTATTAAAGAGCCGTCGGGAGCGGTGTACCTGTGGACGTAAGTGTCATGTAGAGTCAATATTATAGACAATTAATTTTCAAGGAGAATCCAAATATTTCAAGATGTTCCTTATATTAGAAAATTTCAATTGCTTGTGTTATAAAAATACTCACGCATATTTGCCAGCCGTCACTACAGCTCCATTAGGACCGTCTGGAGACCCAGACTGGGAGAACATGATGCTGTTGCCAGTCTCCACGTCGAAGCTGTACCTACCATCAGTCTCGTGAACACGGTCGTCCCTCAGGATAGGAACCACCTCGACAGTGTCGAACGAGACAGCCCTGCTGGAGGCAGCGGGAGCGCTATAGCTGGGCTCAGGGAGGGTGTACTGGGGGGCGGCGACAGCCAGGGAGGCCACGGCGGCGAGGATCACCTGAGGTAACAGATTTTTTATTAAATCAAACTGTAGTTATAAGATGAGTGTCAGGTTTTGCTGCAGTAGAATTGGATACTCCTAAAAATATGAATCTGGAGAAAGAAGAGAAATCAAAATACAAATATAAATCCTAATGATGCAAAGTAGTGAGAGGGGGAGAGGGGCAAAATAAAGGTGGGTGACCGAGGGTGTGGTAGATGGGGGGGTGAGGGAGTACTTGGTCGAGATGAGCGTGAGGAAGGTGTCCGGGATGGTGGAGTTAGATGGTCTACGTTTCTGAATCAAGACAAATGACTTATTGAACGAAAATTAATTGGTTTTCTTAACAGCGTAATCTGTATTTAAATAAAATAATAAGCCATTATAGGTGAGGTGTTGATCAAGTATAGGTCAGGACACTTACAAACTTCATGCTGGGAGTGGTGGTGAGCTACTGATGCTCTGGAAAAGATGTCCAGACCTTAAATACTGGTGAGCTCACGCACTGGACCACTTACCATTGTTGACCCGCCCTTGATCCGTCTCGATCAGCCCTTCACCGCCTCCGACATTTCCTGACTTCTTTATTCAGGGAAAAGTTAATCTCGCATAATATATTTAAGACTGTCTTAATACTCTTACTTTTTCTTCGTCGTTCAGTAACCAGACACTCCTTGTGCCTTTTCAGAATAGATGAAGTTAATGAAAGATCATATATAATTAATTCTTTTTGGTCCACAGTGTATGTGTTTGGCTACGGTGAAGACAATCCTGATATACGATATGCGGTAAATGTATATGATAATTAATAATACACATACATATTAATCAATAACACTGTGTATGTATTTACCAGCTACCAAACTCCCTTACCAAGAGGTCGTGGAGAACATAAACTGGATATAATATCTACCTGGACTACGGTGATACACACAACTCCTCTATACTCATGAAGATGGCTTGTTCCTTGTACCTTTAGTAGTGAAACCAATTGAAAGTGGATACCGTAGACATCACGGTCCGCTCAGTAGTGTAGATACAGAACACTGTGTACTAGACCTTAGGTACACAAAGAAGCAGCGTGTCTGGCAGTGCACTCGACCGCCTTCACTTCCCCAGTTGTAAAGTTAGGTACCTGGTTATAGCTGGATGGACTGGTTGTGCCCTAAGATCAGACCAGCATCCCTTAGAACGGACAGTGAACGCTGTATCCATTGTAATTTCATGTGTTTTCGTCATGCAATTACACCCATCTAGTCTGTGAGTTAAAGTCTAATTATAAATGATTAATTTTCTCATTATGTGTTAAATAACTCGTTAATTCATTTTTTTCTCTATGCCTTAATTCGAAACGCTAGTCGTAATGTGATTCAATGTAAAGCAAATTTAATGTAGTTTAACCAACCCTGAAATCCGTGAATTGTTGATACGTGTCTGAAGAACCAAGTATAGGAAGCTCTCCCGGGTCAACTGCCACCTACCACCTCCTGATCGATCCTATTAATATGTCTAGTTGTGGATGTAGTATACTCAACAAGGGGTTACAAGGGGTGAGGACATAGACAATCGTTAACATGCCATAAACATCATGGTAAACAGGATGATGGAAATCTTGAAATGGTCGACCTGCCTAAAGTAAAATAATAGGTCGAGTTGCATGATGCTGTTTGTTGGGTGAGTTTCTAGTTTGTAGTGAATGTCTACTTAAGATACCTCCCCTTTTCCTATTCTAATAACCTCAAGCTATAAATGGATCACCAATTCTATGACGGAAATTACATAACTCAGATTAAATTATGCTAACAAAATTTAACAAACTTCCCAAGAGAGCAAAGGATAGCAGCTCCAGTTACAATGATTTTAAGTTAAGTCACTTTAGTATTTTTTTTTTTATACACAAGATGATACGACAGAATAAAATCCTCCTCTACCTTTCACTAACAACTATTTACTAATTTCTTTCTTGTTTCTTATTAATTTCTTATATAAATACTCTACTTTTCTCTCAAGACAGATTATTGATTCGAAGTTTGTTAATAAATTTTATAAGTCGAGATAGACCACTCAGTGCCAGAGTCGAAAATCAATTGAGGAATCACATAAAATGCATATTAGTAGACTATCTCCTCTAACTCCTTCACTATGGAGACGCCATTATTAATATTTTATTTGGCTAATTCCAGACGATTTTATTCAGTAGAGAAGGGACCCCGTACACAAGGGGTTAGGTTATAAAGCTTCCTAACATAATTAGCTAATCCAAGAATGTATTTACACTGCTTGACGCTGGTGACTTCATACCCAATTCTGTTATATATCTTAGGTAGGACGGAAGTGTGGGCTGGTAGGTGCTGAGTGCACCAATACTCTCATGGCAGCCGTAATCTGTGACACGTATATAGACTAGTAATCTTCATTCTTGTCTCTATAATCATTTCCAGATGTATGTTGTTTTATTTTCTATATTTTTGGCCTTAAAGACACCCAAAACGGTACTGAAATGCCATGTTTACTAATAATTCTAAATAATTCTTTTACTTCTTATAGTCTGGAGTTTCATGCAAGGACATATGACTGAGTTTCCTGGAGATAGAATTTACATTGATATCTGGTCCAAATGTTCTCAAAGTGTAAATAGTTATTCTCCAGTCCCTTCAGAGTTAGGAACCCACACTGCCCATACGCCTGTTCTCAGTCCCTGGTATATATATTACAACCTTTTAATCAGATTTAATTCTCATTGTATTCACGGAGTTCTCACAGTTATGAAGAGTTTGTTTCATTTGAAGGAGTTTTATTGTTTACTCAGTCATAATCACTATCCGATAACAACTTAAAACAGCGGCTCTTGATTGTCTAAATAAAATTAACAAAACGATGGAATGTCTGGTAAGGGAACTGTCAGACGTGTGTAGTAATATCTTCATCGAACACCAGAGTTTTTTTTACAGAACGTTGTGTCTGCTACTCTTCATCTATTGTTCTGTTAGTTAAAGGAAACGGTGTAAGTTGTTTTTATGTCAATATTGCGCTTCAGCGACTAAGTTCTTTAAGCGCGTAATATGGTTAGTAATTGGACTATTACAACACCTTACACCCACTAGCAGTCAACTTTGACGGCCGGTCGGTCTGTGTATTATAGGACTGCCAGATGTAAAGACCTAAGCACTAAGAACTAAATATTTCAACAACATTTAACAAATTATTGGTGTAAGTAAAAGGGAAAGAGATAGTTTATCAATTGTGTTTATTTAGCAATAGAGATAACGTCCACATTGTCTAAAACACAGATGCAATAAATACATAAATATTAATGTTCCTCAGAACTAAGTGAAGAATACAGAGTATTACTGAGGGGGTCCATATGAGCTAGATGGGGAGGAGGCAGCAGACCTCAAACCAGCAGACTCTCCACGGGCGCGGGCAGCGTCCTCCTCAGCGGCGAAGGCGATCTGGTCCAGCACGAACTGAGGGATTGGGTGGGGGAAGGCGGGAGCCACTGGCAGCAGGTCAGACTGGGGCTGGTAGCCGTTCTCGTCGGCTACAAATGTTACTTCGACTGGGGTGCCGTCAGGAGCAGTGTAGCTGTAGATGTATATAGAATATGTATAATATACAATATATAATAACTCCATCTATATATCCTCAAATATAAATTGTATTTTATATAAAACTTCATCAGGTCTGACAACTTACGCGTATCTGCCAGCCTTCACAACAGCTCCATCGGGACCGTCTGGAGACCCAGACTGGGACAGGACGATGCCGTCGCCAGTCTCCACGTCGAAGTTGTACCTTCCGTCTGTTTCCTGAACACGGTCGTCCCTCAGGATAGGAACCACCTCGACAGTGTCGAACGAGACAGCCCTGCTGGAGGCAGCGGGGGCGCCGTAGGTGGCCTCCGGGGGGTTGTAATCAGGGGCGGCGGTGGCCACGGCAGACACGGCGACGAGGATCAACTGAGGAAGAAAGACTCTGATCTTTATGCCATGTAAAAGAAAAATAATCTGAGTAATTGAGAAAGAATTAACCTGGAGAGAAGTAGATGCTAATTGAGTATCTTTAGTTTCGAATTTGTTGACAAAGAGCGACAATCTCAATACACTACAGAGTGACGCGTAACTGTATTGTGTAAAACTGACCTTGACCTCTGTTAACGGAACTCCGTCCATTGTCCATTAGAGGGCAGTGTAGAGCAGTAAAGGATGAGTGAAAGCGAGTGAAGTGATGATATGAGTTTATGCGTGTGTGTGAGTATATGAACTAGTCGTCAAAAATTTCTTTCTAAAGATAAAACATATCAAAAGTAATAAAGAACACAAGTACACAATTATACAGTAAGATTTGCTCTAAATAAACACATCATTACTCAAAAACTTACATTACTTTATTCAGAGTTAAGCCTTATGTTAGCTGGGACACTTAAGACACATAATCAAACATCCAAAATAACACAAGTTTCTAAAATGTTCCTTTATAACACTTAATGACGCAAGCACCGGTAGAGCCAGCCAGGTGTACAAGAATCGTCTCAACAAGGTAGGTCTGAGGAGCCACACACACTTACAAACTTCATGTTGGTAGAGGCTGTCAGGGAGTGATGCTGAGGGAGGGCCATCTGGAGTTTAAATAGTCGTGAGCTCATACACACTAGACCGACTTTCCTGTATTGACCCTCATGCAGAAGCCGCCCTTGGAACGAACTGCCCTTCACCGCCTTCGTCATTTACTCAACGTCACTTCAAAGAAAAATCGAGCACCTAGAACGCGTCTGGGTGTGCTTTCTCTTCCCTTGCGTTCATTGCTTACTTTTGATAATCCTGTATATTTTTATCAGGAGTTTTACGGATACATATAAATATATTTCAGAATTGTGAAAGTTTGTACTAATTCTAGATAAACACAAATAAACCAAAAAATCAATAGAATCGGTACTGACCAAAATAACCCATGAAAATGTTATATAACTTAATCTAACCTTACTTTTACGTAATCTAATAATAATAATAATAATAATAATAATAATAATAATAATAATAATAATAATAATAACAGCGCCTCTATATCTTTATCCAGGGAATAAAAACATTGCCACATTGACATATGAGAAGTTACTCCAGGGGTCATTTATGAAGCCTTCTGACAGCCAACTCATGAGGAATTTCCGCTCCAACTCAAACCCATAGGAGAGCTAACTCACAGGAAATGCTCAAACACACCTGTAGACACCTGAGAGTAAACACACCTGTAAACCTGGGAAGAGTAAACACACTTGTAAATTAGGGAGAGTAAACACACCTGTAAACCTGGAAAGAGCAAACACACCTGTAAACTTGGGAGAGTAAACACACCTGTAAACCTGGGAAGAGTAAACACACCTGTAAACCTGGGAAGAGTAAACACACCTGTAAACCTGGGAAGAGTAAACACACCTGTAAACTTGGGAGAGTAAACACACCTGTAAACCTGGGAAGAAAGTAAACACACCTGTAAACCTGGGAAGAGAAACACACCTGTAAACCTGGGAGAGTAAACACACCTGTAAACCTGGGAAGAGTAAACACACCTGTAAACCTGGGAGTAAAACACACCTGTAAACCTGGGAAGAGTAAACACACCTGTAAACTTGGGAGAGTAAACACACCTGTAAACTTGGGAGAGTAAACACACCTGTAAACCTGGGAAGAGTAAATACACCTGTAAACTTGGGAGAGTAAACACACCTGTAAACCTGGGAAGAGTAAATACACCTGTAAACTTGGGAGAGTAAACACACCTGTAAACTTGGGAGAGTAAACACACCTGTAAACCTGGGAAGAGTAAACACACCTGTAAACTTGGGAGAGTAAACACACCTGTAAACCTGAACTATGCTTTCACCAGGAATGAACCACTGAACACATAAGTATTCCTATAACTATGTGGTTCGTTCTTGCTAAAATCATAGTAGTGATATATTTCTCCCATTTTTGTCACCATTATCATATATCAACCCAGAAAACGATTACGGATAACTTTTCTGACGTTAAATTTCTTGAACATTTACTAATAAACTGACGGAGTTCTACTGAATTTTTGTTATTACAAGATTACAATCCTTCTCTAGAAAAAATTAAATTTCAGATCACGGTATCTGTTTTTAACATAAGAATATGGAGTTGTCAGCTGATGGTGGTCAGGCTGGCGTCCCTCTGACTAGTCAAGTCAATGTAAACAAAAGGTGAGACAGCCGGTATTGCCACTCTTACTTGTTCTCATTACCACAAAATTTAATTCCAGCCAGATTAATACTTTATGGTTTCATCTCATAATAACTTAGACGAGGTAGTTGTGTGGTCAGGGGCTCCTTCACTTTTGTTATATCTAATAATGTTTACTGATATAATGTAGTCCTCAACAGTAATGTAAGAATGACGATCGTGTTCTTGGTTTGTTGACTGTGTCTGGTATATTGAGGGCAGCGACACCATAGCGGGCTGTAGAGTGAGTAAGACGAATGTAAAATTTATGAGGTCGAAGCTAAGCCTCTTAAGTGAACTAGATTAAGTAATTTTCATATTTTGTAGATTTGGTTGAGTTAAACGATGGATACTTTCACACCTTGTATATTTTTTTTTGCGTTGTGTAGCCAGCTAAATACTTTGTTCTTCTTCTTCTTCTTCTTCTTCTTCTTCTTCTTCTTCTTCAGCTCAAAAGTCAGGGGTCACCTTCTTGAACCCCTCGCCGCTTCGTGTCTTTGTCTTCATATTAACTTACGTGCTTTAAGCCTTTACCATTATACTATACTATAAATATGTCTTAGTTATATGACTATAGTATGACTGTTCAAGAATACCACTTGTTTGTTGCTGAAAATATCTTTTTTTTTATAGTCTCACCACATCTGTTTGTACTATATTGACTGATGTTGTATGCTTTATCCTTGAAAGTAAACTATTCAGGTTATTATTATTATTATTAGTAGTAGTAGAAGTATAGTATTATTATTATCTTAATTATCATGAAAGATACTGTCGTATCTTTCATGATAATTATTACAGGATTTAAGGATTCCAGTTTTAGGGACGGGACAAAATAGCTGTTACTCTTGCTCAATTTTAATTTTCGAGGGAAAAATACATCCACAGAACATAAGTAATAAATACATAAAGTTTGATAGTCATCTAGAGTTCAGACTGTGTACTGAATAGCATCTACAAAGGCTGCCTGTATGTGATTGAAGGCGCTCCGTTAGAGCCTGCCGACCTAACACTAGCAGCCTCAGCGCGGGCGAGGGCAGCGTCCTCCTCAGCAGCAAAGGCGATCTGATCCAGCACGAACTGAGGGATTGGGTGGGGGAAGGCGGGAGCCACTGGCAGCAGGTCAGACTGGGGCTGGAAGCCGTTCTCGTCGGCGACGAACTTCACAACGACGGGAGTGCCGTCAGGAGCAGTGTAGCTGTGGTGAGAGAAGGACCGTTAACCAGTAATATAGTCATCTCACATGTAGTATATACAAGACAACAATCTTCTACCCGAGGAGCATTTACACTTATGTATATTTCTGTTTAGACCGATGACGTTACGAGGCTGTAGTTACTCCATGCTTGTGGTGCACAGTGAAACGACTTACCAAAATATAATTCGGTAAGTGGTCACAGATATTTTCTATTATGGTATCTAGCAGGCGTCACCTGCCTGAGCAATGTTAAATATGTATTACCCTGAGAAGTGTATGAGCAGCTCCAGCAATGATCATCCCCTCCCCCCCTCCTCCCCCCCCTCCCCTCCTTTATAAAATCTGTCTTCCTGATGGCTTATCTAAATTTGGGACATACAGGGTTTGGGTGCTTTTACTATTCTAAAAACTGTAACTGTATTCCAGATCTTTCGTGTTTTGTGCAAAAATTTGGATTTTCATAAGATAAAGAAGCAACAGTTTGATGTTTTCCGTCTGATTCATCTAGTAGTTATTCAAGGTAACATGGAATACTGTTATCAGTAACATATCCTTGTGCTCTTTATACTAAGACTTTAAGCCTCTGGACGGTACGACATGTTGTAATACTCACGAATATTCTCCAGAGGTGATTACAGCTCCTCCAGGTCCTCTGGGAGAGCCAGACTGAGAAAGAATGATGCCATCGCCAGTCTCAACATCGAAACTGTACGTGCCGTCGTCCTCATGGACACGGTCGTCTCTGAGAATAGGAATCACCTCAATGGTGTCGAGGGAAGCCGCCCTAAAGGAAGCATCGGGGGCCCCGTAGTTTTGGGAGGGCTGGTAGTTGTACTGGGGGGCAGCGGTGGCCATGACAGCCAGAGTAACAAGAATCACCTGTAAAACAAATTCCAGAAACATGAATCTCTCATTGTAAGTTCTCATAAAAATTTTGACCCATAAAGATATCGAAGTCACAATAAGAGACATAATATATTAAGGTATAAAAAATAATTTACTCTGTGAGGAACAAAAGCAGCAAAAACATAGCTCAAGTACCTGATAAATATCCTTAATGAATTTGATTTGATATTTGTACAGGTAACAAAAATATATATATCGCGAATCAAAATCAGGCACAAACAAAATTAAACAAGTCTTCTGAATAAATAGTAAATCCCTATATTTTCTTGCACAATGAAGTAAAACGATTGATATTAACATTGACAGAAAATAAGGCCTTTGAGGAATTTTTCAAGAAACATCACATTACTCGACCACCTGATTACTTACACACTTCATGGTGGTTGTTGTAGTGAGGAACTGATACTGAGGAGATGGAACTATCTCTTATATAGTGGTGACCTCTCCCTGGCCCTCTACCGACCCCAGGGAGGGAAGGTACATAGTCTATCACGTCACAAGGCCCTTCTCCTCCGCTGGCTCGTTTAATAATCATGTTTATTAATTGAATACATCAGAAAAAAAAAGTTATTTGCATTGTAGAACTTTTATAAATGAAAGGTAAAGGTCATTATCATAAAAAAGGTGTTCTCAAGCATTCAGCCAGCGTTAACGCTTAATAGGTAATAAATCTGTACCCAAATCTTTCTTTCAGCTTAGTTACTATTTAATCTTATATTCACTTTATATTACCTTATCTCCCCTTAAAGTGTAGTACAGATGTTAATGGCTTTCTCAGGTGAAATTTGCTTGAAATGTCGCTTACCGCTGCCGCTCATAACACTGTAATCGTCCCACAGTGAAGGGAAGACATACTATATTCTTGTGCTGTCTCATTCTTTATTTTATAGTTTTTTGTACGAAATAACTCTTGACTGTCATTCCCGTATACATAATATTCATCTGACTGCACTGAAGTCTTTGTCATGTTGTTATATAAATATTTATTTTCATAGATTTCATTTATATTTTTTTACATTATTTACATCCTCCATTTTTTTGTTTTTTCTCATTCTTATAATAACTAGTTAAGTATTCATTAAACAAACCCTTAAAAAACTTATCCTATTCCTGTAAATTTTCTGTCTTCTTGTTAATGCCTTTAAAATAACCCGATCATGTGAGAGAGTAACCTAGTACTGTCTTGCACCAACGTAGGAATTAGTGTTTCTACGCCACTGAGTTACAGTATCAGTGGGTGACAAATTCTCGAAGACCACTGCAGGAATAGTTGTGTTAATTTGGGTATATTTGTTGTTATTTTCAGATTAGTATAAGATGATGTTAAGTAATTTTAATGGGACATAACGTGGCCGAGTGAGTGGTTGGGTTACTTGTAGTGTGTAGAGCTGTGAGGCGCTACGGAATGTCTTTTGGTGTGGGGTAATTAATAGACAGCTGTGGGGAGTGTCTGTCCCGCTTAAGACTTAACAACAGAAGACTTTAAACAAACCAGGTTGGTAGACATATATAGTTTGTGTTGTTCGAGAGTGAATTCTTGCTTATTTCTTGGTTCGTCGTGCATACAAACATGCATTTTAAAACAAATTTAATTGATTCCTTGTAATTAGTGTCTCGTGTTGCATGCAAATACACGTCCATAAACAACGTTAAATGGCAGATTTAATTTGTTCAGTGTTCCGACATTTGTATGCTGGATACTGTTAGACTGATACTGTGTAATTAATGTCTCCCGTGAATAAGTACAGGTAGGATAATCATTATATTACAACCAGCTTTTCGTGAGCCTCTAACTTTTTCACAACCAGATCATAGGGGGAGATCTATCCACCTGCGCCTCCCAACCTGTGTGATATGTGATGCCAGAACCACATGGTAAACACTCTGGGTTGACTTGTTGATGTTTCACGGTATACTAGACAATACTAGTTTGAATATTGGTCATGGTTTCAAGACATACCGTCATCACAAAGCAAAAGAGAAACTAGTTACTCTCTCCCTGTCTCTATCAGTAATTCAGGTCGTGGGACAGCCGAGGTCACAGGACATCCAGCGTTTAAGATGTAAATACCATTCTCAGACACTGGGTCATACAGATCATTTAACTTAGGGTGTGGTTGTTGCATTGCCAACAGCTTTTCACATTTAACAAATTCAAGCTGAGGTATTATGATATTCCCTTTTCACAACAAAGTCCTGATGTCGGTTCTCATAACCCAACATTACCCAATGATAAATGAATAGTAATAACATAGTTCACATCGGATAATAGAAGTCCGTCGCAAAGGCACGACAACGACTCATGCCTGATACTGAGAGCCCTTCTGTTCTCAGCATTCTTGACTACATAGCGATCGTATCTGGCAGACTGACTGGGGATAGTATGCTTGCCTTCACTCTCTGCCCCAGCACTGACAGTAACATTCTCTAATTTTCTGACACTCAACGTTGGATGACTTCAACCCTGGATCACAGGACCTTACCTCGCCAGTGGCTTTTTTCGTCACTTTATAACATCACTATGACGGTCAGTTGGTCATCCTAATGGCTTCTGTTTATCTGTTGTTACAAATTCTCGCTGGACTTTTGACGTCAAGCCATCCTGCGCCATCCATGGGGCACCTGGTCCACCACACTCCTGGCTCACCGCACTCCTGGTCCACCGCACTCCTGGCCCACCGCACTTCTGGTCCACCGCACTCCTGGTTGACCACGCTCTTGGTTGACCACACTCCTGGTCCACCACACCCCTGGTCCACCACACTCCTGGTCCACCACACCCCTGGTCCACCACACTCCTAGTCCACCACACTCCCGGGCATCAAACAAATTATTAAATCCGATAAATAAATTAATATACAATGAGCGAATGAATATTTTGGGAATTGGTTTGTAGTGTATCGGGGCGATGCCAATAGATCACTCGCTTATGAGAGAACGATCCAGTGAAGTACTCTACGGGGAAGACTCATGAACTCCAAGTCAATTTAGAAAACGGATCACATGTGTTGATGTAACTGATATTGACTTGGGTGGGTTAGGTTACGTTAGGTTAGGTTAATGGTGCAAGTACATATACTCAGTCTAGTGGTGCAACTCCATAATACTCAGGGCTAGTGGCGTTACTCCATGTTCTCAGGATTATAACTCAACTTCCCTGACAACTTAACAATTCAGCGGAAACCTGATGGAACTTTATGTCTCGTAATCAAAATATTTCTCACTCATTGTCGATTTTCCAAGTGTTTATATAATGGTGGTGTGGTCTTAAGAGAAGAGAAAGAGAAGCATGTGAACAATATATATGAATAATAAATATGTTGTTTTAATGGTCCCGGATGAATGAGTGTCTACACGTTGATGGCTTTACGAGGTGTATCAGAGAAAGATGACTTTATCAACTTTTCAACTTTTAATTATGTCAAGAAATTAGTATTATAATCATATGATAGTATAGAAAGTTTAACGTATCGTCTATGTGATAATAAATGTTTTTTTCGATGTAAGAATGATAATAAAGTGATATTCACCATCTCTGAGGTAACTCGGTGTGTGATTTGTCCACCCAGGAGAGTGTGTGTACTGGAAAGGTAAATGGTCAATAAGTACTCTCTCACCTCAGCACATGGGGCAAGAATGTCACCCTACGTTATATAATGGCTAAATAATTATATTTTAATGTAGACATGACCCATTAACAAGTATTATTGGCATTAGTGAAACGGGAATAAAACGTAGACAAATGGTTACTTTACGACTTGAAGCTAGACACAGGTTTCCGCTATTAATAATTCAGCATTTCAACCTTACCGGCATAACGTTAGGATATCGGAAACCTAACTACTTGGAGAATAACTTATTAAACCCCCAACCTAATTCAACCAACCAAACTCACACCTAAACCAACCTCACCTAACCTAATCTATCTTTAATTCTCAGGATACAAGGAGCGATGATCATCTTTTCGAAGGTCAAAAAACAAAACGCGAGTTATGTTTTCTGCCATTGAAGGAAGAGACCATGAGATGAATGACAAAATTATAGAACGAGAGAGAAAGACAGACACACAGGGAGAAAAGTTATATTATATTAAAAAAATACATACTCGGGTTAATGGTACTAGATAGATGATAGACTTTAAAGGAATTACACTCATCATGAAATGTAAGAGAGTTGTTAATGAATCCCTCACAGTATTAAGGTGTGGAGAGAAGCGGTGAGGGCAGGTAAAGTAATCGAGGATACGAACACAGGTGAGATGCAGTTCACAGAAGATGGAGAAATGTTCAATATGCAAGCAGGTACGACTAAAGTAAAGCTGAAACTGATGGGGCTGATGACTAAGATAAATACTGATAACAATATACACTGACAATGAATTTATGTCCTGTTGATGTTTTCGAGTATCTTGGTGCTTCAGCGGCTAAGCACCGTTTCTACAATGGACAAGAACTTTTGAAAATTTATATAAATATGTAGAATTTGTTGTAGATATTTTCCGTTGTTGACCTTCGTTCCATGTGCTTCAACCACCACTATTGGGAAGTAATGTGTGGAACAGGTACACCCACGTCACCTGGCTACAGCAGCCCTTCATTCCACCTGTTGTCTCTAATAGTCATGGCGAGAGTGAGATTAACATGTACACGTCTTGTACTTTTGTTAAAATAAATATGAAATAATAAACTGGAAAAGACATACGTTAGGTACACTTTGTGATGTAAATAGAAGATGGATAATTTAACTGATCTTGTTCGATATAAATTGAAAATCACAGAAGACGAAAATAGTTGTTATTTTATAACCTCACCATTTGATTTCTCACAGGAAGGATTTAAGCACAATAAATGGATCCAAAAATATATGTACTGAACTAAACAGGAAATTAACGTATTATGTTGTTACAACAACAGGCCGTATGGAAATGTTGAATTCTTTCCAATAAGTACCAGCCTACGTCATCTGTTGACAGAATATTGAATTGAAGGGGAACAGCCAATATGAAGACAGCGAAAGAATATTCAACCAATGAGAAAACACTTTGTCCAGAAGAGACAATTGTTACACGCTGTGAAACAAGTAAGGACAACAATCATTATCCTGGTGTGTGGACGCCACTCACTGATGTATTCTACCACGACCAAAATTCTTACCAAACATACACCACGCCAAGCAACCAAACATAATATAACCTAACGTAATAGTAACATTGATATAAATGGCATCAGACACACAGATTATTAGGTAGTATTTTGTTTAAAAACTAAGCTCTATGGAACGCGATTGTCTCACCATCTCCATCTATGGGCAAAATAATGAACCAAACGTTGACAATTCCAAAAATGTTTCGATTTTCTCGCCAAACGTGCAAGCTTATGCCATCTATTGGCAAAATAATGCACTAAACGTTAACGTGGCCAATGCGACCACAGTCAACGAACTTTTAGCCAATTGCAGCGTGTCCTGCGAGGCACGAGTACCAGTGTAATTATGTCTGACCGCATGGTCTTGTGACTCGGTTAGTCGCCCCCTGGGTGCAATAAATTAATTAAATAATTATAATGTTCCCAATGACTTTTGACTGATTTTTTTCATATTAAATCGTTTCTTGTCTTTATCGACAGTGGAATAACGGACTTTTACTCTGAATCAATTTAAAGGATTCCATTCATCATCGTAGAGCTAATTCCTTTAATATTTATGCAACATTTCCATTGTCTCCTGCCAAACACACGCCCCCCCCCCACACACACACTCTACACCTGTATTTTACCGTAAAACTCCTTCTCAATGTGTCAGTATCACACCTCTACTATTTCTACGATATTAATAATATTACCAACTCTTTAGTAGCGTCTATAAGAATAAGTACAGCTACTGTATGTAAGGACTATATAGTGCTGTTATCAGGTAATTAAACAGCGTCAATGTATGAAAAGTAGACCGAATTATCTAATTACTTATTAATATTTACAGATGCTAATATTATGTTTATTACATCTATGAATATATAAACAAATATTTATCTAGTAACATTTGCCCATGAAAGTACATCATACTGACACGAATATTTTTCATCTCATAACAAGTGGTATAAAAAAGATGTAACACTGCAATCACATTTTAATATTAATATCAATAAATACACAAGTAGCAGGAAGTCTATATAGGATCCTTCCCAACATTTTGATCATATATAACATAAATTGGTGGAGAGGAGAAGAGTCTTCGGGAGTACATTATGAGCCGCAGGCATTCATTAACGAGAACCATACTTGTATCTGTCAGAAGGTCCAGTGGACTCTGATCTGCCACGGGCAATGGCAGCGTCCTCCTCAGCAGCGAAGGTGATCTGGTCCAGCACGAACCGAGGGATTGGGTGGGGGAAGGCGGGAGCCACTGGCAGACTATCTGACTGGGGCTGGAAGCCGTTCTCGTCGGCGACGTACTTCACGGAAATACGTTGGCCGTCAGGAGCGGTGTAGCTGTAGTGAGAGTAAATATGTCAGGTGTTAAACGCTTCAGCTTATTACAAAATTAAAAAGTTAACACACACACACACAAGCATATAATACTATATGCGACTATACATATGAAATATTTGAATTCAACTCACGAGAATTCTCCGGCTTTGACCACAGCTCCCTCGGGACCACGGGGAGAGCCAGACTGGGAAAGTTTGATGTCGTTGGCGGTCTCAACTTCGACGTTGTACGTGCCGTCTTCTTCATGGACGCGGTCGTCCTTCAAGATGGCCACATGTTCGTCGGAGTCAATAATGGATCGTCCTTGGTGAGGGTAGCTGTCGGGGGCGGCGATGGCCACGGCGGCCAACAAGGAGAGAATCACCTGTACAACAGATACGTCTCTTAATTATGTCACCTGCTGTTATTATGAAAATATTTTCTTATCATGCGTCATGTTCATTATGTCAGGAAAAAACAGTAATTTCATCTTGAACTAATACAGTAATTATAGTCTTAAATCATATAACAGTTAATTGTTGAAGACAAGAAGCAGTATGTTAGTGTATATTATTTACCAGTGCCTTGTTGATGCAGAGGCTTTGATATCAACTTAGTAGGACTTTACCATAATTATATTTTGCATTCATAATTGTAATAAAGGTTCTCAGCAATAGAGGATTAGAATACTTACCGACTTCATATTGCTTGGCACAGGAAGGAACTGATGACTGTAGCGGGAAGGCCGACCTATTTATAGTCAACCCGTACTGGTAGTCAGTTGCCAGTTGTGCTTTAGAATGTTCTTAACGATGACAACTTTTTGTGGGAATCCAGTACTTACATATTAGAGATTGAGATACATAATATATGTTGATGTGGCCTTCATAGTCTTGCATATAATTTTTCGTAGTATGATAATTAGTCTCGAAAGTGACTGTCATACTCCTGCCACATGATACAATGCTCTAACTCTTTAATTAGTAGTGTCTGATTTAGGGATTTTATTCTGGCTAACTCAAAATAATTTTATTCGGCTGAGTAAAACCCCTGCCCCTCACAAGGCTTAGTGGGAAAAGGAATTAACTGTACAGTATACTTTAAATAAGGTTATAAAACATAAGTTGTATGAAACTTCATCAACAAATTGATGAGCCCATTACTTTTAGGTATAAATAAATATCCAAACTACTTCAGTTTTTTAAAGACATTAATATAAGAGAATTTACCATTGAAGAATATGTAATGAAATTAAGACTTAAAGAGGCGCTAACATTTGACCAACAAATATAAATGTAAAAAATCTTTATTTCAGATATTGTAGAAGTATTTGCTAATACTCGTACATGAACACATAGTGTACTATTCCTTTTACCTTAGCGAGAGTCATACAGCTGAAACAAAACCACATCATTCATTGAGTGAAGGATGGGTAGGGGAATTAGATGATAAAAAAGTATTTCATAATGTTTTATGTCATGAATTTAGCCATAAGGGCAGAAGGTGGTTGGGCGCCAGTACACAATAAAACGTTAAGTAAGACATCTTGGTTCTTTTTAAATTTTCCTTGATTCACATCTTCTGGGGTGAGTACTCTACAGTCTGTACTCGCCCCTGAAGATGTGAATTACACGAAAGCCCTTGGGAACTTCGTGTTTTCTTGTTTTCTATGTGGTTAAACAGCATATACATAGATCACGGGCACCTACAGTGATATATATATATATATATATATATATATATATATATATATATATATATATATATATATATATATATATATATATATTTCATTCGCCCAATAAAGCACGCGGACTTCTACATACAATCAACACCTCAACCCGCCAGTATTCGAACCCACTGCCCACGCGCCCATGACTGTGGCCGGGGAACACTAACCGCTGGACCACCAGGATACTAAAAGCAGTCCTAGACTTTGTTATATTTCACACAAAGCCTGTTCAACGAGCTTAAGGCTCCGTGAACCTCTAATGGGGACTACCCGTATCACGTAGGTGGTCAGAGTAACGTTTTACCAAATCCGGCTTCGAAACACGAGGATCCATATATATTTCATTAGCCCAATAAAGCACGCGGACTTCGAATCCTGGCGGGTTGAGGTGTTGATTGTATATATATATATATATATATATATATATATATATATATATATATATATATATATATATATATATATATATATATATATAGAACATAAGAACATAAGAAAATAAGGAGTCTGCAATAGGCCGGTTGGCCTGTGCATGGCAGCTCCTGTCGAGAGTTACTACCACTCTCTATCATCCATGAATCTATCTAGCCTCCTTTTGAAACTTTCCAGAGTTCCCGCACTTACTACAAAGTTGCTAAGCTTGTTCCACTCGTCCACCACCCTATTTGTGAACCAGTTTCTTCCTATCTCCCTCCTAAACTTAAACTTATCCAACTTGAATCCGTTGCTCCGAGTCCTATCCTGCTCGGATATTATAAGAACTTTATCTATATCCCCTTTATTGATTCCTTTCACCCACTTAAATACTTCTATCATATCTCCCCGCACTCTTCGTCTTTCTAGGGAATGCAAGTTAAGTTTCTTTAACCTATCCTGATATATATATATGCAAGTAAATCACTGTAGGTGCGCGTGATCTAGGTATATGCTGATAACCACAAGGAAAGAAGAAAACACGAAGTTCCCAAGCGCTTTCGTGTAATTCACGTCTTCAGGGGTGAGTACAGACCAAAGAGAAGTACATAACAAGGTGTATATATACAGAGGAGGGTGAGACCAGGTCCACAATGGTCAGGTATTAGGTAATGACCCTACTAATCTTTAAATAGCACGGCAACGGTCGGTAGTCAGGTCAGAGGGTAAGGTGACCCAACCTTCTCACCTGGTTACAAATCTTCTTAATTACAAAATTGTCCAGTTTGTACATGCCATTACTCATATTCATGTTGAATGCTTCGGTATGTTTAATGAGACTAGATTCTATGATGTTCCTTCTATCAATTGAATTACAAGGTAATATTGAGGAGGCATTATCCCAGTCAATGCAATGCTTGTTATCCCTCGAATGAACAAACAGAGCATTGGATTCCTGGCCTGTCCTAACACTATAGGAATATTTTCATCAGTTTTGTGTTAGGCTCAGAGGAGTTAATCCTTATCTCTGCTGCTACTTATTTTCACGTACATTCAGTGAAGCAAAAACAGCCTTTTAAGAGTTTCATTGAGGTGTTCTCCCCATAATGTCATTTTACAAGAGAAGAACAACATTAATGTGAATATTTTTTTCTTTTTTACTTTGTAATTATTAAATTCACATTAACCTTTAGATTCAACTGAGACATGCACAGAGAGCTGCTAATACCCTTCGTAGGAACACATTAGCCTTTACGGGTATATCATATTGAAAGGATCATAGTAACATAAAGTCGGTAATGATGAAAAGGATGTAACACTGCAATCACATTTTTATTCTTATTTTTCACAATAATTGCAAGACAAATATCAATAAATACACAAGTAGCAGGAAGTCTATATAGGATCCTTCCCAACATTTTGATCATATATAACATAAATTGGTGGAGAGGAGAAGAGTCTTCGGGAGTACATTATGAGCCGCAGGCATTCATTAACGAGAACCATACTTGTATCTGTCAGAAGGTCCAGTGGACTCTGATCTGCCACGGGCAATGGCAGCGTCCTCCTCAGCAGCGAAGGTGATCTGGTCCAGCACGAACTGAGGGATTGGGTGGGGGAAGGCGGGAGCCACTGGCAGACTATCTGACTGGGGCTGGAAGCCGTTCTCGTCGGCGACGTACTTCACGGAAATACGTTGGCCGTCAGGAGCGGTGTAGCTGTAGTGAGAGCAAATATGTCAGGTGTTAAACGCTTCAGCTTATTACAAAATTAAAAAGTTAACACACACACACACACACACACACAAGCATATAATACTATATGCGACTATACATATAAAATATTTGAATTCAACTCACGAGAATTCTCCGGCTTTGACCACAGCTCCCTCGGGACCACGGGGAGAGCCAGACTGGGAAAGTTTGATGTCGTTGGCGGTCTCAACTTCGACGTTGTACGTGCCGTCTTCTTCATGGACGCGGTCGTCCTTCAAGATGGCCACATGTTCGTCGGAGTCAATAATGGATCGTCCTTGGTGAGGGTAGCTGTCGGGGGCGGCGATGGCCACGGCGGCCAACAAGGAGAGAATCACCTGTACAACAGATACATCTCTTAATTATGTCACCTGCTGTTATGATGAAAATATTTTCTTATCATGCGTCATGTTCATTATGTCAGGAAAAAACAGTAATTTCATCTTGAACTAATACAGTAATTATAGTCTTAAATCATATAACAGTTAATTGTTGAAGACAAGAAGCAGTATGTTAGTGTATATTATTTACCAGTGCCTTGTTGATGCAGAGGCTTTGATATCAACTTAGTAGGACTTTACCATAATTATATTTTGCATTCATAATTGTAATAAAGGTTCTCAGCAATAGAGGATTAGAATACTTACCGACTTCATATTGCTTGGCACAGGAAGGAACTGATGACTGTAGCGGGAAGGCCGACCTATTTATAGTCAACCCGTACTGGTAGTCAGTTGCCAGTTGTGCTTTAGAATGTTCTTAACGATGACAACTTTTTGTGGGAATCCAGTACTTACATATTAGAGATTGAGATACATGATATATGTTGATGTGGCCTTCATAGTCTTGCATATCATTAACGTATTATGATAATTTACCTGGGGTCATCCTCGTTCTCCTGAGAAATGGTACAACGTTTTTAGTTGGAAAAAAAAATTACTTTACGATGGCTCATGCACAAAGTTATAAAACATAAGTTAAGTTTTACGTCAAGAATAAAATGAAGTTTCCCATTAATTTTACGTCCAATTATCCTAACTACTTCAGTTTTTTAAGAAGCAGCAATAATTGGCAAAAAAATGTAATTATATCTTTAGTTCTGATATTGTAAATGAATACACAAACACACGCAGACAAAACAAACATCAAAGATTACAATGACTGACAATGAAAAGACACACGTATAGATTTCAGTGGATTTCACACACACACACACACACACACACACACACACACGCGCACACACACGCGCACACACACACACACACATATATAGTGTGCAGGAATTCTCACAGGTACACATAAAGTCACCTGGATATATACAAATAATTAATTGATGATTCTAATAGATCGTATTATCTCCTTAATGATACTTAATAACCAGCAACTATCACGACCACCGTAAGAAGTTAATGTTATAGAGGAAAACATTATCTGTAGTTGTGGGAAATGTTTCATCTCTGTCAAAAGACTTGCGGAGACGCAGCTAGGAGTGTAAGATACACCTCAGGCTTAAAATTATCATCGAGGCTACATTATAAGGTTGATATAGTACAGTGTATGTGTACTGTGCTATAGACTATGAAAGATATATAGAATACTGCAATTGGTGTTCAGAGTCAGTGAATATCCCACATTATAATGGAGACCTTTATAGCACATTAGTATTGGGAACACTCCATGTGGAGGAGGTTGTTGGCTTTGACATAATATTATCCTTCACTGAGTCAAACTTAAGGTGACTTGCTGAATTGTCAATATAAAACGAAAACATTCTGGATTTATTTTTTTATTAATGAGTTTCTAATTCATAATCATCATAACTACTTGGAGTTTTATTTACTAGTGGTATGAAAAAAAAATCATTCTTAGTCAACATATGTCCAAGGTCTTAGGACACACCCATCAATAAGACGACCCTCATTCAACTCTCCCTCCACTGCCCCTCCCTCGACCCCTCATGCCACTGGCCTTCCCTTAATGTCAGGTTACGTATTTCTACTTCTCCTGGATCTCCCGCCACCGCCCTTTACCCAGTTCTCCCTCGACCTACCCCACCCAACACCCAACCGTCCCACCAGTGTCATCAGGTAACCCGTCCTTCACAACCTGTATTTAGTCAGTATCATCCACTACACCTTCCCACGTTATTAACAGTAAATAAAAAAACAAAACAAAAACTTCCTTCTTATATATTAAGTAATAGCAAAGTGTGAAAAATTTATTATCATTACTAATATCCATGATTTTTTGAGTTATGATGTTGGGTATAATCCAATTTATGCCGCCAGTGCTCAGGGAAAATTATCCCATATTTTTCTGAACGATCCTTCTGTTCTCTAAGGCGTGTGTGTGTGTGTGTGTGTGTGTGTGTGTGTGTGTGTGTGTGTGTGTGTAATATGTTAATAATCTCCGTCCATGACTACAACTAAGAATAACTCATTATTTTTGTTTTCATATAAGAGAACGTACAGTATATGACCGAAAGGACATTTAACATATACAGAGTAACTACAGGTTAACAATACTCCACTATACATTAACCACAGATTTATGTTTTGGGTTTAATTTGGGATTTTCACACCAATCAAATCACCTAAACCCTTTTTGAAAACTGGATTAAAAAAAAAGTTATACAGAAAGTATCCAAGATTTCCCAGGTGTTGCTCAGGTAAGGCCAAGCATTACACACTCAGGTGTAAACTGTGTACAACGAGCCTAATTGTTGCCTTGTGTAGATCAACTGATTTTAATGGTTTAATCTTGACTTTAATTTGACACTAAATTCTTGCTTCATCCCACAATGGCAAATGGACATAAAGACCCAAACGAGTCTGTCTGTCTGACTGTCTCTGTGACTGTCTGTGTCTCTGTCTCTCTGTCTCTCTGTCTCTCTGTCTGTCTCTCTCTGTCTGTCTGTCTGTCTCTCTGTCTGTCTGTCTGTACACAAACTTTCAGCTTTTATGCGGTAGTGTCGTAATGTTTCTTATAATAAAATATTACCTTTATGTCTACCAAATATTATATATCAGTGATCACATATGTATATTCGCATATTTTACAAACACCTGTTGAAGTATCTGATTTCTTCCTATGGTAAATTGATGCGAAATTTACTATATTAGTTCTCATAAAGAAATTTTTCTTTTTTCTTTACAACTTTTCATCAAGGAGAAATTATGACAATTTTTCAAAGTCGTTTTCCTGATAAATGTTGTAATATAGTGAAAGTCATTTTAATATTCATATAAGCTTATGATAATAAAACAGAACTTGAAAACCAATCAATGAAAATCTAGAAGAATAATACATTAAACATTAAATAAAGGAATAAATCATAAATACTGAAGAAAATAATAATCTAGCTATTAATTCTAAAATAATCGTCTTTTAGCAGGTTACAGTCTATTTTATTTCATTTTCATTCAACACTAGTCCATTCTCCCTCACTGCCTCTCACTCCACCATTCTCCCTCACTGCCTCTCACTCCACCATTCTCCCTCACTACCTCTCACTCCACCATTCTTCCTCCCTACCTCTCACTCAACCATTCTCCCTCACTGCCTCTCACTCCACCATTCTCCCTCACTGCCTATCACTCCACCATTCTCCTTCACTGCCTCTCACTCCACCATTCTCCCTCACTGCCTCTCACTCCACCATTCTCCCTCACTGCCTCTCACTCCACCATTCTCCCTCACCGCTTCCTCCCCACCATCTCCCTCACTGCCTCTCACCCACCATCTCCCTCCTGCCCACCCCATTCTCCTCCCCACTCTCTCTTCCTCCCTACCTCCCCACCCACCATTCTTCCTCCCTACCTCTCACTCCACCATTCTTCCCCCCTACCTCTCCCCACCATTCTTCCTCCCCTCCTCTCACCCACCATTCTTCCTCCCACCATTCTTCCTCCCTACCTCCCTCACTTCCACCATTCTTCCTCCTGCCTCTCCTCCACCCATTCTCCCCTCACTGCCTCCACCATTCTTCCTCCCTACCTCTCCTCAACCATTCTTCCTTCCTACCTCTCCCTCACTGTCTCACTCCATTCTCCTCACTGCCTCACTCCACCATTCTCACTGCCTCTCACTCCACCATTCTTCCTCCCTACCTCTCACTCCACCATTCTTCCTCCCTACCTCTCACTCCACCATTCTCCCTCACTGCCTCTCACTCCACCATTCTTCCTCCCTACCTCTCACTCCACCATTCTTCCTCCCTACCTCTCACTCCACCATTCTCCCTCACCGCCTCTCACTCCACCATTCTTCCTCCCTACCTCTCACTCCACCATTCTTCCTCCCTACCTCTCACTCAACCATTCTTCCTTTCAGTGCCAATTACCCAGCCCATTACTTCTTCCCATCACTCTGTCATTTACTTTCCCCTATCATTCACCCTTCCTTACACTGCCCATCACTCAGTCAATTACTCATTCTTCGTTACACACAACCTTCCTTCCTCTCGTCTAATTAACACGACATTTTCTCAGCTAATGTTCACAGGTTCACATTATCTATACGTGAAAGTAATAACTACCAAATTCATGCTTAAATTAGAGTTAAAACACACTCGAGATTAATACACTCTGTAAATTTATATCACATACGTATATATCATGTGGATTCGTATTAAATAACACAGCTCTATATATACTCTTGATTTTAATGTATATGCTGATATTTGCATGTTTTTGTTAATGTGTTTGAGTAATACGAGCTATAACAGAATATGTGTGGGGGTTTTCATGCCATGTTTCGATGTTTGAACACAAGAACCTATAAAGCACTCTTCTTGTTGTCTGAGTAAGTACTGCACTTCTCCAGGATAAATCAGAAAGATGTATCTCTCTATATATGCATTTGTTGATGACTAAAGTATTGACTAAACTAGAGAATGTGTATTTAAGTCCTTGGTTATTGAAGAGCAGTAATTTATTTTTAAAGTTAATATATATCTGAGATGACAACTTTGAGAAATTAAGATATTGTGTCTGGTGTATGCTGAAGTGGGACCATGATGTATCAGACTACTGTATTATATATGAAGCTAATGAATAATATATCAGACTACTGTATTATAGATGAAGCTACTGAATAATATACGATTTTTTATATTATATCATAATACTGTATTATATATGAAACTACTGTATGATATATCAAACTTCTAGCATTTGTTTTCGTATTTTACAAATCGGCTGCGTCGTGTCGATATTAAATGGTAAAGTTATATACTGCTGTTGACCGCCAAGTGCAGCTTTCACACAGCAAGAGTTAATTTGTAGTGATCAACAATAATATCCACCAATCTCTGTTTCCTCGAATTCCTCACCATATCACAGTAATATTCTCACCAAATAATTAGAATATCCACTTGAAATAGAATATCCTCAGCTAACTAACTTAACAAACCTAACTAAATCTAACTATTCCAAATAACCAAACGCAATCGAACCTAATTTAATCTAGTTAACGAAACATATCTAAAACTAACACAATTTAACGATCATATATATTTTTGGTCAGGCTCAGGTCGGTAAAGTTAGGTCATGTTAGGTTTGGTTTCTTGGTATTGTAGGAATGGTTTAGCCTTGTCGATATACCTAAGGTATGTTTGTATATGACTAGAGTAAAATAGGTAAAATATAATCAAAGAAATAACACAAGTTTGTGTTTTCTGTTTATATATTAATTCTATATAATCTTACAAATAAATTAAGCATACGCACTTGACACCTCCAAGCACTGATGTACGATTCGTGTACAATCCTTTTATTTTTATACGTCAGAGAGCACCAGATATACTGGAGGTTGTAATGTACTCAACAGCCTTTATTTTATTTTTCGTAGTTGTACAGACTAGGATCTTCAGTGGCAGCGAAGGCGATCTGGTCCAGCACGAACTGAGGGATTGGGTGGGGGAAGGCGGGAGCCACTGGCAGCAGGTTAGACTGGGGCTGGAAGCCGTTCTCGTCGGCGATGAACTTCACCTCCACCAGAGTGCCGTCAGGAGCAGTGTAGCTGTAAAAATGGAAAGGAAAAATTTTATATGTGCAAAAACATTCTTTTTCGTTCTGAGTCAAATGTTTAGGAGTACATTGTTGTCTATATAACTTCCGCATAAGCTTCCACCGTGTCGATCGTGAGCCGTTCCTGTCCATGTCTTGATTATTGTATACATCCGGTAGCTTCTATAAGTTACTGTGGGGGACTTCAATATGAAAAACGAAAACATGAATTTTGTGACATATGTATGAAACTTTGGCATAGCTAATTTATATTAGTGATCTTCTTTATATATTAAATATACTGTATAAGACCTAAGAATCTACTATGAGATTGGCATTAGAAACTCCCAGTAGCAGTATAGGGAAAATCACCTACACTATATACAGTACCAAACAATTGTATTGACAAAACTCAAGGAAAAGTTATATCCTGAAATTACACAAAGTCCCGTCCTATAGAAGCTAACAGGTCAAAGCAGGTGAGTCATAGAATACATGTATTTATCCTTAATGATGTCGACAAATTAAAATCAGCGAGACGAAGTCAAAGGAGGAGACAACTGGTGCAGAATAACTTTGGAAAATGAGTCATATATTATAAAGTTGAATTCCACGTTGTCTAAATAGATTTTTTGTTTGAGACTTAAATCCACCAATAATGATGTATGGAGTCGTCACATGGCGATTACTTGATAAATACTGGTTCAAATGTTAAGAAGTTGGTGTGGCAGCAGCCAGACCAGAGTGTAAGAAGAAGTTATCATAGGTATAAAGAAATCCTTGATAAGATCCCACGAGTTACGAAAACACCAACTTAACGTGGATGGATGAATCAAGGAAGCATAAAATTGACCCAAGACGGGTAAAAATCACTTGATTTTAGAAGTGTGTGTGTTGGTGGGGATGAGGAGGGAGGCGCCTTCATTTAAACTAAAGTGTCTAAGTTACGGATTCTAATCACACTGATTCTCTTCATACATAAAGGTATGGTTCTGATTAATACCTGTAAACATAGTCATTCTTTCGTGATTATGTATAAAGCACATCAATCACGCAGCATTATCACTCCGTACTCTGTTCATAGCTCATACTGCCAAAATTTCAAAAATTTAATAGCACACACACACACACACACACTACTATACTCACGAGTATTCCCCAGCCTTGACTACAGCGCCATTGGTAGCACTAGGAGAGCCAGACTGGGACAGGATGATGCCGTTGCCAGTCTTCACGTCGACGCTGTATCTACCATCCTCCTCCTGGAACCGATTATCCTCCAGGATGGGCACCACGTCTCGAGAGTCTCCCAGCTGCCGTCCCTGAGGATCACTGTACTGGGGGGCGGCGGTGGCTACGGCGGCCAACACGGCGAGAATCACCTGTAACGAAGACGAGTGTTGCTGAGATCATCCACTATAGATAAATGAAAACTAGCCTAAGTTATTAATCATAGATAACGTTACTAATAATGTTATCACTGAACTTGTTTATGTTCATCTACTCAGCATCGATAACAAGTCAGTATAGATCAGTGTGGCCCTTTTTATTATACTTCACTTAATTGTTTACAAATAAGAGTAAAGTGCCAGTTATTCATAATTACTTTTCTTCTGTACATTTGAATTTTCTGGACATTTCATAAGCTTCAGCAAACAGACTCGTTAATTAGTATCCTGCTTCTTCATCATGCTGTAACTCTACAAAGTAATTCACTGGAATACTTACGAACTTCATGTTGCTCGATAGTGGAAGGGACTGATGCTTGCAATGGGAAAGACCAACAGTATTTATAGTCAACAGTTGGTGGCAGACAGTTGCCATTAGTGCTTTCTCAGCTTTTCCATCTATGACCACCTATTTGTCTTAATTTATTATGAATCATGAGGGACGGGAGTAAACAGGAAATTTCAGTTTCGTTCAGTTACGTGTTTGTCATATAAAAAAAGCTCCTGTGGCTAGTCGTAAGTAATTATATTAACCATAAGTTTAACAATCTGGTGAGAGTAACTGTGTTTATCTGGAAGGTTCCTGGCAAATATAAACTTCTTGATGCTTAACTGCGTTGCATGTCCTCCAAACCGGTTTTGTCAGTACGAGCGTCTGACACCAACTTTCCTTTTCAGGGGTCAAGATTTTGTGGAGAAATGAATATAGAGAAGTGTCATAAAACTGAGGATGATCATAAACGCTCTAACATACACAGTAAACACACAGACGCACTCATGCATGTGTGTATATGTACTCGTATATATTTGCACAGATTCAAGTGTGCATAGAAACATTTATGCACAAACATACAAATGTATACATACACGAATGTGCTCAATTCCATAAGCAGATGCACATTCTCATCCACTCACGTACTGGACATAACCAGATACGTATGTGCACAGACATTCACTCAACCACAAACACGCACACATGAATGCACAGACACACATGAATAAATTTGCTCATTGACACACACTTACATGTAACGTACACAGATTTATACAGGATATAAACTTAAGTGTACGTGAATATATCAACTGTATGTAAGATGGAGACTTGAGTAAGATAGCGAGTAGTGATCCAGGGAACATGACCCACACAGGACCAGTAATGCTTCCCTAACTCATCACTACACTTGGCGGACTGTTAAGGAACCATCACTACCTCTTGTAACCTCAACATCTCGTCAGTATTGGTAATAATAGTGTCCTGGTACACAGCAGAGCGGCCAGAATAGTGAGTATGGTGAAAATTCTAGGTAGGTGACGGGATAAGAATGCATAATTCCCAATAACATCAAAATCATACTAAGACTCTTCATTACCGAGAAAGTTTCGTTTAATATCAGTTAAAAAAAAAGACAAAAAATAATTATGCTATACATAGTTCTGTCTGATGTTAAATGAATCTAATCTAACCTAACTTATCTTAACCCAATTTAACCTAAGCCAAAGTATCCTATTAATCTAATCTTACGTAGCCTAATCAAACCCATTTTTAATCTTACCTAACTTTACCCTAATCTAGTCTAACATTCAAATCAGTGAACCATGAAAGCCATAAATCTTTGGGCACAATAAGAAAAGAAAAGAATAATCATCAGATATTTTTCCCTCTCTTATAATGAGGATGTTTTCCCGTCCCTTGGAACAAAGAATTGGGGACATCTTCACACGCCTACTTACGTCTAACAGGATGTCTGAATATTACAACACCACAAAGTCATGACGTGCATATTCTATCCTAATAAACACACTAATTATCAACACCTAACAGTTAAGAGAGATACATCTGTGAGGTTAACTGGAAGAAATTAATCCAGACTGTAAAGCTGTTAAGACCACTCCATCACTAAACACTTCCCGCGTATATAACCTGACCTCTTCAACCGCGTCTTTGGCTGAGTCAGCGGTGCAACAAACAAGTTTTTGTCCGCTGTCTCTCTCATCTTTATTGACGAGAATATTATTACAGCTATTTCTTCTTTATTATTCCTCTTCTTCTGTGCTTTTATTCTATTCTTGGGGATTACTATAAATATATGTGATATTCTTTTGTATAGCAATAACCTTACAGCCATTACTAGCTCAGAAATATTATAATGCGCATTTAATATTTTTATATTATGCAGTGTAATAATTAAAAGTTATATAAAACACGGTTAGAAATCTATCTATCTATCTATCTATCTTTAATTCTTGATGAAAATAATAACAAACAAATACTCTTTTAATTCCATCTCCATAAAAAAATACCAAAACCAGCCAAGAAAAATAAAAAGGATATTAGTATAAAGATGAATCATTTAAGTATTCAAGTAATGTGTTTAGTGCTGGTGTTAAACCTATCTTACCTCAAAAGGTGTAGAGTTACCATACTATGTTGTTTAATATCCATGAGAGGTCTCTTCTGAATACAAAGGTTCAGCCATAAAAAAGTTTTAAAGCTGCTTAACTGTACACAGACAACTATCTCTTTGAAGTGAAATAAGACATCTTTATCCTGTGTGTATGTGTGTGTGTGTGTGTGTGCAACCAATTTCAGGACAAAAATAATTAGTAGGTATATATATTGAGGACTAGCAGTACTAACGTATATAATTATTGCTAGTCGTGCTATTATATTTACTAAGGGCTAGTGGCACTACTGCAAAATTATGCACTGTAAAAATGATAAGGTTTAAATTGAGTATTTTAGGCAAAAAAGGGCATATTTACTGCAAAATACACCTTGATATTTAGAATACCCCTTATCGGACATACTGTAGGGTATAATGTTCCTATATTATCGTCCTGCTGGTAATATTTTTATGTTTCTCTCCCTTGACATCAACGATTCATTCTTTATGAAATGTTGGAATATAACACTGAGTGTGTAACCAAACCTCAATAACCATATTTTCTTCACATGAGCTTAAGTCCTTTACATTAATTTATTAGAATTGTTACGAACCCCGCCACCAATTGTCATGATCTACCTACCCAGCACTACGAACCACGCCATCTATTGTCCTGATCTACCTACCCAGCACCACGAGCAACGCCATCTAGGGACGAAACACGAGTATGACTCGTCTTAGTTACCACTCCGGGGTTTCCCTTCTCCATATCCTGGTTGTTGCGTCACCTCCTCAAAGTCTTCTTTGTCAGCTCCAATTCGAGGAGAGAGCAGTTCACTCTGGGAAGTGACCACAGGATCACCTATCATGGAAACCTACGGCACAGTGACTACCTACCGTCTTCTACAATACTCAGCCTTACTCGTCAGCCATCTCAGCTCCGCACTTAAGTATTTGTAATCTTATATTGCCTCCCCCACGTCCACTTGCTTCAAAATTGTGTATGTTGTATAAATATGTATATACTGTTAATGTTTAGGTTAAGTATGGTTAAGGGTAAATTATAGATAGCTGAATATTTTGGTTAAGGAATTCATGGTACTTTATTATACACAACAAAAACTCGCATCCTTTGTCTACCCTTTTATAGTCCGATTGTCTTTGTTTTTTGTTGTTGTTGCCTGTTGGGATCTGGGTAGACTTTTAACTATATTCTAAATCCCCAACTCGTAACAGAATACAATTAATTTTATCTCGACATATGGCATAAATACCCATTAGGTTGCCAGATACCACTTCCATCCCACCAAGAGTTTTGATGACACGACACACACTGCTTCTGCTAATTTACTTTATAAATTATTGAGCTGAAAAGGTTATTTGGGATAGAAAATTAGTTCTGATTAATTAGATGTGTTACTTGGGTCATCTCAGGGTTTATGGGTAATTATATAACCTTAAAGGGTTGGCCATTAGGGTCACTCAAAGACCATGTGTCATACCTACTTTGTTTTAAAGTGTTCTCAGGACTAGTGGTGCTACTACATACACTCAGGACTAGTGGTGCTACTACATACACTCAGGACTAGTGGTGTTACTACATACACTCAGGACTAGTGGTGCTACTACATACACTCAGGACTAGTGGTGCTACTACATACACTCAGGACTAAGTGTTGCTACTACATACACTCCAGGACTAGTGGTGCTACTACATACACTCAGGACTAGCGGTGCTACTACATACACTCAGGACTAGCGGTGCTACTACATACACTCAGGACTAGCGGTGCTACTACATACACTCAGGACTAGCGGTGCTACTACATACACTCAGGACTAGCGGTGCTACTACATACACTCAGGACTAGTGGTGCTACTACATACACTCAGGACTAGTGGTGCTACTACATACACTCAGGACTAGTGGTGCTACTACATACACTCAGGACTAGTGGTGCTACTACATACACTCAGGACTAGTGGTGCTACTACATACACTCAGGACTAGTGGTGCTACTACATACACTCAGGACTAGTGGTGCTACTACATACACTCAGGACTAGTGGTGCTACTACATACACTCAGGACTAGTGGTGCTACTACATACACTCAGGACTAGTGGTGCTACTACATACACTCAGGACTAGTGGTGCTACTACATACACTCAGGACTAGTGGTGCTACTACATACACTCAGGACTAGTGGTGCTACTACCTACACACAGGACTAGTGGTGCTACTACATACACTCAGGACTAGTGGTGCTACTACATACACTCAGGACTAGTGGTGCTACTACATACACTCAGGACTAGTGGTGCTACTACATACACTCAGGACTAGGGGTGCTACTACATACACTCAGGACTAGTGGTGCTACTACATACACTCAGGACTAGTGGTGCTACTACATACACTCAGGACTAGTGGTGCTACTACATACACTCAGGACTAGTGGTGCTACTACATACACTCAGGACTAGTGGTGCTACTACATACACTCAGGACTAGTGGTGCTACTACATACACTCAGGACTAGTGGTGCTACTACATACACTCAGGACTAGTGGTGCTACTACATACACTCAGGACTAGTGGTGCTACTACATACACTCGGGACCTTAATTCGTACACCGCCTATCTGAGGTGTTATGTTTTACGTATTTGTTTACATTTAACATGAAGGAGTCGTCAATGAAGTTTAGTATGATGGAAAAGTTTTTCATGAACTTCTCGTAAAACTACTTAAAGTTATGAAGGCTTTCAGCATAAGACGGTGGACTGTGAGGAACTAATATACATCAGTGTAATAAGAAAAATTATGATCTGTTAGTTGCTACCCGACCACCTGTATTCTCCAACAAGATATTTCCAATAAGGTAAGTTGTATGTAGCTTATGGGAGTCTGCCCGTGTGTGTCTGTGTTGTCTTTATGCATATCCACAATTTTGAAGATAGATAACTGAAATTTGGTAGGGAGGTGCGGGTAGCCTTAGAAATGATAGTGTAGTGGATGTAGTTTAGCTGATAATGTACCCACGGAAATAGGCTGCAAGTTGTCTCTCAGAAACAAGCCATGGCAACCCCGGGTACCCCAGTGCATGGTGTTACACCTCCAGGAACAACGGAGGTTGAATGCTGTCAAGTCAGTTTCTGTCGTCTGTAGTAGCCTGACGGGTATAGTCGCTTGTTGGGCACCTTGTAATATAAGGAGAGTATTCATTGTATGTTATTTATGTATTTTCTTTCAAGCATTTCAACAATGAGGAAATATTTATACAACATTTATAATCTTACATTTTACTCAGTTATTCATAAATAGACAAATATACAGAGAAAGCTAACTGCTTGTTTTTTCACATAATGAGATGAAATTATCGTGCACCATATCGGCTGGAGGGCGCCTTGGACTGGCCACGGTCGCGGGCAGCGTCTTCCTCAGCGGCGAAGGCGATCTGGTCCAGCACGAACTGAGGGATTGGGTGGGGGAACTCGGGAGCCACTGGTAGCAGGTCAGACTGGGGCTGGTAGCCGTTTTCGTCGGCGACGAACTTCACGTAAACTGGGGTGCCGTCAGGAGCAGTGTAGCTGTGATAAGAGAGGAAGAAATGAATTTCATATACAGTACAGGTGAAATATTTCTGCTTCATTTAAAACATAAATTATGACGCATGAGAAAAAGAGATTTGCATTGATACTCACGAGTATTCCCCGGCCTTGACCACAGCTCCTGTGGGACCTCGGGGAGAGCCAGACTGTGACAGGGTGATGCCGTTGCCAGTCTGTACCTCGATATTGTACCTGCCGTCGTCTTCTCGGACACGGTCGTCCCTCAAGATGGCGACCACCTCGTGGGAGTCATCACCATAGCGAGAGGGAGAAGGGGTGCCGTACTGGGGGAGAGCTGTGGCCACAGTGGCCACGGCGGCGAGAATCACCTGTATAATACACACGCCAGTTTAGTTAAATTCAGAGCTTTTGTATCCCACAATATAACCTATCATTTGAAACCTCCAGAACACACTAATTCTGTACAATTTACCTGTGAAACCACTTCACTTTGACATGTTCGTCTTCATAACTAATTCCCTCTGGTTTTCATGAACAAATATGAAGAGTTGATTCAAAACCAATTACTTTTTTTCCGTAAGATTAGGCTCCAGTGAACTGTAAGTGGTTATGCATATAATTTATCCTCGAGATTAACTAATTGTAAATTATCACACATTCTTTATATTTTAAATTAGACTTGTCCTGTAAATAGTTTGTATATGAACTGTACTTACGAAGTGCATGTTGTTTGATGCTTGGTACTAGAGGGTACTGGTGGCTCTGTCATCAAGAACATCAGTATTTATAGGCAAACATCGTGTGACGTTGACAAAGTTGCCAGTTGTGGTCTGTATCTGATGTCCCTCCTTAACCAGTTTTTACATTCACCTACTTTTAAGATAATTGTCACAAGGTTACATTAATTAAGTTACAATGTATTACCCTCATGTCTTCCGATAAGTCTCCTGCTAATTAATGCTGCAAAGTCATGGTGTTTGCTATTAAATAACATAGCATGCAGTTTGTTGGTAAAGAATTGCAGGTGACCTCAGACTACCTCGAATAACAAAGGATCATTAAGGCTGGGCAGTCTACCATCAACCTCTAAAACCACTTTTTATGCCCAGGCATTATTTGCTCACTTTCATCTAATTAGTCATATGGGATAATGATGGTCTCTCTCTCTCTCTCTCTCTCTCTCTCTCTCTCCCCTCAGTGACTCTCAATTTCCTTCTAAATTTCTGAGGTCTAGCCGATAATGATTTAGTGGTACCAAAGTCTATTATGCGAAGATTTATTATCACCAGTAAGAGCGGGCATGGACGTGGTGGTAGTGGTGGTGGTGGTGGTGGTGGTGAATTTGCTGCTGGTGAATTTGCTGCTGGTGGTTGTGGTGGTGGTGATGGTGGTAGTGATGAAGGGTATCGGCTCACAGTTGTGTTAGATTCTCAAAAGACAAAATGAAAACAGAGCAACACACTGAGGGGCATTGAAATTGCAAAATCAAAATACTTCTTGAACAGGATCTTTCTTAACCATGACTATTACAAAACTAATTATCTCAGCAGCAGTATTTTTTTTTTTTAGTCCAAGGTGACAATTATCGGCTGTCTACCACGACTCTCTCCCTCACTCCAGCCAGGCGTCTATACCTGCTGCTGGGGTCGTCTGGGGACCTACATGATCCTTATCACTTGGAGACGTAAAATGAGACATTTGATAGTCGCCGCCGAGTGATATGTAAAGAGTCCTCGATTGATCCTATTTATATTTTTCTGTGACTAAAATTCGACAAGATTAAGATAATGACTAATTACCATCTAAGAGAAAAAAAAAATATTAATAATAATAACACCGAGGTTCACACGTCCTGTGGTTGCAATGGTCAGCATCCTCGCCCCACAAGTGAGGCCGCAGGTGGATGGGGCGTCAAGTCTACGCTGTAACGTCATGCACGAGTAGGGTCTCGGGTGTGGGGCAGACCTCCTCTTCTATCGGCCTTGTGTATACCCAGCAGTAATTGTAAACTTGAATGTCAATCGTTTTTTGCGGATCGTGTTCCGGGGTAATGGTTAACCAGTGCAGTTGACGAGTTGTCCGGCCTTCTTGAATAATTTCTTGACACTGGACCATACAGCTCTTTAACCTAGCTCCTAGGGCGTGGCTGTTGTGTGGCGGCATCATTTACACCTTAAACAAAATGATGCCTTGTTGTCCCTTGGGCCGACTATCCTCGAACACGAGAGGCAATCATTGCAAGTGTGAGAGTTGTTGCTGTCTTCACCCTCGAGCTGAGGTGAAGACGCATTGTAGATTTGAGCGTAACTTATAATTATACAGCCTCGACCTTGAGAAGCCTATGACCTGAAGAAGGACTGGGAGAGCCAAGAAACAAGTTTATTGACGATTATTTACTTCATAAAATGGGATGATTAACGTACACGTCCCCAGGTGGTAAAAGAACCCCGTCACACCTCCTAGGGTGACCTCAGACTCACACAACATAATTACATTTAAAACTAAAAATCTTCAAATTTTCTGGACTGTCTCTTTGCTTTCGTAAACCTGTATGATTTGTAGAGTTCAGAAAATATTTGTCTGATTTACCTGTGCGTCTCCCTAAATTATGTCACCACTCTATCATCAGACTCGTATGATGACAAAGCTTGATTGGTTTTAGAAATTTATTTAATGATCTTCGTACCATTTAATGTTTGATACTGTAAATATACGTAAAAGAGGTGTACTGTATTTGTTGATTATGTAAATTGACGGAAAAATTAAGAATATCTAACTTTATGGTCGTAACTTTGTAATGTTCTTTGAAAGTTAATTTCTTGAGTATTTTTCCCAAGACAAAACCAGAGATGTGATATAATGACTGGTCTTCCATGTTGGCCAAAACTATATCACGCCTATGTTGTTATTTTTCCCACTTAGTAAAATTTTATATAAACCGAAAGAGACAAACAATGGTAGTGGACATATTACCATAAAGCGACTACATGGACTCGGTATTTTGCTGTGAGATTACTTACAAGACCAACCTAATCTGACCTAACATAACCTGACCTAACTTAATGATCTTGGAGTAAGTTTAGAAAGGTTGGGTTAGATTTGGTTGGTTTGGTTTTTTATGAACTTCACAACAACTTGAGAAAAATTTCCTTCAGCTTATTTGCTTTTTAATTAACCTGCAATAATAAGCATTTTCATAATTCTTATGATTATAATTACAGAACACAACTATTACAACAATAATAATTACTGAATAAAATGAATGGTGGGTGAATAATTGTGTCTGGTACAGCGGTTAAGGCTTCAAGAAAATATAACCATCGTTGCTTTATATATTAGTCTCCAGGGATGATGAGGTTTACATGGCAGATGGTAATGAAAATACGAAGTTTACTGCATTACGTATATTAATATATGTATATATATATGTGTATGTATTTACATTCACAAATACAAAATAATAAATACAAAATATTTGTATATCTCCACTTAATGGATACAACTGTTTTCGACTTAACACAAAATTTCTTGGGTAAGGTCACTGAAATAGTGTAAGTCATAAACTTTTTCTCGGTTGACGAAATTTTCACTGAGGACCGCCGTGTGCACCAGAGGGTGCGGCCAACTTGCCAGGAGCGCAGGCAGCGTCTTCCTCAGCAAACTTTCCATCGTCAGGAAAGGTCATACTTTAATCATCGTAGCTGTAGCGGCGAGGTTCCTCTGTAGCAGCGAAGGCGATCTGGTCCAGCACGAACTGAGGGATTGGGTGGGGGAACTCGGGAGCCACTGGCAGCAGGTCAGACTGGGGCTGGTAGCCGTTCTCGTCGGCGACGAACTTCACAACGACGGGAGTGCCGTCAGGAGCAGTGTAGCTAAGGATAAGAGTTTGAAGAGTTTTAAAATCTAAATACAAATTCACGTTATACATTTCACATTCAATCCAACTGCATTTTTATCATTGCCCAAAATACGAAGGTTTACCTAATAAGGCAAAATACTCACGAGTATTGTCCAGCCTTGACCACAGCTCCATCAGGGCCACTGGGAGAGCCAGACTGAGACAGGATGATGCCGTTGTCAGTCTCCACGTCGACGCTGTATCTGCCGTCCTCCTCGTGAACACGGTCGTCCCTTATGATGGCTGCATGTTCAAGGGAGTCAGTGTAGCGAGGAGGAGCGGCGTACTGTGGGGCGGCGGTGGCAACGGCGGCCAGCAGGGCGAGAACCACCTGTACACAAAATATAACGCTGCTGAGATATGATGTAAAAAATAAATAATTATTTATTAATAATACTTTATACCTCGTCTGGTAACTGTAACTCTTTGAGAGGTGTACAAAGTTTCTTGAAACTTGGAAGGGACACTTGACCACCCTGCCTCGGAGGATGGAGGTAATGGGCACGTACGCCTGTAACAACATGTTTTGGGGACTCATATATTATGTCCACCAATAATTTATCAAAGACAGCATCAACTTGCTTACTTTCGTTAAAATAATAATCATAAATAGCATCAGGGCGTTTGGTATGAATTAATAGTTGTATTAAATCCACAAATCTGCGGTTGCACAAAAATTATCCTTTCGAAGATGGTATTTGGTTCATTTATATGATTCCTAGAAAGTATTGGAAATAGACTCCTTTTTGATCGATATAAATAAGGGTTTACTAAGTGAAAAAATCCACCTTCTTAAACCGTATCTTTTATCCCTAGAATATTACATCAGGTCTAGATTAAACTGCATTAATTAAAAAAATTTTCATACGCCTGGACAGCTTGAGTCATTGGCTATCATCACATCAGGTCGCTAACTGGAATCATTTACTATAAGATTGATTCTATATCCTCTGCTACACCTACCAGGATGATACACAAGTTGTACCAATGATATGACACATTCTGTCGTTGTAGCGTGTTAGTCTAGCTTTCCTTATAACCTTTGACCGGAACGCTACGCCACGCTCTGTTAGTTACGCCAGGTGTGATGATTCTATTCATTGTTTTTTGTTTGTTAGGATCTACCTGTGTTACAATTTATCTCTACAATGAACGGCAATACTTACAAACTTCATGATGCTTTGTATGTAGTACCAGAGAGAACTGACTTCTGCACCTCCCCACAAGAGCTATATATAGTGTTGACTCCCACTAGGCGTGAGTTGCCGACTCTGCTTAGTGACTCAAGTTTTTGCCTGCAGTTCACGTCAAGACCTATATAGGTTTTTTTCAAGGTCTTGAACTCAACCTTTATGTTATGCTCCGACAGTTTTCGTTGAACATGTAGTTTCAATTTATGAATCGTGTCCTATCTTGTCTTACTAATACTTTGTTTCTGGCGACTATTGATAATGATAATCTGACAAACCTTTTGATTCCTGGATAGTTTACTCATGGTTGTTACAATTGACGACAAACAGTGTATGTGTGTGTGTGTGTATGTGTGTGTGTGTGTGTGTAAATCAATAGAACTAGAATAAATCAAGATAGGAGATATCAACCTATGGTTCCTCGAGCCACATAACTAATATCATAATATATTTTTGTGGTCTACGCACCTCCGTTGCCTCCATTATCCTCACAAAGACATCAGTGGTGAAGTTACTCTCCACATCTCTCTCTCTCTCTCTCTCTCTCTCTCTCTCTCTGTATCAAGATGTAAATAACAAGAACAACCATCGTGACTCACAGACAGACGACCCTTGACCATACACACGGAAGTTGTACAGGAAGGTAGGCGAGTCAACAGGTGAATCTCAGATGATACTTAAACTAACAAATGACAACACTCCATTATAAACGCCCTTTGGTCAATCAGTTCTCTAATATGCACATAGAAACTAGCCGATCGTGTATCATTGAAAACTAAGGGTTTATAGTGAAAGGCAACGAGGAGGTGGGTGGATCTACAAGTGCGGCGTCCCAGGTGATGATGAAACACGCACGCCCTGGACAGCTGGGTTGCAACACACACACACACACCCACCCCGCCACCGTCACTTAGGGTCTCTTAGTTCACAGCCGCTGGTGGTGGTAGTGGTGCAATTCTGTCTAGCAGGTGTCCGGATTCTTGCTTCTTTACATACACTATATTAACACTTTTCACCACACAGAAATATTTTAGAAGTCTGTACGTAAGAATAAGTGTTTGGTATTTTATCCATTAAGTTTAAATACATAATAACGTAACGTAACGTAATGAATGACGTTAAGTATCTCATACGTTATGCTCTACGCACTGTATATATGAGCTTTTAATAAGTTTATACACAACATTACATTAGATATTATTCTTGAAGGGTTAGACCATTGTCCTTAAAATATTAAACCATTCTCCTAAACGGGTTAAACCATCGTTCTTAAAAGGTTAAAACATCGTCCTTAAGGAGCTCAACCACTGTTTGTAAGAGACATGTGACTTATTATGTGTGTTTACAGTTTTATTGGAGATAAATAAACATTGAAGACATAATTAAACAGAGAAGATAAATATACAGACAAATAGGAAGATAAATAGAGGGCGAGGCACAGAGAGAGAGAGAGAGAGAGAGAGAACCAGATCATAAAGAGAGGGAAGAGAGAAAGGAAGAGAAAGTGTAAATTATGACCGAGGTAGAACAAGCAACATGATAACACTCTTATGTTACACTGTTCAATACATTAACATCATCACTATCAGACTTTCATTTCACAATCTCTTGTCTGTCAGTCTGTCTGTCTGGCTCCGTGTCTTTCTTTCCAGTTTTTATTCTGTTCGTGTTATCTGATATTGTTTTGGTGTGTTCACGTGTACTAGATAACACACACACAGACACACACACACACAGACACACACACATACACACACACACACACACACACACACATCCTTGACCACCGAAGGGTCAAGACGTACCTGGCGCTCCTCTCGGAGCAGCCAGGTCAACTGCTATGTTGGCCCATACCAACTCCCTCCCCTGAACCCTCCTCCCCACCGGAATATCAACAAGTTCACGCCAGAAGTTACTATTTCATTTAGGAAAGAAATGGAACCAGTGTTAAACAGAGGTGAACAGTGGTGAACAGTGCTTAAGTCAGTGAGAACAACTCAACAGTAACAGTGGTACCCAAGTTGACCTCATAACCTCATCTGTGAGGGAATTACTACACCACGTGAGGCCCCTCATAACACCATCTGTCAGGGAATTACTACACACACGTGACCTCATAACACCATCTGTGAGGGAATTACTACACCACCCTCATAACACCATCTGACTACACCACGTGAGGCACATCCACATCACACCATCTGTGAGGGAATTACTACACCACGTGAGGCATAACACCATCTGTGAGGGAACTACTACACCACGTGAGGTCCCTCCTAACACCATCTGGGAGGGAGTTACTACACTACGTTTTTGCTGTTCAACACCTACATTAATCTGTATGTTCACTGTATGTTCCTTTACCTTTCTCTAATGAAGGCTTTTGTTAAACCACCAATGTATGTAATAAGTCATTTATGCCCAATGTATATTTTCAGCCTTCGGGCTGCAGAACTTTTTCAATAAACCGTTAATTATTATTATTATTATTATTACACACACACACACACACACACACACACACACACACACACACACACACACACACACACACACAGACACACACACACAGACACACACACATACACACATACACACACTATACCCTCGTGTAACAAATCACTAACTCAACTAATCCTCTGTTTATCCATATCACTGTCTTCTTTAATAAAATTCTTAAACTACGTCTACATTTATCACTGCAATTTGTTACTCTCTCTCTCTCTCTCTCTCTCTCTCTCTCTCTCTCTCTCTCCACAACCAGGTAACTTATGCACTTCTGGTCTTCATTTCATAAGCTGCCACTTACTGAATCGCTTTACTTAAACTGCGGTGAGGATTAGTTTAAAATCTTTATAAATTGACACTTACTGAATCACTTTACTAAAACTGCCACTTACTGAATCGCTATACTTAAACTGCCACTTACTGAATCGCTATACTTAAACTGCCACTTACTGAATCTCTTTACTTAACCTGCGGTGAGGATTAGTTCAAACTGCCACTTACTGAATTCCTCTTCTTATACCGGGGTGCAGATTCTATCAGAGGCTTCATAAACTGTCTTTGTAATCACCACACGACGATATCTGCAGACAGCAAGACACATACCACCAGTTATCAATGTGTTCCAGTAGAGTTTATCTCACTCATCGATGCTTCGTAACCCTGAGTTAATGTCTTCGGATTTTAAAGGGGGAAAAAACAACTTCTCTTTGGTCTTACTGTGTGTTTGTAATTTCTAAAGTAGTTATTAGTGATAATTACTTGCTTCTGGGGTATTACATCAGTAAATACTAAGGAATTTGAGTTAAATCAGGTGATACTAAATGAAAAATTTACTCCAATATCCTTTCTACGTGTTGACAGATTCTGAGGCGTTTAATATAGATTAATACTAACCTATAAACTTGATATCCATAAATACTTGGGAATTTTAAGTGAGAATGAATGAACATTTTAGACAAACACATTATATAAACACTAGATATAAAAATAAATTACATGATGGCTTAAATACTTGTGGTTATAAAGTGAATGGACGGAGAACTTGATCACATTTGATGATCACGATAAAAATGATTTGTTCTGAGTATGAGAGAAACTGAAGATGTAATGACTTTAACTCTCTCTCTCTCTCTCTCTCTCTCTCTCTCTCTCTCACGTATTTGTATCTATGCTGTATATATATGTGTGTGTGTGTGTGTGTGTGTGTGTATTAGTCAGATTACGCAATAGTCTTACAATAACATCTTCCCAAATAACCTACAGTACATTTGCCTCGGAGACTCAGGTGATATAGTCTGACAACTTCCATTATCACAACTCAGGTAAGACAAAAGTAATGTTGGTCTGTTGTTGGAAGTGTAGATGCATGTCTGTTTTAATTTCTGGTGGCGTCAGATGATGAACCTGTTTGACTGTTGTTTATGCTGAGTTGAATCAGAGGTACAGGTAACTCATAACGCTGCAGCTTCTATCATATATGGTGATTACCAATTAATCTCTGTTATTAGTTTACCTGTGTCTTTGAGGCCAGGAAAACAGTACTTCATATAGACTACTAATTTCAGGTATACGTAGAACATTGTAAGAATTTTTTCACATGGTTTAATTAATATATTTTTATTATTATAATGTTTTTTAAAGTTTTCATTAAAGGTGGAAAGTAACCAGGTTAACTAATATATTTTTTGTGACTGGACTAAATATCATTAATATATTTTTTTTATTATAATGTTTTTTAAAGTTTTCATTAAAGGTGGAAAGTAACCAGGTTAACTAATATATTTTTTGTGACTGGACTAAATATCATCTGCGTAAATGTTGTATGAGAAGTGTATTACTAGGGATTAATCATTCATTTGTACTGAGGTCATGATTCTGATATACCAAAGGGCAGTAGACCATCTGTGATATAACCTGGAGTTTGTCGTGTGTGCCGTCATCACTCATGTGTGACAAAACCCAAAAAAGAGGATAATGATTAACTCTACTTCACTAGTCGCGTTGCTTCACAAAATTCATTAATGCTTATGACAACTTACTATAGTTTTTTCTTCATATAATTCGTCGCCGCTGGTCTATGATGCTGCCTCGATACACCACAATGACTCGTGGAATTATTTAATACATCTCTGGTATTTATATTGTGTATATCTAACCATTTACCTATCCTAAATGTCTTTTGATCTTTGTACTTAATCAATTGAAATATTAAAAGGATATATCAGTACAAAACATCGCCTCAAACACGACTAATAAGTAAAAAATTGTCTTAATACATTGAAAGAAGCTCAGATAATGGCCGGAATCTAATTTGAAAGTATAGCCGTAATAATCTTAATGGTGACCGAATAACCTTTGACCAAGTAATCTGGGCTTTTGACCATAAACATAGATTATTCTTGGGAAATTAATCTGATAGTCTGGATGATACAAGTCAAGGTTATTTCTCTTCACTAACTAGATTAAACTGTGTATGGTGTGACTGTCTACCAGCGCTACAGTCACCCTGCTTACATCACCAATAACCGTGTCTGGTTCTTATAAATGTACAACAGGTAATAGAAAACATTAACTTTTTCAGAGAAGTTTATCACATTTGGAGGGCTGGTGACGGAGAACTAAGATATTGTTCTATTTTCCTTATATATCCTAATGTCTCGGAGAATCGTCGTAATCAACAAAGTAGTGCGAGAGAAAAACAAGACAAAACAAGTAATTATATTTTGTAAGTTGTTTGATATGAATTTTTGGATAACTGTTGGTTGTTACACAGGTGGAGACGCACAGTACATGTTCTACACGGACCTCTGCTTTACCTTCATGTTAATATGTTAGTTAGTATATATTTAGGCACATAAACAAGTGAACACATTTTTTTTCCTATAGCCATTATGGGTTTTGGAAATCGAAAGTACACAAAAAAAACCCTGAGGCTTACTGTATAATAAAAAAGGCGGGTTTGGTGTGTGTTCGAAAATGTCCTGATCAAGATGCTTCACCCCGCCAAGGTTATCCCCCGCTTGGATGTTCCTGAACGTCTGTCTGTCTCACGTATTTTCTCCACTCTCATGCTGGAGCTGCCAGGAGTGTTTTACAGTTCAAGTTTTTGCCTTTAATTACCTTCATGATATAATGCTTCCAAATTGATAACGTTAACATTATTTTATTTTATTTTTTTGTGGGGAGTGAACGAGGATTGTGTCGAAATACAGTTAATATTGGGTTATTTTAGATTTTGTTATTTTCACCTCTGGAGGACCTGATACAAATTGCAAGCTGTGTGGTTAATTATTAGATGTGTTTAATTATACAAATTCCCGTCTTCCTAATATCCAGCACTGGGATATTTAGAGCACAGGATCATATATATGGAGAACATGAAGCTGTTTGAGATAATTATTAACAATAGGTGAGATAATGAGACTTACACACACACACACACACACACACACACGGGAGAGACGGCAGACAGGCAGGACGGTCACCCAGGCCAGTGACCTCGCGCTTACTTCCTAAGTAAACTGGATCACTTGGGCCACCTGCAGCCTCGCTGGTGACGCAACCAGCCCTGTGGGTACTCTCACACCTAGTGTCATGTAGAGGAAAGTGTTGTTCACCTGCACTCTTGTTGTGGTTGGTATATGATGGTCACACGTGTTTTGTTCTCGAGCGAGGAACATCAATTTTTACCCTGGCTGTTGAGATTTGCTAGTGCTTTCATACCTGTCTAGACTCATTACTGCCCACACCTGTCAAGAACCACTGTTGTTTATACACCCTGCTTTATCGATACCACAATTAATTTTTTTTACTCCTATGTCGGTCCTATTATGTACAGTACATTGTTTTGATACCACAGAAAGCGTTCGCTGTGTGTGTGTGTGTGTGTGTGTGTGTTCTTGGCCTAACCTAAGAGTAAGCGCGATAACACAAGATGTAGCAGACAGATGTTCTTGAAACCTGTTAGGGACATTAATGCCCTCCCGACAAAAGACCTCGGACGAGTTAGCTAACAGACTAGATTCTATTGTCTAACCAGAGGACTAAAGGAAAAGGAAATCGGGGATATATCATGTTCTCGACTTCATCCGAATTACCTAAAACACCTTATCATTATCCAAGATGATTTTCAAAACTTAAAATCCCTCAGATTAACTTTATCTTATTTATAACGACATAGCGGTTTTATTTAATCTTAAGTGAGTCTACATGAATATATTTTGAAATTTAAATATAAAATGCACTTGATGTATCTTATGACTTGAGGTGGTGCCTTGTAATAAATTTTCGAACGTATCTATAATAAAAAAGTTGTTTTGTATTGTACAATATATTGATTTACTGCTTCCTAACAGACAGCCGAAAGACTAGTGGAGATTCCTCTGACTGATACGATTTAATTGCGGTCCAGATCAAATGGAACCTAACCTAACCTAACCTAACCAAATGATTCTAAAATTATAATGGTTTGGTTGGGACCATTTATAACTCTGGTGGGAGAGGGGGGGGGTTGACACTTGACCTGACTACTTAGTCTTTATACAACCTTGACACAGCCACGCCCACCTCCCTCCTGCTGTCACCTCATAAACTCGGAGCCAAAAAATATGTAACTGAACACATATAAGAGTGAAAGTAATCCTGACTGTTGCAACGCTTACCCTGGAAAATATACTGATGGTGGTGGGGACACACACACACACACACACACACATTGAGGTCCCACAGACAGACGATATTAGTCACAACCAGTTTAACCTAAGTCACACGAGTGATGGTCTCAGGCAAGGTGAAGACTGGGGTCTGGTCCAGCTGGTCTAAGAGGTGACTAGACCACTATCATAGTTCACGTCAACCCTTCGTAACACCATTAACTTGTGCTATCGCAGCTGTACGTGTATATGTCAGCCATGTGATAAGGAAGTGGTTCGCTGCACGTGTTAAGTTGCTTCAATAGTCTATCGTGCTTGAAGTCACAAACCACTAAGACGACGCGTGCGTGTGTGTGTGTGTGTGTTTTTCTCTTCACTGCAAAAGCTGTTGGAACGAGTGGCATTTTATGGAGATGCAAGATTACGTATCGAAATGGCTTTGACAAAATAAGATCAGATCTGGACTAAAAGGGAGACAATATCCAGACGAGGGTCATGCAGGATCATGCATCGTAAGGTCATGATCTGAAAACCAGTTGTTATTGGGAAATCCAGGGCAACACTTGCTTTCTAAGGGGCAATCGGGTGTGGGTGGAGGTGGCTATATATGTTGACTGAGGCTCTGATGGCTTCAGTATCTTACTCAGACACACATCATGAAGATCGTGAGTATTTCACTCTTGGTATCGACGGAATGAAATAAACTGTTTCTCTCTTTAAATCTTTCACATTTTCTATCAACCTTTCTGCCTAATTAAAACGCAGACAAATATTAGCTGAAGGACAACTACGCAATGTATGGTAGGTCAGATGTAAGACATTAAAACGATCATTCCCACTAATAATTTATGTTAGTCAGTGGCATCAGAAATAAGTATAAAATGTTAAAAATTACGATGGCGTATGTGTGTTATGTAGGTCGCTTTTGCTGTGCTGTTCGCCGTGGCTGTCGCCGCCCCCCAGTATGGTGACTCTCCCCGCTATGACTCGAATGAGATCCCCATCTTGAGGGACGACCGTGTCCACGAGGAAGACGGCAGGTACAACTTCGATTTTGAGACTGGCAACGGTATCGTTCTGTCCCAGTCTGGCTCTCCCACCGGCCCTGAAGGAGCTGTGGTCAAGGCTGGACAATACTCGTGAGTATAAGTGGCAGAGCAGATGATTATTATTATGATTTACTTGAAATTAAATTACTAAAAAAATACTGCAACCGTTTGATATCTATGACGTTTATTCTTTCACCACAGCTACACTGCTCCTGACGGCACTCCCGTCGTTGTGAAGTTCGTCGCCGACGAGAACGGCTACCAACCTGAATCTAACCTGCTGCCAGTGGCTCCCGAGTTCCCCCACCCAATCCCTCAGTTCGTGCTGGACCAGATCGCCTTCGCTGCTACAGAGGAACCTCGCCGCTACAGCTACGATGATTAAAGATTTTCGGGTGATAGGAGGTCCATTGCGGAGGACGCTGCCTGCACCCTGACGCAGACATGGTGCGCTAAATAAATTTGTACTCGTTAATGATTAAATATTAGAGGTGTGTGTGTGTGTGTGTGTGTGTGTGCTATAAACTACTTCTTTTTTAATATATTAAGAAGTGTGTGTTGTGTGAATAGTGTGTATTATGTTCATAACACATTATAAATAAATCTAAGTCGGTGTTTGCTATCTCTTTTCCCCACAAGCTCTGAGTGAGTATGTTAGAGGTATTTAGAATGTCAAATATGCCCAAATGACACAACGTAACCACAGCTTGGTAGATGATACTCTGATATTGATAAATTATTTAATTCACTGTACAGTGAGCGAGAAAACTATCTTGCCAGTTTTGGTTCAATGAATCGCGGAATATTCGAGCCTTCTGACATCCTCTCTGGGGGAGTTATGAAAAGTTGGCGGCCTGGAGAGGACTGATCCTCAATATTCAGAGTATCCCTGTTGTCCATTTATTATGACTGTGAAATATATAATTTACCACATTAACCACTTTAGTATGTTTGGAACCATGATATATTTCATGTTCTCGTCTCAGCTGAATCACTCTGCCCAGTCAGGTATACCAACAGTTTAAAATAATATACTCTAAGTAAATCTCTGTTTATGTTTTGTCAACGTTAAAAATCCTATGACCAAACTGTGAAGACAGTCTATCACTCACTGGACCTTTACTGGTATTTGTTAATAACTCTGGCTATAAACAGTTATAGTAACATTGATATAAATCACATCAGACACACAGATTCTTAAGTAGTATTTTGTTAAAAAAATAAGCCTTATGGGACGCGATTTTCTCACCATCTCCATCTATGGGCAAAATAATGAACTAAACGTTGAAACCCCCTCTAAATTTTAGCCAATAACAACTAGAGTGATGGAGAGGACTTGACCAATGGCCTTCCAGTGATGACGTGTTTCTGGCACAAAACACCACTACCTAGCTACATGTGTAATGACCCATTTTTAAATGATGATGTTGCTTTTTTTTTGGTATACAAATGGAGTTCCAAAAATGTTTCGATTTTCTCACCAAACGTGCAAGCTTATGCCATTTATTGGCAAAATAATGCACTACACGTTGCCGTGGCCAATGAGACATTTTATGAAGTTTGTACTAAAGAACACCCGTAGAAGATTGGTTGTGTAGAATAGCTTTTTCCCTCGATATTAATTACCTTATTCGTATAACAGAGTTCATTCACTATAGTATTCTTCCTCTTTTAGTGTGAAGTAAGTTGATCCTCTAAAGTCTTTGCCTATATTAATATGATAGAGCTTCTTCCTATAGAGTTTATGCTTTCATTTGTGTGATAGATGCTGTTCCTCTATAATTTTGGTCTTTACTCGTGTGATAGATGCTGTTCCTCTATTATTTTGGTCTTTATTCGTGTGATAGATGCTGTTCCTCTATAATTTTGGTCTTTACTCGTGTGATAGATGCTGTTCCTCTATTATTTTGGTCTTTACTCGTGTGATAGATGCTGTTCCTCTATTATTTTGGTCTTTACTCGTGTGATAGATGCTGTTCCTCTATTATTTTGGTCTTTACGCGTGTGATAGATGCTGTTCCTCTATTATTTTGGTCTTTACTCGTGTGATAGATGCTGTTCCTCTATTATTTTGGTCTTTACTCGTGTGATAGATGCTGTTCCTCTATTATTTTGGTCTTTAGTCGTGTGATAGATGCTGTTCCTCTATTATTTTGGTCTTTATTTGTGTGATAGATGCTGTTCCTCTATTATTTTGGTCTTTGATAGATGCTGTTCGTGTGATAGATGCTGTTCCTCTATTATTTTGGTCTTTACTCGTGTGATAGATGCTGTTCCTCTATTATTTTGGTCTTTACTCGTGTGATAGATGCTGTTCCTCTATTATTTTGGTCTTTACTCGTGTGATAGATGCTGTTCCTCTATTATTTTGGTCTTTACTCGTGTGATAGATGCTGTTCCTCTGTATTTCTGGCCTCTAATCGTATAATAGAATTTGATTCTTTGTAACTTTTTCCCTTTATACAACGTTAGCTAACACGCCATCTGCCCTTCCTTATACGTAAACTATTTACAATGGTCATTCCCTCCCACATCTTATATTTTACCAACCGTATGCTTGTTTCACCTCCCTTCTTATCTTTTTTATATTGATCATTATTTTTTGGACGTCGACACTTTCCAATATTCTTCGTCTCGAACAAGATATCTTCCCACCTCTCTGTCATCAGTTACTCCCTTTCACTCTCTCCTGCGACCTTACCAGACCTTACCAGACCTTACCAGACATAAAACGAGAAAAACACCACGAGAACGTATGTCTTAAGGGGCAGATGATGAGATGATGTGAGGTAAACGTACGTGATTTAACAACATCTTTCGACTACCTACATCAATACGATCCTATAGACATATAGTGTATGTATAGGTGTAGAGTAAAGGAGACAGAAATATAAAGCGAGCGGCGTGAGGTGAAGGCAGAGGTCAGGCAGGGGGGGAATACTTTCACGTGACTCCTCTGTTTATCATATGTATGTACCGCTGCATGACATAAATAAGTATAGGTGTATAAGGAAACTGGTTTAGCTTACGCTGATGATGTAACAGTGATCATGCAGATTATTAAATATATATAAATGAACAATATCATACAAAACCTAACCTAACCTAACCTAACCTAATCTAACCTAACCTAACCTAACCTAACCTAGTCTACTTTAGGTGTAATTTGGCTATCTTATGATGGAAAACTACGTCTATTACATTTAAATTAATTTTCATTAAGGTGTATCGATAAAAACAATAAGTTAGCACCACCTTCCGCATCGTGTGTATTTTTAATGTTACATTGGTATATCGGTTTGCTAGGGTGAAAATGAATAATGTTTCTATCCTCGATGAAAGAAGATGTAATTTATGACAAGATACATTATTGCACAACATCTATCATAAACTGTTCACTTTCACTGTAACTTGTATCAGCGCCATCACGGCAGAACTTGTTATGTCTAGTTTAATCCCACAGTCGTGTGTTGTATCTATACTGTATATTAAAATGTGGTTGCTATCTTTTCATTCATTATATAAGCCTAAATGCGATAATCATTAGAGTTTCAGGTACAGTTAATGTGGTTCCGTTCTCTGAGCAAGTGGGACGGACGGGCTGAGGAAAGGAACAAAGTGGAAGGGAAAAATTACTGAGAGGAAGAGAGAAAGGAGAGGCTGCGTGGCAGAGGTGCACGAGCGGGACCTTGAAAACCATCGGTTGTTGGGAAATCCTCGCCAAGTTTTGCTTTCCAGAGTACAGCTGGCAACCGAGTGTGGGTGGAAAGGGCTGTATATATGTGTTAGGTGCAGGACTGCAGGCATCAGTCTTTTGCTCTCCCACACACCATGAAGTTTGTGAGTATTACGTCTTGAGTCTGGGAAGGTGGATGGAGGAAAAGGGAAATCTAGAAAATCTAACGATGCGTTAAATAAATATCTTCTTTCTGTGTGTGTGTGTGTGTGTGTGTGTGTGTGTTACGCTGTTTTCACAACACATGTCAGACAGCTATTGAGGGTCCTCCTTCAAACTTTATAGTATGGTGAAGATGTGTATCAGCCAGTTACCATAATTACGTTACATAACTGGCGCAGCATAAATTTGTATATAATGTATCTTTAAATTTTAAACTTCGGCAGGTTGTTCTCGCCGTGCTAGCCGCCGTGGCCACAGCCACTCCTCAGTACGAAGAGCCTCCCGCCCCCACTCGCTACACTGATAGCTCTCTCGAGCATGTTCCTATTTTGAGAGATGAACGTGTTCAAGAAGACGACGGCAGATACAACGTCGACTTTGAGACTGGCAACGGCATTTCAGTATCTCTATCTGGCGCTCCCAGCGGCCCCGAGGGAGCTGTGAGCAAGGCTGGACAATACTCGTGAGTTTGGCGTTAAAGTGATTTTAAATTTGATTGTATTGATATATTTTCTGTTTAAAAATATGTAGAAACACTTAACCTTACTTAGATACGCTTCCTCACTCCATAGGTACACTTCTCCTGATGGCACACCCATCGTTGTGAAGTACGTCGCCGACGAGAACGGCTTCCAGCCCCAGTCTGACCTGCTGCCAGTGGCTCCCGCCTTCCCCCACCCAATCCCTCAGTTCGTGCTGGACCAGATCGCCTTCGCTGCTGAGGAGGACGCTGCCAAAGCCCGTGGCAAGTCTGTTTCACCCTCTGGCAGTTACAGTGCTCCCGAGTGATCTTATGGCCGACTGATATTGTTACGAAGTTGTCATCAAATCCATTGCTCTAAGGCAAGCAAATCAGTATTGATATGTTACTTATTTTCAGTAGATATGCTTATTTATTTTATTGCCATGTTATTATGAAATAAAAAAAGGATTTCGAAACCTTTGCTTCATTATGAGTTATTTTCACACGTAATTAAAGTATTTGAGTAATCACCTTAAAACAAAGTTTAAGGAGATATCTAACAGGCTTTCTTTACAACTGGTCGACCATGGTAATGCTCACGAGCAATCGTTCAATAGGAAGTTATGGTTCTATGTTCAATATCTGATTGATTGTTACACGAAAATGAAAGTGGGTCCCATAGGCATGACCGACCATTAGGGACAGTGTGGATACAACACACTGTATACTAAGCCTTCGGTACACAAGGAGGCAGCATGGCCGGTAATGCACTCGACCGCATTCACTGCCCCAAGTTGTAAACTTAGGTAGCCTAACCATTTACAGCTGGGTGAACTGGGAGTGCCCGGGGATCGAACCAACGACCCTACAACAAGGAAATAGCGATATATCCATTCGAGTATCGCACTCCATATTGTTATATAAATTATATATAAGAAAACATCACTTGAAAATTTTAATCTCGCAATGAAGATGTTAACAAATGAATATTACAATATTTGACGCAGGTGGAGGATTTGATCTTTTAAAAGCAAAATTAGCTCACAATATAAGTAAATTAGAAAGCATATAATTTTCTTTTGAATATCTAGAAACATCTTACTACACCATGTAATGCGTTCAGTCATAAACATCTCTCGTGTAGAGCCTCAACTATTTCTAACTCCGTAATAAACTAAGAAACTGGGGAAGTTCGCTTGAAAGTATATTTTCTGAAGACCAATACAGTATAACAAAATATTGAAACGAGATAAGAAAGATAAAAACATCGATAAGAAAAAAAAAATGATTTAATGATTTAGTTATTATAAGAGGAGAAAGAGTGAGGTACTTAAATTAATAAACAAGAGAAAGCAAAGGTTAAATCATCTGACTTAATGGAGAGGTAGAGAAGAAGTGAGGAATTGATGAAAGGTGAAGCAAAGATCTTTGGATTGGATTTTATCTTAGAATAAAGCACCAGGACTATGGAACACCAACCAACATGTGACAGCAATATTACACATACACAAAAATGGCTATTATGAAGGGTCAAGATATGTGCAAAAGTGAACCATATGATTCGAAAACACATCTAATATACTATAGGACTAGCCGTGTGTCTGTCTGTCTGTCTTCTGTTCTGGGCAGCCGAAACGGCACAATCGTTTTTCATCAAACCTGGTGGAAAAATCGCAAAAAAACCTGGTCCCATGTCGATTGTGTCTTTACGAAGGCATTAATTAACCATTTTATTTACGATGGAAAACGATGCAAGTCTATGGACTTGGCGCACCCTAATTCGCTGTACGCTTGCCAAGCACGAGCGTTCAAACTTTCACTGGGCACGAAGGTGCCTGCGATCACCTGTCTCTACTAAGCATTGTACTATTATATAAATAATCATGGTGACATTTCTAGCTACAGCAGATCAAAGGTTACAGTCACTAGCAATAGATATGATGGTAATATTGCTGAATAAATGTATGGGTTAGGAATAATCCTTCCTGTGAGATAATAATAATTTGTTTCAGGACGGGAGAATATAGCAAATGTGTGCCCCATAGTGGTGTGAAGTCGAGATCTGTTTTCAAATTAACTGTAGCCTTTAGAGTTTGGAGAAGCTATTGGCAGACGTGTGTGTGTGTGTGTGTGTGTGTGTGTGGTCGTAAGGCCACTAATTACCCCAGAAATATATATATGTAGGATTAATCTTGAAAAAAAAACTTTGCGATTTAATTTGCATATTGTAATAAATAAAGATCAATACATAAACTCCAACAACATGATTAAGTCCCTAATATTGTTTTTCTTTCAACAAGAGTCTTATAACAGACCTCTTATCGTCAGTTAAACTTTTACTTTAATCATCGTAGCTGTAGCGGCGAGGTTCCTCTGTAGCAGCGAAGGCGATCTGGTCCAGCACGAACTGAGGGATTGGGTGGGGGAACTCGGGAGCCACTGGCAGCAGGTTAGATTCAGGTTGGTAGCCGTTCTCGTCGGCGACGAACTTCACAACGACGGGAGTGCCGTCAGGAGCAGTGTAGCTGTAAAGTTAAAGTGTGTATCACATACTGCTCAGATGTCGCTGTGTTCTATAAAAATAGAATTAAACTGTTGAATGAATTGCACAACTCGCGCCATGTTACGATACTCACGAGTATTGTCCAGCCTTGACCACAGCTCCCTCAGGGCCACTGGGAGAGCCAGACTGAGACAGGATGATGCCGTTGCCAGTCTCCACGTCGACGCTGTATCTGCCGTCCTCCTCGTGGATCCGCTCATCTCTCAAGATGGGGATCTCCTTGCTTGATGAACTGTAGCGAGGAGGAGCTCCGTACTGGGGGGCGGCGGTGGCCACGACGGCCAAGAGGGCAAGAACCACCTGTGTAATATGTGCGAGTTAATAAAGAATTGGAGCAAACCATATTAAAGGTCAAACACCTTCCAGTTAAATCGAAATAATACTATCCTAAACCTTTAATGAATCAAGTAATGAGTAGCGCTGTATCAGGCATATTCTATAACCCAGACGGTAATACATGATATATGTTGTTCATTTATTTTAGCGACACTGTCCAATTTACGCATAATACACCAACTGAGGGAGGCAAACGGTTTTCAGATTTTCCTTTTCATTTCAACACTTAAAGTGATAATTCCTGGATTCCAACATTTCTGAAAATGTACAGAAATCCTTTACACACTCAAACGCACCACACACACACACACAAACACACACACACACACACGCACACACAATTTATGTGTATTTGTAGTAGATCCATGAATATTTACATGTAAATACGTTCATATATATATATATATATATATATATATATATATATATATATATATATATATATATATATATATATATATATATATATATATATATATATATATATATATATATGAACGTATTTATATGTAAATATTCATGGATCTACTATAAATACACTCAGAAGTTCAGGTACTCACAAACTTCATGCTGGCAGGTACTGTTAACACTGATGACTACATCTTCCCAGCTATCATATATATATACAGTCCTAGGCTTCTTGCTACAGTTGCCAGTTATACCTTGCGAGTCAACCATCGCTCTAGATTACTCAATGATCTTCGTTTTCAAGGTCGAGCTATAAATTAGAGATCATGTTCCTCGCCCACACTCTGGTCGCCTTTCTACTCTGGTTAATATCGTCATTGCAAAACGCGGGCGTCGTAAATGCAGATAATGATACAAACTTAATGTGTTCTTGAAAGCATAAGTGATCTATGATCCTCTGGTTAAATGCAATCACATCTTACATCAAAATAGATCAGTTGAAGTGTGGTAGGGACGATTACAGTAACCTTATCTATGAAGACATTGATAACACCAATACTTTGTAATATACCGTTTAGAAATATGTGTTACGATATACCGCGTGTTCCATTTATGGTGTTGTAATACACATGAAGGTAAATGATAAGTAATTTTCCACTGACAGGAGGAGAAATTATTGATAGAATAACTTGTTGATAATGAAACGTGCAAATGTCAGATTTTTTTTTTATTCGTGGCCAAATTTTCAGATTCTACACAGTGCAAAGGAATATTTTATGTGTATTAATGAGAGTAAATGGGGTGTGCTGTCAGAGTGGATACGGAGCTCGTTTCCAGCCTTATGGGTTGCTGGTTCGTACCCGGGGCCGGGGCACCCTAGTCGACCCAGCTGTGAATGAGTACCAGACCTTAGTTAGAGAAGTGAGGTGATCAAATGCAGTGCTGGCCACAGTCTCTTTGTTTATCGAGGTTAGTTTCATTGTGCTGTATCCACGTTACTAACTTTTAATAAGAGAGGCAGTTAAAGAGGAACAGAGAGTGACATCCATAGATATTAACTTAGTTAACTTTTGGATGAATCAGGTAATTCAGCGTTCTTATCTGCTTTGTTGGAAGTATTTACAATGATATAAGATTTCCTAACATTTTACCACCGCTTGTAAGAAGTGGAGTAATCCCAAGTACACAAAAACTGAGTCGCACACTGACGGTTCGTGTCTGATATGACTTAATATATACGAGTTTCACCCTTAGGCAGTGGGTTAACCCTCTGGCGAGCAGCGACTCATTGAAGTATTACATTCTGGCTAACACTAAATGATTTTATTCAGCTGAGAGAAACCCCTGACCTCTAAAGGTTAAATAAAATAATATGCGATTCACTGAGATGGAAATTCTAACTGATATTGTTTCAGGATTCTTAGGTATGACTCTCCTTAGTTCTTTTCTTACCAAGTTGTTCTGGTGACGAAAATCGAAACACTGACGATGAGACTAAAATGCCACTAAACTAACCATAAAATTTGGTCTGTAGCTCCAAGTTGTTAATGACCCGATATCGTAATGTTAGTCTCTGTTTATGTTTTGTTTGTCATGATAGTCACCAGAGAGTACGACTTATTGTAAACAAATAAAGATATCAGAAGATGAATTGTTTTCAGGTAAAGTTGTCGCTGTAATGCACTTAACTGTTATGAAGGGCCAATACAACCTTAATTACTTTCATAGTTATTTGCACTAAACAAAATTTTTTTCGCACTGATGAATGTTGAAAGATCGAATGAGGAGTTAACACCATTATATTCGTTCAATTGTAATATTATTTATGCTGTTGATGTTATAATGTATTACTTTATTTCAACAGCTTTGGCCTTTAAGAGAGTCGGCTTTATTTAGCTCGGTAAGTCAGGTCATACACTAGACATATATGATAACAAAAAATAAATCAATTTCTCTTTTATTTTTCTCTATAACAATCTTGTCATGCCTCAGTACTTGTAAATGTATTCGTATTATATAATTTCACTGATTACTTACATGCTGTAATTGTATTAATCAACGTAATTAGTTCACATAGAGTAGAATGCAATGAAGGATTATATTATGTCTGAACAATTATACGGAAAATTTAATATAATTTGGTATAATGATTCTTCGGGAGAAAGAAGACAGTGGTTGTTTGTGTGTGTATGTGTGTGTGTGTGTGTGTGTGTGTGTGTGTATGTGTGTGTGTGTGTGTGTGTGTGTGCAATAACACTACAAGACTGACCTCTGGTGTTAAAAGTAGGAAACATCATGCCAGTGAGAAACTCAATCAGTGAGAAACTTAGTCATTGAGGAACTTATCACTGAGGAACTTAATGAGAAACTTAGTCAGTGAGAAACTTAGAGAAGTATTTTTTGGCGGATTTTCCTGTCATCACTCTAGTCCCTTTTTCTATTGGTCAGTGAGTCAACTACCATCCATACTTGTCTGTTATATACACCGTTGCTTATGGGTGATGCTGGACTGTGTGGGGAGACGATAATGAAGTACTGTAGCTGTGGCCTGAGATGATATTGTAGGAATGCCTATTACAGTAGTGTTAATTATTCAATGAGTGCATAATGGAGAGTATGCAAGTATGTATGTATGTATGTATGTATGTATGTATGTATATATGTATGTAGGTATGTATGTATGTCTTTAAGGGGCAGCTTGTAGGCCGTGTTTGTGACTATAATATCAGCTACACTAACATCGACACCAACATCCCTCAGACGCAAACTTTTTTCAGTCATATCAGAAAGGGTACAACTTGTCCAGGGTAAACAATTCTTCACTAACATACTTGTGTATAGTGTTTCTATCGGACAGTTTATCGTAATTATAACATGTTGTTTTAGTATATTTAAGAGCTTCATTAATTTTATAGTGCTGTTATATTGTTTATCCATAGTGATACCATCATGCTACCATAATAAACACAGGGAACATTCTTTAGTGTTAGTGAGGAAGTTGTGACCTGCTAACGCAAAATTTTCTGGTTCATTTTTGCTGTGAGAATGAGGCGCTGATAAATTAGGTACAGTATGATGATAAATCTTACGATTTTATTATGCATATTATAATAAATACAGATCAGTTCATATATACACAGACTCCAACAACATGATTCAATCCTGAACGTTTTTCTTTCAACAAGAGTCTTATAACAGACCTCTTATCGTCAGTTAAACTTTTACTCTAATCATCGTAGCTGTAGCGGCGAGGTTCCTCTGTAGCAGCGAAGGCGATCTGGTCCAGCACGAACTGAGGGATTGGGTGGGGGAACTCGGGAGCCACTGGCAGCAGGTTAGATTCAGGTTGGTAGCCGTTCTCGTCGGCGACGAACTTCACAACGACGGGAGTGCCGTCAGGAGCAGTGTAGCTGTAAAGTTAAAGTGTGTATCACATACTGCTCAGATGTCGCTGTGTTCTATAAAAATAGAATTAAACTGTTGAATGAATTGCACAACTCGCGCCATGTTACGATACTCACGAGTATTGTCCAGCCTTGACCACAGCTCCCTCAGGGCCACTGGGAGAGCCAGACTGAGACAGGATGATGCCGTTGCCAGTCTCCACGTCGACGCTGTATCTGCCGTCCTCCTCGTGGATCCGCTCATCTCTCAAGATGGGGATCTCCTTGCTTGATGAACTGTAGCGAGGAGGAGCTCCGTACTGGGGGGCGGCGGTGGCCACGACGGCCAAGAGGGCAAGAACCACCTGTGTAATTTACAAGAATTGAAGAATATGTACCGGTATTAAATACTAACGATTTTATGTATGAAGAAAACCATGTGCACAGGTATATACACACATGTATAGTATATATATCTATATATATATATCTATATATATATATATATATATATATATATATATATATATATATATATATATATATATATATATATATATATATATATATATATATATATATATATATATATATATATATATATATATATATATATATATATATATATATATGCTTATCTAAATCCTTTTTACACTCAGTATCTCAGGTACTCACACACTTCATACTGGTAGGTACTGTTAACACTGATGACTACATCTTCCCAGCTATCATATATATACTGCACAGTCCCAGGCTTTTTGCTACAGTTGCCAGTTATACCTTGTAAGTCAACCATCGCTCTGGATTAGATTACTCAATGATCTTTCGTTTTCAAGGTCGAGCTATAAACTCGAGATCATGTTCCTCGCCCACGTTGTGGTCGCCTTTCTACTCTGACTAATGTATTCATTGCAAAAACATGCACCACGTATGTAGATAATGAGACAAGTTGAATATTCGGGAAATTACAAGGTGTGATACTGAATTTTGGAAGTGGCGTCAGCAGGTAAAGCTATACAGTCCCCTGACGCTGAAAGGCTTAATAACCCTGAATTATTGTGGCCGAGTCGAACGGTTGATATATATTAGTAACTAGTGAGCAGCGGACGTGGTCTCTACCACACGAACACAGTAAGTCGATCAGGTGAATATACTGATTGAAAATGTTCACTAAATACAGGTAATTGATTTGTTCTTAGTGAAAATAACTCGGGATAATATGCTGTGTTTTGGTTCAACGAGAGAGATAAGAACAACACTCATAAAGTCTATAATATAATAAAATGGATTAAATGGCAAATAATAAATAGTATATTTTATAAAATTCTTAGATATACGAGGAGGATTTTTGAAGGATTGGTATAACTGATTGACGGAGCTTAATTTAATACAGGAATTTAAGTCTATGTTAACCCTACTTCTAACTTCCCTCCTCTTCCTCCTCTTATTCTTTCTTCTCCTCTCCTCTTACTTCTCCTCTTCCTTCTGTTACACCTCCTCTTCCTTGTCTTCCTCCCTCTATTACTCCTCCTCCCCTTACTCCTACTTCCCTCCTCCTCCTCCTCCTCCTCCTCTTCCTTGTCTTCCATCTCCTCCTCCTTATCATCATCCTCCTAATCCTCTTCCTCCTCCTCCTCCCCCTCTTCCTCCTCCCTAGAAGCAAAATACATCCTTATAACAAGTAATAATATCTATGAACACATCCTCAACATTATCTGCTTCAACTTCACTTCAGGATTGAGATATTTGTTTTTATTACGGAAATGTTATCTTTTGGCCCAAACTTTATCTTTGGAAGTTATTTTGACTCTTAGTAACTTGGGTTAATGTAAATGATGTCAGTGCCTACAATTTTTTTTAAATTAAACATAACATGAGTAAATATATGGTTAATTTAATGTTAATGTAGCCACTACGTCTGTTAATAAGCCTTTATGATCTAGTGGTCAGGTTAATATCCCCGGTTTAGATGCGTCTTACCTTTAGGTGATTAAGTTAATTTATCTCTCAGTTGATCAGGTGCTAAAATTTGTACCTCTTGGGGATTAGTTTATTTGTTCATACTTTATTGTACCTAAATTATGAACTTATCTTTACGAAAATATTACAATAGAAAGTTTTATTTAACATTTAGACTGTGGTCAAAATCAAAGTATATTTTAAAGTCAATTTCTCACAGCTTAATGGGGAAGTTACAGCTACGCGCCAGATAATATTCTTTACATTGGTCAATTTTAAAGCTTAATCGTCAAGAGAAATGGTCATTGTACTCAAGCCTCCATGTTGAGGGTTAGACCATTGTTAAATTTTTACAAGTAATTTCGACCATTTTTCTCCTTCGATCATTTTACTCCAGTGACCACCTTACTCCAGTGACTAGCTTACTCCAGTGACTAGCTTACTCCAGTGACCACCTAACTCCAGTGACCACCTTACTCCAGTGACTAGCTTACTCCAGTGACCACCTTACTCCAGTGACTAGCTTACTCCAGTGACCACCTTACTCCAGTGACTAGCTTACTCCAGTGACTAGCTTACTCCAGTGACCACCTTACTCCAGTGACTAGCTTACTCCAGTGACTAGCTTACTCCAGTGACCACCTTACTCCAGTGACCACCTTACTCCAGTGACTAGCTTACTCCAGTGACCACCTAACTCCAGTGACCACCTTACTCCAGTGACCACCTTACTACTCCAGTGACTAGCTTACTCCAGTACTTACTCCAGACCACCTTACCCAGTGACCACACTCAGTGACTAGCTTACTCCAGTGACCCAGTGACCACCTACTCCAGTGACTAGCTTCCTCCAGTGACTAGCTTACTCCAGTGACTTACCCAGTGACCACCTGTAGCCAGTGACTAGCTTACTCCAGTGACTAGCTTACTCCAGCCACCTTACCCAGTGACCACCTTACTCCAGTGACCACCTTACTCCAGTGACTAGCTTACCCAGTGACCACCTAACTCCAGTGACTACTCCAGTGACCACCTTACTCCGTGAGTGACCACCTTACTCCAGTGACCACCTTACTCCAGTGACCACCTTACTCCAGGTTACTCCAGTGACCACTTTACTCCAGTGACCACCTGTGACCACCTTACTCCAGTGACCACCTTACTCCAGTGACCACCTTACTCCAGTGACTAGCTTACTCCAGTGACTAGCTTACTCCAGTGACTAGCTTACTCCAGTAACCACCTTACTCCAGTGACTAGCTTACTCCAGTGACTAGCTTACTCCAGTGACCACCTTACTCCAGTGACTAGCTTACTCCAGTGACCACCTTACTCCAGTGACCACCTTACTCCAGTGACTAGCTTACTCCTGTGACCACCTTACTCCTGTGACCGCCTTACTCCTGTGACCACCTTACTCCTGTGACCACCTTACTCCTGTGACCACCTTACTCCAATGACAAGGTTGAGACATACACCACTATGCCAGGCGGGCATTCTTTACTTTGCTTATAAAGTTCAGTTACAGTGATGCTAATGGTAACAGGTGATATTATCTCTTTTATATTTAAATTTCATAATCATTTATATATTTAATTTGCATAAGAAGTCTCTCACAAGCAAACAGTCAAACAACAAAAATATTCGAGCGTCCAAACATTTACAGCTAGAAATTATATTCAGAGTGGAGTGGTGGTGCGTGTAAAACATTAACCTGTCACATCTGAGACACAAACCCCAATTTGCATTAGAAAAATTTTCAAGCTTTTTTTCCCCTCAGGTTCTTAGGCAAGCAGTTGTTGCGTCACCTCCCCTCCCTTGACCTTCTTCTACCTACTATCACTCGACCATTCTCTTACCATTGAGCCTTCACACCCAGAGCACAACGCCACGAGTACACTGTCCCTAGCACCTCGCCCTCAAGGTTTTATCACAACGCTGCCTCCTACTCCGTCAAGCGTGTTATTTCCATTCATCACTTAAATCTTCAATCATCGCCTTCAAAGGGTCACATACTTCTTTTTGCTGTAAGTATAATGTCAGATCAGTGCTTCTGGCTGTGGTTGAATTGATATCATTACTTTCCCCAGTTTCTTTACAGTTAACAAGAAACACTGCCACACTGAGAGAGAATCATCAACTCACTCCAGTTAATAAATCTTATGTCCCTTTGATGTGGCTTGACTTGGTACATTTAACGCCTTCACTCTTCCTCACATTAACTGTTGGGTGGCTCAGTGCAAGTTTTTTATGGCCACTAATGTTATTCCATCTCTCGTAGTCACCATCCTAAAACACAGAGACTGGCACTTCCTTCAGCACTTCAGTAGCAGTATTTGCCTTCAGTGAAACATTAGCTCTACTGACTGTGAATATGATAATATAGTACACATAAGTTTAGTGCATTTATCTTATTTTTCTTGTGGTGTTAGTTGTCTTGACCTCATGAGTAATGTTATATACAAAATATGTCATATTTTTTTTAAGTTTGGGGACATTTTTAATCCAACTACAAAATCAAATCAATGGAATCATATCAAAACAAGATGGATAAGAATTACCAGGTTTATTTTGCACTTTGCATGGCGAACAAACAAGTAGAAATAAATACAAATTCATTCCAATAAGTTAATAAGACAGAACGTAACACTCGCATAATCAATCAGGTGGGGGCACTTGTTTGATGGGGAACACCGTGGCTGCTCGAGGGATGGATTTGCCAAGGGTTAGGACATGTCCTGAACCCTGTTCACTTTCAACAAGAGCCTTGCGGTCGACTTCTTATAACCGAAGAAGCTTTTACTCTAATCATCGTAGCTGTAGCGACGAGGTTCCTCTGTAGCAGCGAAGGCGATCTGGTCCAGCACGAACTGAGGGATTGGGTGGGGGAACTCGGGAGCCACTGGCAGCAGGTCAGACTGGGGCTGGTAGCCGTTCTCGTCGGCGACGAACTTCACGTGAACTGGGGTGCCGTCAGGAGCAGTGTAGCTGTGGAAAAGATACCAATATATAACACCAAGTGCGGCACCAAGTTTCGATATTAATCACTAATTCAACAGCAACAACAACGGCAACAAAAATCATAACCATAATTTCAATACTCACGAGTATTCTCCAGCCTTAATCACAGCTCCCTCGGGTCCGTCAGGGGAACCAGACTGGGAGAGGGAGATGCCATTGCCAGTTTTTATTTCATAGTTGTATCTGCCGTCATCCTCCTGGATACGTTCGTCCACCAGGATGGGGATCTCTTCGCTTGAGTATTCCCCATAGCGAGGAGAGTCAGGGGCGGCAGCAGCCACGGCAACCAGTAGGGCGAGGACAGCCTGTGCCAGAGTAATGGTTGGTTATTGCTGCATCTGCGAAATGGCATAATGACCGAGAGACGCACAACTTAAGATATGAAAACTTAGCCTCGTGGTGTAGTATGGTAGATCCAACGCGCTGAGCCGTAATCTGTAGCTGCAGTTTCTTTCGTGATCTGTGTGTCATTACTTTTGGCGTTCGTATATTAACAAATTGTTTTACTACATATAGAGGCCTCTTGACGCACTATATGACAGTTATTTTATTTCTACTGACACACAGAAAATGTAGCAGAGATAATAGAAATCTTTCCCATCAGAATGGCGCCGTGGATTACTCAGAGTTGCCAAATAACTATCTCGCCAATATGAGCATCGTTAACGACCACCAGCCCGAGTAGCTGCCAGACTTAACCTCAGAACACAGGTCAGTGTCCTGGTGGGTCTTAAATGTGGAACCCTTCAGAAAGTGATGGTAAATTGTAAGGCTCCAGAACTAACCACTACAACACAGTAACTATACAGACACACGTAAATTAAATAATTCTAAACACATGGCAAAATTTCGGTCACAAACTATAGTCAGTTATTGTTCCAAGTTATCGTGGTAACTAATCGACTAATTAAGGGACTGGTTTGATTTACAAGATCTAAGTAACTGAATAATCAAAACTATCAATTGGTTAGTTGAAGAATATTTACCTTCAGACAGAAAGAACCAAACGATGAGTGAGGTACCTGGCAATACTCTCATTATACACCTAAGTCGAACCTGATGAAACTTAGAAAACCTGACCTAACATACTGCAAGTTTGCCTCGCCTCAACAGCGTAGATCAGGCTAGGATTTAGCATAGTTAAGACTGAACAAGATAACCAAATCACACAATTCTTATCAGGATTTTGTAGATTTTGTTACGTGAGAAATACCTAGAGAGAAATCATTATATATCTCATTTGTTTTGATCAATCTTATAGTAAACAAAACACTGCAAGTACTCACGACTTTCATCTTGGCTTGTACAGGAAGAGACTGATGGCTGGAGGACCCCGACCTGGGATATATATATTCTCCAGTCGTCAGGGCTTAGGTTGCCAGTTTCCTCTTGGACACAGCTCTTGCTCTAGATTATCCGCTGCCCTTTGATTTTCAAGGCCACGAAATTAAGGTCGATGTGCCTCGCCCACACACACACACACACACACACACACAATCCTCCTTTCCATTCTGATATATAGTTCCGTTGCAACACTATACCTTCATGCACTTAGAATGTCACTAGCTGCAGCACCTCATGTACGTTTTTTTTTCTCTTAGTTGTAGCAAAATATTCCTTTACACCTCTTAGCTTTCTTGCCTACCTGAAATATATAGCGTGAGACTTGAGCAACTTACACTGAAAACATTTTTAACATCGATACCAATTTTAATAAACTCTGTTAACATCGACACCAATTTGCAATAAACGGCAAAAGTACATTTATACAACTAAACATTGAATCAAACGCTTTTATACTTGGAACTGTATCTACCGGGATATTATGTCAGGTAAGTTCTAGTCACTGTTTCGACCGATAAGTCAACTCGGTATTATCTGCATCTGATTTAATGGTATTCAGTGCTTTTTAAGTGTCTTGAATTCTTTCACAGATTAATGTTACCGAAATTAGACTTTAAGGACACGCACACACACACGCACACACACACACACACACACACACATACACACACACACACACACACACACACACACACAAACACACACAACCGAGACAGAAAAGAACGATGGTTTAACCCTTTGAGGATGAGGGTTTACTTCTTCGAGGACAAACATTAAACCCTTCAAAGACGATGTTTTAACCCATTCACCCTAAAAAAGGTTAAGACTTATGGAATGTATTGTATTAGTAATTAATAGGTGATCCAGGTCACCAATTACCTAACAAGTTTTAATCTAAGGTTTATGTTTATATCATTAAGAGAAAAGAAAATCATCTGGTTTATTTTGCATCTAGTCAATCCAATTTACTCCACGCCTGGTCTGACAGATTTTTTTTTTCAAGTGCAACCAACGATCAAGTCTCCCCCACCCTTGTTCATCCTGTATTGTTTACGACGTGTTTTTTTTTTCAAGCGTAACCAACGATCAAGTCTCCTCCACCCTTGTTCATCCTGTATTGTTTACGATGTTTTTTTTCTTCAAGTGTAACCAACGATCAAGTCCTCCTCACCCTTGTTCATCCTATATTATATAAAAGTCCTTTATTTTCAAGTGTACCGCTATGAGTAATTCCCATAATATATTCTTACCACATAACCTTAAGCAATGCAATCCTAATCAATTTATTCTCACATTAATATATCCTAACTACTCAATCTCAAACAATATCTAGTGGTAGGATTTATTCAGGTTACAGCTGGTATTTCAGGATTTAACTCCAAGGCAAAAAAAGACAAAAAGTATACCATTACATAACCTGAATGATCGATACAGACGGGTAAATGTGAGCTGTTTGCCCCCACCCCCAGCCTAGAGAGACACGAACCGATATTATTCCTTTTTAAATCCATGCCGTGGTCTGTAAATCCATGTGGTGGTCTGTAAATCCATGTGGTGGTCTGTAAATCCATGTGGTGGTCTGTAAATCCATGTGGTGGTCTGTAAATCCATGCCGTGGTCTGTAAATCCATGTGGTGGTCTGTAAATCGATGCGGTGGTCTGTAAATCCATGTGGTGGTCTGTAAATCGATGCGGTGGTCTGTAAATCCATGCGGTGGTCTGTAAATCCATGCAGTGGTCTGTAAATCCATGCGGTGGTCTGTAAATCGATGCGTGGTCTGTAAATCCATGCAGGTTTTGTAAATCCATGCAGTGGTCTGTAAATCGATGTGCAAAACTGATGCGGTGGTTTGGATGCGGTGGTCTGTAAATCCATGGTGGTCTGTAAATCCGTGTTGGTCTATAAATCCATGCGGTGGTCTGTAAATCGATGCGGTGGTCTGTAAATCCATGTGGTGGTCTGTAAATCCATGCCGTGGTCTGTAAATCCATGCGGTGGTCTCTAAATCTATGCCGTGGTCTGTAAATCCATGCGGTGGTCTGTAAATCTATGCCGTGGTCTGTAAATCCATGCGGTGGTCTGTAAATCTATGCCGTGGTCTGTAAATCCATGCGGTGGTCTGTAAATCCATGCAGTGGTCTGTAAATCCATGCGGTGGTCTGTAAATCCGTGAGGTTGTCTGTAAATCCGTGCGGTGGTCTGTAAATTCGTGAAGTGGTCTGTAAATCCATGCGGTGGTCTGTAAATCCATGACGTGGTCTGTAAATCCGTGAGGTTGTCTGTAAATCCGTGCGGTGGTCTGTAAATCCATGCGGTGCTCTGTAAATCCGTGAGGTAAATCCCCAGTTTATTTATCAAATCATCGTAAATCTCAAGAAATATAAACATTGTCACATGGTTTAAATCGATCTTCTTCCATATGAAGGATATGTGTCGTAAGGCGGTGTCACACTAAGATAATCTGACGCTCACAAGTCATATTTATATGTTAATATTATCATGACTCACACCAGATCTTACACGAGTAAATTCTTTAAATATTTCAAGAGGATTATTGTCACTATTGGTTAAGAATAAATTACATCAAACCTTTCTAAAAATGTATTAAAATTTACTTAATAATAATAACCACGACTACTACTACTACTACTACAAATATTACTACTACTACTACTACTACTACTACTACTACTACTACTAATAATAATAATAATAATAATAATAATAATAATAATAATAATAATAATAATAATAATAATAATAATAATAATAATAATAATAATAATAATAATAATAATAATAATAATAATAATAATAATAATAATAATAATAATAATAATAATAATAATAATAATAATAATAATAATAATAATAATAGCTTGAATCTTAAAATTGCTTCCCCTTATTTTTGCAACATATTTTTCTTACCATATTACACCAGGATTAGTTGGAAGTTAATTCACTGATCTCGACGACTTAACATGTCAGAATAAAAATATCATATTGGAAGAAAAAGTTAATTGAATTTAAAGTATTAACACATCGTACTGAAGTCACTGAGGCATTTTAATGAAGGGATTAAATCATCGTACTCAAGATTAAAATAATGCAATGTACTAAAGGGCGTTAAATTATCGTAATCAGAGGGTTAAAGCTAAGGCACTGTACTCAAGGGGGTTAAGTCATCGTAATCAGAGTTAAGCTAAGGCACTGTACTCAAGGGGCTTAAGTCATTGTACTCAGAGAGCTAAGCTAAGGTAATGTACTCAGGGGTTAACATAAGCACAGAACATATCATGTGTTTATGTAGTGTTGACCTCTGACCTTCTGAAATTAGAACAGAGACTGAGAGGAAAAAATAAGTAAATTGCTGGAGCTATTAGAGGTTATGAGTTCCCTTCCCTGCAGGGTTCAATACTCTCACCTTAGAAACAGAGGAATCGCGTAGTCTTATATCTACCGTGTATGTGGGAAAGGGAATGATTAAGAACAAAAAATAACAAATTACTTAGAATAAAAAGTAACTCGATTGGGGTAGTTACAAAGTAGGGGAAGGGATGAAAATACGACGGGGTTGTATTTAAAGAATGTTAAAGGTGGCATCGTACGCCGCCAGAAGTGATAAGCTGATAGAAGAGGTGTTCAGCCAGACACCTGAGCATTGTTCCAAACTGTCGTACAACATTAAGATCGGACTGAGATTGACAACAGCAGTTGGAGTAAAGAAGCCTTATTGTACAGCAGGTACACGCGGAACTTTTTACCGGGTATACAATGATAATAATCATTAATAAACTTTATTGTTTATAAATATGATAATACATATATATATATATATATATATATATATATATATATATATATATATATATATATATATATATATATATATATATATATATATAAAGAGTGTGTGTGTGAGCAAGCGCGTGTTAGTACCTGAGACTGTAACATGAATATTATCCTTCATTCATTGGTTAACTTGCCTGGGTCACAGGTGTTGCACCACCTCCAAGTGAACTCATTAGGTACGCTACTTACAGTATATCCACGCTCTCTCTCTCTCTCTCTCTCTCTCTCTCTCTCTCTCTCTCTCTCTCTCTCTCTCTCTCCACGATTCTGCGTTTGTATAAATTTTTTTCAGATTATAATGTCGAGCAATATCAAGAATATCCCTCAACAGTTTCTGTATTCATAATCTCGACTTGTGTTCAGTCAGCTCAAATTTATATCTTTCTTGACCTGCCTAATGGGTGTATTCTTTAGTGCGGCTTAAGGCAGCTATTACCTAATACTTTATTATCGTTGTTTAATATTATCACACAACACCAACAGGCACGAGGAGGTGTGTGAAGGAGGGAAGACACGAAGGACTCCTGGAGAAGGTGACCCCAGGAACAGTGGAAGATGAAGGTGTCCTCCACGAAGACTCAACCTGGCGGGGACATTACCTCAGTGAACAGGTGGTTAATGAAGGCTAACGGAGACTTACCTGAGGGCCGAGGAAGACTCACGCCATGATGATCAACACAGGGCCATAACCACGAACACAGGTACGACCATAAACGATATTACGACTATAACTAACCAATGTTACGATCACAACTAATTAATATTACGACCATAACTAACTAATGTTACTACCACAACTAACTAATATTATACATCCACAATTAATCCATCTTACGACCACAACCGATGTTATAACCACAAGCAATGTTACGACTACTCCAGTACTACTACCACCACTCTGAATTAGCCCACCACCACAATAATTACTATCACGAATACAACCACGGGCGCAAGGAAGGTCACTCGAACACCACAACCAGTCATTGTAGATAGGAATAATAATGATGGGAGTAATGTATCATATTATTATTACTTTCTCTAGTGCCTCTGTATCATACTTTCTGAAATGATAATAATATTTTGATTTATATTATTCATTAACGTTTGATCATGCAAAATAAATAATCGTTATGTCTTGTTTAGTATAAGTATAGGAGAATGGCTCTGAGTGGGTTCCAACTCTCCGTAAAGAGGATTAGATAAGGATAAATGGGTTTCACAAGTACATTACGAAGGTTTTAGTGTCAAATTCCATCTTTCGTATTTACGTTTTTAGCATAGTCAATCCCAAGACCTCTCTTAACACACACACACACACACACACACACACACACGGTCTCTTACTCCCTCACAACCAGTTTTTATACCGAGTCTCACAACCTATGATAAACAAGGTCAAATTAGTTGCCTACAGATTTACCGTCCCTCCACACATGACTATCATTAGGATGCAAATTCATATGTCAGATAAACGTTGTAGCAAGCATGAATAACATAGTAGAGCTGGGTATGAAGTCTGAGGCTGTCTGATGCCACCAACACTAATCGTCCACCTCCCACAATACTCTCTCTCTCTCTCTCTCTCTCTCTCTCTCTCTCTTACACACACTAATGTAACCTGATATAATCGATTTTACTTTAAGTATTTCCGGCCTCACAAAAACTCACAAGTATCATCTAAATCAACGAACATGACTTACAACATCCAAGAAGTTCTCGTAAAAATTAAATTAATGTCTGAAGTTGCCAAGAACATTTACGAAAACCCGAACTTAAGTCAACAAAGCCTTATAACTCAATAGCTGAGAGTACACATTCGCCTATTGACTTTTAAAGCGTTGAATTCGTTACCATCAGTGAGTTAGAGTGTGTGGATGATGTCAGAGATGATATTGGTAGGCTCCGAGGGGTGAATACCAGAAAGGTGTTAGGGGAAGTGAAAGGAAGAACAGGGAAAGTAAGTCAGGTGTTTCTTGGAACTACCGGACGTCTGGTATCGCTTCGAGCCGGTTATTCACACGCACACACACACACACACGCACACGCACACACGCACATGCACACACACACACACACACACATTCATTTAGTCACTCTTCCCAACGTTATGAGATGTTTTCCGCAATGGTACAAACCTAACCTAACCATGGTTCTTGGACTATCTCTCCTCATTTACAGCTTTATGTCACTGTCTCATAAGGACTATATAACTATAGCACTATATAACACATGACAGTAATTGCCTTTATAGACTAGTCATAATTACATATCATTAAGTTGTAAATGTGCGGCTAATGAAACGGAGGAAAATATTCAAAATATATAATGATAATGATGTAAGAAGAAAATAATATTAAAGCTGGGAAACAGAGATGAAAGGAAATAAGATAAATGGATAAGACGATTTTTTGTTTTTGTTTTAGTCCAGAGAGAGAATGACATTTAACAACACAAGCGAGAGGTCTTGAGAATCACTTTTGAATATAAGAGAAAGTCGTAGGGAGGAAGTACAGTACGTGAAAGAATGAAACAGGTAACAACAGATCACCTGAAGATTCTTTGTTCCACCTGAAAGTAAACATCCTAATGCTATGCTAATCTAACCTAACCCAACGATAGTGAGGTGGGAAGAATGTTGAACGAGGAGGAAGAAAGAAGCAAATATTATCCAGAAGACAAGGGCAGGAATGTTATAGGGAAAACTGAAGACATATCTCATATTAGTGAAGAAAAGAAGACATTAGGTGAACGATAGTTATTAATGAAAGCAAATGAAGCCAGATAAACGATGATAAATAAACGAAGAAAATACAGAGACGTGTGATGGGGATGAGGAGAAGATGAAGATTGGTAATAATCTAAGGAGACGTGAGAGAGAAAGATAAATGGGTGATGAAAGTGATGGAAGTGACGAATTAAGATGAACAGAATTAGAACATTACACTATTGAAAAGTCCAATCAATAATCACAAAAGACGTTTATAATTTTCTTCAATATTTTATAAAATTTGTCACTATTATGATAAGCTTTATAATTTAGTCCTCAAGTGTGTTTATATTGTCGGGGTCAATTATTTTTCTTTTGTAAAATTGCTGAGGCCATAATAGAGAACTCGTCTAAGTCAGACAATAATCAAACAGCAGAACATCTCAGAGGCTTACGAAAGCTACCTCTCTACTGTGCTGTTGTTTGTCAGTCCTGTATTTCTTATGTTCTATCTCAGATCTTGTCCTAAAAACACTCGTGTCTCTCACATTATCATCACTAAATAGTTACTTGAGGAATTTAAAACATAAAGCTTCAGGCAATTTAAATTAAAAGAACAAATAATTTTAGCTAAAATTTTATTTTTAATTTCAATATAAATACACAGCATCCACAATTACACACTCACACACTCATACACTCAAAAACTCACTTAAATATTCAACAATGACTTGACAGACATTGTTGAAGTATCACAAGTCTAGGCAGTTATTAATTACAGCCAGACGACTTATTAGAGGTGTCCAACTTATACAGGTGAGGGTATCGTTAGTTCCTGAACCCTGTTATCCTTCAACGGACGTCTTGTGGCAGACTTCTTATTAATTAAGAAGCTTGTAAGTTAATCATCGTAGCTGTAGCGGCGAGGTTCCTCGGTAGCAGCGAAGGCGATCTGGTCCAGCACGAACTGAGGGATTGGGTGGGGGAAGGCGGGAGCCACTGGCAGCAGGTCAGACTGGGGCTGGTAGCCGTTCTCGTCGGCGACGAACTTCACATGAACTGGGGTGCCGTCAGGAGCGGTGTAGCTGTGTGTTTGGAGTATAATGTATGTATTAAAATGGCCTCATTTTAATATCTACAGGACGTTGTTAACAGATGTAGTGATAAAGTAATTATAGATTAATTAACAAGTATTACCTTTTGGAAACTTCATTATATAAAACATGACTCAGCAGGTACTTACGAGTAAGATCCAGAGCTGGCGATGGCACCTTCGGCTCCGGGAGCGCCAGACTCTGAGACCTTAATGCCGTTGCCAGTCTCCATATCAAGTTGGTAGCCGCCATAGTCACCCTGTACAAAGTCGTGCCTGATAATGGGGACCTCCTCGCTGGAATCACCGTAGCGAGGAGCAGGGGCAGGAGCGGAGTACTGGGGAGCGGCGGTGGCCACTGTGGCCAGGAGGGCGAGAACCACCTGTACAGAAAATACATTAAGTTATTGAAGATCTGAGACACATGGTGTGTTTTCTGATGTCTGTTTGCTATTTTAAGTTTCATTTAACATTACAAACAGAGAAGAAAAGGTTATATAGTAAGAATAGTCAGCCTTATAGACGACTGTAGACATGCGTACTTAGAATAATCTAGGATTATGTGACTTTGTAACATTTATCACTTTCTTTGAGATGCATTACCCAAATGAGATACTACAGCGCCATCTACAGATAAACATATAATTTGGCGATGCAATCCAGCCGTTCCCAATATCAGAAATGTATAGGAGCTTTTGTTCGTGCCTGTACTGTGCGTGATATAATGCCCTCTAACTATATACATACAACTATAATAGATGGCAGGTTATAGTTAATCTTTGTCATTCATTACAATATATTCCACTACAAGGCACAGTACTTACAAACTTCATGTTGGGGAGTGTAGAATGCTACTGATGACTTTCGCAGCTGCCCGAATGAATATATACAGCAGCCACGCGCCAGTCTCTCGGTTGCCACTTACACTTTACCGCCAACATTTTACTTCAGGTATTCACAATGACCTTTGATTTCAAGGCCGCGGCCTTATAGTTCACGTTTTTCTCTCTCACATTTATTTCCTTTCCATTTCGCTCTTAACTTTTTCCTAACATGCTCAATCGGCGAGCACTTATTTCAACACGGTATATGTGTGTGTGTGGCTGGATGGGTCGTTCCTAACCCTTAAGCTTCATAGAAAACCTCTAATACTGTTATATACGAAACATTGATAGTATCTAAAACATTAACTGGAAGATACTCCGAGTAAATCTGAGGATATTAGAACAGCTAAACATCAGAGTCGAAGCATGAATTGAACTGGTACGAAACGCCACGTCACGTTATAAACAATGTCATTACTACTCTTCACTCACCAAGGTCTTTAAGAGCGTAACAATGGTAGTCATTACACTGGTCCATCAACAATAACAACTATGAGAGGTAAAACTATATGTGTGACGTCACTACTGATTTGAACTTAATATATTTTATTGTTTTATTGTTTTTGGTATTAATTGTACGTTAGGATTTTCATATATTGTGTAACTGAAAATATTCCAACAACTTTGTATTATATTTTATTTTAATTATCACTGTATTGTGTAGGGAATATTACCTACTCAACAACTCTAATAACTTTTAAACTGTTATTTAATAATTACTTAACATAGGTATATATTTACCAAACGACCAAAAATAATAAACAAATATTAACGTTCGAAACTGATTCGGATTTCAGGTACAGTACAACTTGATCATCAGTGACAATAACACACTTACCACGGGCGTTCCTCCTCCTCTGGGTCAACACCTTGTCTTGTTTACAAAAGGTAAGAGTAATTGTAGTTATGGTTTGAATCTTCTTTTTTATTACCTGTATTTCAGTTAAGCGGTGATTTCTGGTTTGACTCTCGTAAGCTTTCAGACGATACCATGAGAAATCTGTCTCCATTGAGTTGTATTTGTTAATATTTAGTGTATGGAGTAACCTTAGCATCACCTGAAGATTAAACACCCCAGCTTAATTCACCTGAAGATTAGACACCCCAGCTTAATTCACCTAAAGATAAGACACCCCAGTTTAATACACCTGAAGATAAGACACCCCAGCTTAATACACCTGAAGATTAGACACCCCAGCTTAATTCACCTAAAGATAAGACACCCCAACTTAATACGCCTGAAGGTAAGACACCCCGGATTAATTTACTTGAAGATTAACCATTTTAAAACCTAACCCAACCTAATTTAACGTAACATAACCTAACTAACCCTATCCACTGTACCCTTACCTACCCAGATAAGATTAAGATGGTTTATTTACAGGTGAAATAATTTGAGGAGTCTAATCGTTTGGTCACTAAAGCATTAGACAAGTTTGAAACGTTAATAATGAACCAAAATAGATGTGTCCGCCAGCCCCGATCTCCCTGTTGATAACTTAAGATTACATTCCCGCCAGACACAACAACAATGGCTGAAGTCAACATATGTACAGTTGGGGGATTGTGTTCCCACGCATCCTGTGGTAACCCGTACCTCCAAATAGCCAACCTATATGACCTAGTCCTACAGTATAACAAACCTATCCACCAATAACGTCCGTCGTTACACAAACAAATACCCATTCATAAACAGTGATACTACTGCAGCGACGTTGCTGTTTGGAGACACGGGTTACCACAAGGGGTATAGGAACACATTTCCTCAACTGTACCTATTTACAGTGTGCCTGACGTGATATAGTTAAGGCTTATGATATCTATTAGGGCGTTGACAAGAGACGTAGATACAGTCCTAATATTAATTATGGGTGAGACGTGTGTGTGTTAAGACTACATGCTAGTTCATTCATTTGTCTCCTAGTGTATGTAGCTAAGTGTCTGTCTCTACCTGGGCCGTTTTTCCTATTAGCGTTTACGTGAAGTCGTTTATGTGTACGTGTAAGAATACGTGTGTGTGTGCGTGTGTGTGTGTGGCCTGAACTCATAACTAGGTTGTAAGGTTTATGGTCAACCTGCTCCACTTAAACATAGAAAATGGGAGTTGAGTGTGAAGGTTGATAAGCGAGTCTGGTTATGCAATAGTGACAGGCCCCTTCAGGCATAGTCCTACTACAGGCTAGGTCCTCCTGTTGGCATGGTTTTCCAGCTGGTTACACACACACACACTAATAATAATAATGATAATGATAATGATAACAATAATAATAATAATAATAATAATAATAATAGTAGTAGTAGTAATGAATGAAGCTGATCAAATCTGTAGATTGTAATCAAGAATAATGTTTCAAAAAATACGAAAATACGACAACAAATAAATGCATTTTATCAAAAGCAAACTTTCCTTCGTCCGTTAATCCTTCAGTAATACGTGTTTACATTTTGTGGTCGTTTATACTCCAGTGACATTATCGGAGTAAGTCAGTGTCTATGGTAGCCAAATAAACCCATGTCATATGAAGGTTTACTTAATATTGTTCTTTGGGCATTTAATTATATTTGTCTTTTGTTTATTCAGTTTATTTGTTGTTAAGTGCGACTCTTGTTTACAATTTGTATATATATGATCAGAATTGGTCATTTGTATTGTGGAGATAATTCCTGGTATTTACTGAAGACGTTTGCAAGTTGAATAATGAAGCTGCTCCTTATGTGTGTGTGATAATAATAATAATAATAATAATAATAATAATAATAATAAACGGTTTATTAATAGAGTTGTGTGTGTGTGTGTGTGTGTGTGTACGTTGTAATTTACTACATCAATATAACGATAGTGAAAAAAATTGCTCTTGTTATTAATTTTATTGTAAAGAAATATCAAACATTCATATAAATATCCAGATATACACGAAGCGTCCAGGTGGTGGAAGCAAAACTCCCGCACTGGTAGTATTATGCTTGTAGAGTTTGCCGAGTAGACTTGTTTACTGGGAAGCACAGGGGAGAGTCTCGTAGTCAACAGCTTCTGCTTTAATCATCGTAGCTGTAGCGGCGAGGTTCCTCAGTAGCAGCGAAGGCGATCTGGTCCAGCACGAACTGAGGGATTGGGTGGGGGAAGGCGGGAGCCACTGGCAGCAGATCAGACTGGGGCTGGTAGCCGTTCTCGTCAGCGACGAACTTAACATGAACTGGGGTGCCGTCAGGAGCAGTGTAGCTGTGGATATGCACATATGTATCAGACACAAGAAATCAATATTAATAACATATGAGTTCAGTATATGATAAGACAATAATGTATCTATATCATGATACTCACGAGTATTCTCCAGCCTTGACCACAGTTCCCTCGGGTCCGTCGGGAGAGCCAGACTGGGATATTACGATGTTGTTTCCAGTCTCTACATCAAGTTTGTAGCCGCCGTAGTCCCCAAGTACAAAGTCGTGCCTGATAATGGGGACCTCCTCGCTGGAATCACCGTAGCGAGAAGCAGGGGCAGGAGCGGCGTACTGGGGGGCGGCGGTGGCCACAGTGGCCAGGAGGGCGAGAACCACCTGTATAACAAAATCATTGTCATACACGATAGAAACTTTGATTTATCTTATATTTCATATGCTGTATAATAAATTACGTTTATATAATGTTCATTACTGCACACACCTCTCTGACATGGTAGTGAAGTACCTTCAATCGCTAGCATACGTATGTTAACAAAGAATTAAATCCTAGATTTAATTTTTAGAATCTCTTGCGAAATAACTGACATATGTGTGCATTACCACTGCTCTCTAGTCATTATGATACAGATTTGGTTTTATTAATTCATATGTATATTTTTTTATCAAAAGGATTTACCAGAGCCGGAAAATTTATATAGTTTATGCGCCATTTCCCTGGTTCAAAATTGTCTCGACGTAGTGTTAAGAGCCTGTGTGTGTAAAGCTGTATTATTGTGTGTCTCTGAGCCCAAAGATCAGTGTTAGACAACTTTGAAATACTGAAATAGATATCCTCAAGCATAATGATATCTTAAACGTGTATATAACTGAGAAAGATTAAAGTTGGCGATAATTTTCTTTGATCTCTAAACTAGATAATATATCTCGCTGATACTCACAAACTTCATGTTGGTGTGTGTAGCAGTAGACTGATGACTCTCTGTGTTGAACTAACGTATATATAGTGTACCAATTACACCCGCTGCCGGTTGCCGGTTACGCTTTACCAAGTAACTGTTTTTGCTGTCTTCATTCTCAGGGCCCAATGATTTCAAGGTCGTATCTCGAGGTTTCTTGCTTTTCTTTCGCTACTAATCTCCTTTCTAGTTTGGTCATCTTATTTTTTAGCTCAATTTAACTCTTCCCGCTGACCCATAATTCTTTTATATAATTCATGTTTATTATTCATCTGTGCAATATGTGTGCATTTGGTTACTCTCCCTCCAAATACACTCACACCGAGTATGGACACTTTCGAAGCTGCATTATGAAGTTGCTCCACTTATGAAAGAAAATGGGAACTTGCTAATATGGCTAGCAAGCACGTCTCGTTGCTCAACAGTGATGGTCTCATCCCCAAGAAAGGTCGATTAACACCAGAGCCAGACGCCCTCGGCGAGACAACCTTGCCACGCCTTTGGTTAGTCTGGCGGACGTAGGGAGTATTTTCACACAACACACAGAAAGAACTAGTTTGATAAATCGTCTTTACACCTCTTGGTAACTAAAGCTTGCATAAAATAGTTCCTCGAGTAACCGCTCAGTTACGTCCTTTAATATAGGGGACATAGCGTGGTTCCTTGATAGGTTACTTCGTAGACAACTCCTCCAGTAGAGTGTGTCACGACCACGACGCCACCTTCTCCCTCCGGGTCTCAGGTGTCGTGGGTCAGTCGGTACGCCCACGGTCTTAATGGATGTTTGACTAATTACTCGGTCCCCGGGAGACATTTTCCGTTTTACCATCAGACTGGGACACTTCTACGTGAGTCGACTTACTCTCTGTTTCAGACTTCTTCTCTTTACTCAAAACTGCCGCAGTAATACGACTGATGACCCCAGCATCTGATCTCTTTCTTTCTGGAGTTTGTTTATTGTTACTTGGTAATTAAAGAACATTCTTTCGCTGCGACTGAATGAATACCTCAAAGTTGGACTAGATGATTATATCCGCAAAATAAGGCTAAATACTCACCAAAGCTCTGGACCTTCCTATCACTTGGTGGGGGTGTGGAGTCTGTCAGGCTTGGGAAGAGACAGATGTAAAGAAGAAACGGGGAGTGTAAAGGCCGCCTGAGGCTCTCTCCATAGCGTGCTTGCTTATACTTTCTTAAACAGTGATTCTCATCCCCCTTTTCAGCTTATCACCCATTTCCTGCTTTCTTCGGGTCTTTGTTACCACTATCACACCTGGTTGGGAAACATGACAGCAGACTGGAAACCGATTTTGTTCTGTTTATGTACTTAGCAATGAGGAAATTCCTTTTTTCAGCCCACAGTCATTTTGAAACTTTGGGTTCTACCGATTTTTTGGTATACAATTCGAAATTTTGATTCATTTCGATATGAAACAGACCTGATTCAGTATATTGACGAAGTATTTGAAAATTATTGAAATATGTAATTTAATTTATACTGAGTCTTCTATTACCCAAAGAAATTACCTGTGGGAAATAATCGCAGGTTGAGAACAACTTATATGTTAAGAAAAATCTAAAGGACATATAGGTATATATTGTAATGATTAACTGATTCGAATATCAATTGAGACAATATTTTTTTTGAATACATATATAATGTACCATCATCGATTTGTATTAGTCCTGTTTTATTACAGATCTAATTAATACAACTCGTAAGCTTTGTTTTTATGTCTTTTCATATGTTTTAGGATCCGGAAGTCAGTGACAACGTCCTTGGTGCACTCTTGAGGTGGTGGTCTAGCAAGATGACCTACTGTACCCTCTGTCTTTCAGTTCCTTTGCATTACATTCATTCATCTCCCGCTGTGTTAACATCTCGTCCATCGTTTTCTTTCTCTATTCATTCGTGTTCATCTTAGCCCACACCTTAAGATCAAAGTAAAGGGTTATTACTTAACTCAGAGTAATTTTAATCGTCATTAGAAGTTACTTGTTTCAGTAATTTAATCCCCCCACACTCATACACACAAAGTTTTTGACAATGTAATAAGAAAATTCTTCCCGATAAGATACTAACGCGAGAAGTGCCTGGCGACACTGATAATTATTGATATATCACAAAAACTCTTCTTTCTTTCGTCAGCATCATTTCGTTCCCTTATAGGCTTATACCATAATCTCGTCTGCGTCTCACTTTCACTGCAGTGCGCCGCGTCTTCAATACGGGCCGCAGTGCCCCTTCACCACCACAAAAAATGACAACGAAAAGGAAAGAGTCACTCAGTAGCGGAATCGTACAGGCTGACCACAGTGATATTGATGACATTAAAGGGAAGGAAATTAAATTTTTCTGTTACTAGTTAACCATTTTCTATATTTTGTTCTCAGCAGTGAGGACGACTTGTCCCCGCAAAATTACATAAATATATAAATTCCAACAATATAAATAAGTCCTCAATATTGCTTCTTCTTTCAACAAGTCTTGTAGAAGACTTCATCAGAAAAACTTTGACTTTAATCATCGTAGCTGTAGCGGCGAGGTTCCTCAGTAGCAGCGAAGGCGATCTGGTCCAGCACGAACTGAGGGATTGGGTGGGGGAAGGCGGGAGCCACTGGCAGCAGGTCAGACTGGGGCTGGTAGCCGTTCTCGTCAGCGACGAACTTCACATGAACTGGGGTGCCGTCAGGAGCGGTGTAGCTGTGGATATGCACATATGTATCAGACACAAGAAATCAATATTAATAACATATGAGTTCAGTATATGATAAGACAATAATGTATCTATATCATGATACTCACGAGTATTCTCCAGCCTTGACCACAGTTCCCTCGGGTCCGTCGGGAGAGCCAGACTGGGATACTACGATGCCGTTTCCAGTCTCTACATCAAGTTTGTAGCCGCCGTAGTCCCCAAGTACAAAGTCGTGCCTGATAATGGGGACCTCCTCGCTGGAATCACCATAGCGAGAAGCAGGGGCAGGAGCGGCGTACTGGGGGGCGGCGGTGGCCACAGTGGCCAGGAGGGCGAGAACCACCTGTATAACAAAATCATTATCATACACGATAGAAACTTTGATTTATCTTATATTTCATACGCTGTATAATAAATTCCGTTTATATAATGTTCATTACTGCACACACCTCTCTGACATGGTAGTGAAATACCTTCAATCGCTAGCATACGTATGTTAACAAAGAATTAAATCCTAGATTTACTTTTCTAGAATCTCTTGCAAAATAAATGAAATATGTGTACATTACCACTGCTCTCTAGTCATTATGATACAGATTTTGGTTTTATTAATACATATGTATATTTTTTTATCAAAAGGATTTACCAGAGCCGGAAAATTTATATAGTTTATGCGCCATTTCCCTGGTTCAAAATTGTCTCGACGTGGTGTTTAGAGCCTGTGTGTGTAAAGCTGTATTATTGTGTGTCTCTGAGCCCAAAGATCAGTGTTAGACAACTTTCAAATACTGAAATAGATATCCTCAAGCATAATGATATCTTATACGTGTATATAACTGAGAAAGATTAAAGTTGGCGATAATTTTCTTTGATCTCTAAACTAGATAATATATCTCGCTGATACTCACAAACTTCATGTTGGTGTGTGTAGCAGTAAACTGATGACTCTCTGTGTTGAACTAACGTATATATAGTGTACCAATTACACCCGCTGCCGGTTGCCAGTTACACTTTACCAAGTAACTGTTTTTGCTGTCTTCATTCTCAGGGCCCTATGATTTCAAGGTCGTATCTCGAGGTTTCTTGCTTTTCTTTCGCTACTAATCTCCTTTCTAGTTTGGTCATCTTATTTTTTAGCACAATTTAACTCGTCCCGCTGACCCATAATTCTTTTATATAATTCATGTTTATTATTCATCTGTGCAATATGTGTGCATTTGGTTACTCTCCCTCCAAATACACCCACACCGAGTATGGACACTTTCGAAGCTGCACCATGAAGTTGCTCCACTTATGAAAGAAAATGGGAACTTGTTAATATGGCTAACAAGCACGTCTCGTTGCTCAACAGTGATGGTCTCATCCCCAAGAAAGGTCGATTAACACCATAGCCAGACGCCCTCGGCGGGACAACCTTGCCACGCCTTCGGTTAGTCTGGCGGACGTAGGGAGTATTTTCACACAACACACAGAAAGAACTAGTTTGATAAATCGTCTTTGCACCTCACACCTCTTGGTAACTAAAGCTTGCATAAAATAGTTCATCGAGTAACCGCTCAGTTACGTCCTTTAATATAGGGGACATAGCGTGGTTCCTTGATAGGTTACTTCGTAGACAACTCCTCCAGTAGAGTGTGTCACGACCACGACGCCACCTTCTCCCTCCGGGTCTCAGGTGTCGTGGGTCAGTCGGTACGCCCACGGTCTTAATGGATGTTTGAGTAATTACTCGGTCCCTGGGAGACATTTTCCGTTTTACCATCAGACTGGGACACTTCTACGTGAGTCGACTTACTCTCTGTTTCAGACTTCTCTTTACTCAAAGCTGCCGCAGTAATACGACCGATGACCCCAGCATCTGATCTCTTTCTTTCTGGAGTTTGTTTATTTTTACTTGGTAATTAAAGAACATTCTTTCGCTGCGACTGAATGAATACCTCAAAGTTGGACTAGATGATTATATCCGCAAAATAAGGCTAAATACTCACCAAAGCTCTGGACCTTCCTATCACTTGGTGGGGGTGTGGAGTCTGTCAGGCTTGGGAAGAGACAGATGTAAAGAAGAAACGGGGAGTGTAAAGGCCGCCTGAGGCTCTCTCCATAGCGTTCTTGCTTACACGTTCTTAAACAGTGATTCTCATCCCCCTTTTCAGCTTATCACCCATTTCCTGCTTTCTTCGGGTCTTTGTTACCACTATCACACCTGGTTGGGTAACATGACAGCAGACTGGAAACCGATTTTGTTGTGTTTATGTACTTAGCAATGAGGAAATTCCTTTTTTCAGCCTACAGTCATTTTGATGCTTTGGGGTCTACCGATTTTTTCGTATACAATTCGACATTTTGATTCGTTGCTATATCAAACAGACCTGAACCAGTATATTGAGGAATTATTTGAAAATTACTGAAATATGTAATTTAATTTATACTGAGTCTTCTATTACCCTTAGAAATTACCTGTGGGTAATAATTGCAGGTTGAGAACAACTTATATGTTAAGAATAATCTATGGAACGTATAGGTATAGTGTAATGATTAACTGATTCGAATATCAATTGAGACGATATTCTTTTTTAATATATATACAATGTACCATCATCGATTTGTATTAGTCCTGTTTTATTACAGATCTAATTTATCCATCTCGTAGGCTTTGTTTTTATGTCTTTTCATATGTTTTAGGATCCGGAAGTCAGTGACAACGTCCTTGGTGCACTCTTGAGGTGGTGGTCTAGCAAGATGACCTACTGTACTCTCTGTCTTTCAGTTCCTTTGCATTACATTCATTCATCTCCCGCTGTGTTAACATCTCGTCCATCGTTTTCTTTCTCTATTCATTCGTGTTCATCTTAGCCCACACCTTAAGATCAAAGTAAAGGGTTATTACTTAACTCAGAGTAATTTTAATCGTCATTAGAAGTTACTTGTTTCAGTAATTTAATTCCCCCACACTCACACACACAAAGTTTTTGACAATGTAATAAGAAAATTGTTTCCTTTAAGATACTATCGCCAGAAGTGCCTGGCGACACTGATAATTATTGATATATCACAAAAACTCTTCTTTCTTTCGTCAGCATCATTTCGTTCCCTTATAGGCTTATACCATAATCTCGTCTGCGTCTCACTTTTACTGCAGTGCGCCGCGTCTTCAATATGAGCCGCAGTGCCCCTTCACCACCACAAAAAATGATAACGAAAAGGAAAGAGTCACTCTGTAGCGGAATCGTACAGGCTGACCACAGTGATATTGATGACATTAAAGGGGAGGAAATTAAATTTTTCTGTTACTAGTTAACCATTTTCTATATTTTGTTCTCAGCAGTGAGGACGACTTGTCCCCGCAAAATTACATAAATATATATAATCCAACAATATAAATAAGTCCTCAATATTGCTTCTTCTTTCAACAAGTCTTGTAGAAGACTTCATCAGAAAAACTTTGACTTTAATCATCGTAGCTGTAGCGGCGAGGTTCCTCAGTAGCAGCGAAGGCGATCTGGTCCAGCACGAACTGAGGGATTGGGTGGGGGAAGGCGGGAGCCACTGGCAGCAGGTCAGACTGGGGCTGGTAGCCGTTCTCGTCAGCGACGAACTTCACATGAACTGGGGTGCCGTCAGGAGCGGTGTAGCTGTGGATATGCACATATGTATCAGACACAAGAAATCAATATTAATAACATATGAGTTCAGTATATGATAAGACAATAATGTATCTATATCATGATACTCACGAGTATTCTCCAGCCTTGACCACAGTTCCCTCGGGTCCGTCGGGAGAGCCAGACTGGGATACTACGATGCCGTTTCCAGTCTCTACATCAAGTTTGTAGCCGCCGTAGTCCCCAAGTACAAAGTCGTGCCTGATAATGGGGACCTCCTCGCTGGAATCACCGTAGCGAGAAACAGGGGCAGGAGCGGCGTACTGGGGGGCGGCGGTGGCCACAGTGGCCAGGAGGGCGAGAACCACCTGTATAACAAAATCATTATCATACACGATAGAAACTTTGATTTATCTTATATTTCATACGCTGTATAATAAATTCCGTTCATATAATGTTCATTACTGCACACACCTCTCTGACATGGTAGTGAAATACCTTCAATCGCTAGCATACGTATGTTAACAAAGAATTAAATCCTAGATTTACTTTTCTAGAATCTCTTGCAAAATAAATGAAATATGTGTACATTACCACTGCTCTCTAGTCATTATGATACAGATTTTGGTTTTATTAATACATATGTATATTTTTTTATCAAAAGGATTTACCAGAGCCGGAAAATTTATATAGTTTATGCGCCATTTCCCTGGTTCAAAATTGTCTCGACGTGGTGTTTAGAGCCTGTGTGTGTAAAGCTGTATTATTGTGTGTCTCTGAGCCCAAAGATCAGTGTTAGACAACTTTCAAATACTGAAATAGATATCCTCAAGCATAATGATATCTTATACGTGTATATAACTGATAAAGATTAAAGTTGGCGATAATTTTCTTTGATCTCTAAACTAGATAATATATCTCGCTGATACTCACAAACTTCATGTTGGTGTGTGTAGCAGTAAACTGATGACTCTCTGTGTTGAGCTAACGTATATATAGTGTACCAATTACACCCGCTGCCGGTTGCCAGTTACACTTTACCAAGTAACTGTTTTTGCTGTCTTCATTCTCAGGGCCCTATGATTTCAAGGTCCTATCTCGAGGTTTCTTGCTTTTCTTTCGCTACTAATCTCCTTTCTAGTTTGGTCATCTTATTTTTTAGCACAATTTAACTCGTCCCGCTGACCCATAATTCTTTTATATAATTCATGTTTATTATTCATCTGTGCAATATGTGTGCATTTGGTTACTCTCCCTCCAAATACACCCACACCGAGTATGGACACTTTCGAAGCTGCACCATGAAGTTGCTCCACTTATGAAAGAAAATGGGAACTTGTTAATATGGCTAACAAGCACGTCTCGTTGCTCAACAGTGATGGTCTCATCCCCAAGAAAGGTCGATTAACACCATAGCCAGACGCCCTCGGCGGGACAACCTTGCCACGCCTTCGGTTAGTCTGGCGGACGTAGGGAGTATTTTCACACAACACACAGAAAGAACTAGTTTGATAAATCGTCTTTGCACCTCACACCTCTTGGTAACTAAAGCTTGCATAAAATAGTTCATCGAGTAACCGCTCAGTTACGTCCTTTAATATAGGGGACATAGCGTGGTTCCTTGATAGGTTACTTCGTAGACAACTCCTCCAGTAGAGTGTGTCACGACCACGACGCCACCTTCTCCCTCCGGGTCTCAGGTGTCGTGGGTCAGTCGGTACGCCCACGGTCTTAATGGATGTTTGAGTAATTACTCGGTCCCTGGGAGACATTTTCCGTTTTACCATCAGACTGGGACACTTCTACGTGAGTCGACTTACTCTCTGTTTCAGACTTCTCTTTACTCAAAGCTGCCGCAGTAATACGACCGATGACCCCAGCATCTGATCTCTTTCTTTCTGGAGTTTGTTTATTTTTACTTGGTAATTAAAGAACATTCTTTCGCTGCGACTGAATGAATACCTCAAAGTTGGACTAGATGATTATATCCGCAAAATAAGGCTAAATACTCACCAAAGCTCTGGACCTTCCTCTCACTTGGTGGGGGTGTGGAGTCTGTCAGGCTTGGGAAGAGACAGATGTAAAGAAGAAGCGGGGAGTGTAAAGGCCGCCTGAGGCTCTCTCCATAGCGTTCTTGCTTCCACGTTCTTAAACAGTGATTCTCATCCCCTTTTCAGCTTATCACCCATTTCCTGCTTTCTTCGGGTCTTTGTTACCACTATCACACCTGGTTGGGTAACATGACAGCAGACTGGAAACCGATTTTGTTCTGTTTATGTACTTAGCAATGAGGAAATTCCTTTTTTCAGCCTACAGTCATTTTGAAACTTTGGGTTCTACCGATTTTTTGGTATACAATTCGAAATTTTGATTCATTTCGATATCAAACAGACCTGATTCAGTATATTGACGAAGTATTTGAAAATTATTGAAATATGTAATTTAATTTATACTGAGTCTTCTATTACCCAAAGAAATTACCTGTGGGAAATAATCGCAGGTTGAGAACAACTTATATGTTAAGAATAATCTAAAGGACATATAGGTATATATTGTAATGATTAACTGATTCGAATATCAATTGAGACAATATTTTTTTTGAATACATATATAATGTACCATCATCGATTTGTATTAGTCCTGTTTTATTACAGATCTAATTAATACATCTCGTAAGCTTTGTTTTTATGTCTTTTCATATGTTTTAGGATCCGGAAGTCAGTGACAACGTCCTTGGTGCACTCTTGAGGTGGTGGTCTAGCAAGATGACCTACTGTACCCTCTGTCTTTCAGTTCCTTTGCATTACATTCATTCATCTCCCGCTGTGTTAACATCTCGTCCATCGTTTTCTTTCTCTATTCATTCGTGTTCATCTTAGCCCACACCTTAAGATCAAAGTAAAGGGTTATTACTTAACTCAGAGTAATTTTAATCGTCATTAGAAGTTACTTGTTTCAGTAATTTAATCCCCCCACACTCATACACACAAAGTTTTTGACAATGTAATAAGAAAATTCTTCCCGATAAGATACTAACGCGAGAAGTGCCTGGCGACACTGATAATTATTGATATATCACAAAAACTCTTCTTTCTTTCGTCAGCATCATTTCGTTCCCTTATAGGCTTATACCATAATCTCGTCTGCGTCTCACTTTCACTGCAGTGCGCCGCGTCTTCAATATGGGCCACAGTGCCCCTTCACCACCACAAAAAATGACAACGAAAAGGAAAGAGTCACTCTGTAGCGGAGTCGTACAGGCTGACGACAGTGATATTGATGACATTAAAGGGGAGGAAATTAAATTTTTCTGTTACTAGTTAACCATTTTCTATATTTTGTTCTCAGCAGTGAGGACGACTTGTCCTCGCAAAATTACATAAATATATAAATTCCAACAATATAAATAAGTCCTCAATATTGTTTTTTCTTTCAACAAGTCTTGTAGAAGACTTCATCAGAAAAACTTTGACTTTAATCATCGTAGCTGTAGCGGCGAGGTTCCTCAGTAGCAGCGAAGGCGATCTGGTCCAGCACGAACTGAGGGATTGGGTGGGGGAAGGCGGGAGCCACTGGCAGCAGGTCAGACTGGGGCTGGTAGCCGTTCTCGTCAGCGACGAACTTCACATGAACTGGGGTGCCGTCAGGAGCGGTGTAGCTGTGGATATGCACATATGTATCAGACACAAGAAATCAATATTAATATCATATAAGTTCAAGATGTGATAAGACAATAATGTATCATATGTATACTCACGAGTATTCTCCAGCCTTGACCACAGTTCCCTCGGGTCCGTCGGGAGAGCCAGACTGGGATACTACGATGCCGTTTCCAGTCTCTACATCAAGTTTGTAGCCGCCGTAGTCCCCAAGTACAAAGTCGTGCCTGATAATGGGGACCTCCTCGCTGGAATCACCGTAGCGAGAAACAGGGGCAGGAGCGGCGTACTGGGGGGCGGCGGTGGCCACAGTGGCCAGGAGGGCGAGAACCACCTGTATAACAAAATCATTATCATACACGATAGAAACTTTGATTTATCTTATATTTCATATGCTGTATAACAAATTACGTTCATATAATGTTCATTACTGCACACACCTCTCTGTCATGGTAGTGAAGTACCTTTAATCGCTAGCATACGTATGTTAACAAAGAATTAAATCCTAGATTTACTTTTCTAGAATCTCTTGCAAAATAAATGAAATATGTGTACATTACCACTGCTCTCTAGTCATTATGATACAGATTTTGGTTTTATTAATACATATGTATATTTTTTTATCAAAAGGATTTACCAGAGCCGGAAAATTTATATAGTTTATGCGCCATTTCCCTGGTTCAAAATTGTCTCGACGTGGTGTTTAGAGCCTGTGTGTGTAAAGCTGTATTATTGTGTGTCTCTGAGCCCAAAGATCAGTGTTAGACAACTTTCAAATACTGAAATAGATATCCTCAAGCATAATGATATCTTAAACGTGTATATAACTGAGAAAGATTAAAGTTGGCGATAATTTTCTTTGATCTCTAAACTAGATAATATATCTCGCTGATACTCACAAACTTCATGTTGGTGTGTGTAGCAGTAGACTGATGACTCTCTGTGTTGAACTAACGTATATATAGTGTACCAATTACACCCGCTGCCGGTTGCCAGTTACACTTTTCCAAGTAACTGTTTTTGCTGTCTTCATTCTCAGGGCCCTATGATTTCAAGGTCGTATCTCGAGGTTTCTTGTTTTTCTTTCGCTACTAATCTCCTTTCTAGTTTGGTCATCTTATTTTTTAAGCTCAATTTAACTCGTCCCGCTGACCCATAATTATTTTATATAATTCATGTTTATTATTCATCTGTGCAATATGTGTGCATTTGGTTACTCTCCCTCCAAATACATCCACACCGAGTATGGACACTTTCGAAGCTGCACCATGAAGTTTCTCCACTTATGAAAGAAAATGGGAACTTGTTAATATGGCTAACAAGCACGTCTCGTTGCTCAACAGTGATGGTCTCATCCCCAATAAAGGTCGATTAACACCAGAGCCAGACTCCCTCGGCGAGACAACCTTGCCACGCCTTCGGTTAGTCTGGCGGACGTAGGGAGTATTTTCACACAGCACACAGAAAGAACTACAGTAGTATGATAAATCGTCTTTACACCTCACACCTCATGGTAACTAAAGCTTGCATAAAATAGTCCCTCGAGTAACCGCTCTGTTACGTCTTTTAATATAGAGGACATAGCGTGGTTCCTTGATAGGTTACTTAGTAGACAACTCCTCCATTAGATTGTGTCACGTCCACGACGCCACCTTCTCGCTCCGGGTCTCAGGTGTCGTGGGTCAGTCGGTATGCCCACGGTCTTAATGAATGTTTGAGTAATTACTCGGTCCCCAGGAGACATTTTCCGTTTTACCATCAGACTGGGACACTTCTACGTGAGTCGACTTACTCTCTGTTTCAGACTTCTTCTCTTTACTCAAAACTGCCGCAGTAATACGACTGATGACCCCAGCATCTGATCTCTTTCTTTCTGGAGTTTGTTTATTGTTACTTGGTAATTAAAGAACATTCTTTCGCGCCGACTGAATGAATACCTCAAAGTTGGACTAGATGATTATATCCCCAAAATAAGGCTAAATACTCACCAAAGCTCTGGACCTTCCTATCACTTGGTGGGGGTGGGGAGTCTGTCAGGCTTGGGAAGAGACATATGTAAAGAAGAAACGGGGAGTGTAAAGGCCGCCTGAGGCTCTCTCCATAGCGTTCTTGCTTACACGTTCTTAAACAGTGATTCTCATCCCCCTTTTCAGCTTATCACCCATTTCCTGCTTTCTTCGGGTCTTTGTTACCACTATCACACCTGGTTGGGTAACATGACAGCAGACTGGAAACCGATTTTGTTGTGTTTATGTACTTAGCAATGAGGAAATTCCTTTTTTCAGCCTACAGTCATTTTGATGCTTTGGGGTCTACCGATTTTTTCGTATACAATTCGAAATTTTGATTCGTTGCTATATCAAACAGACCTGATCCAGTATATTGAGGAATTATTTGAAAATTACTGAAATATGTAATTTAATTTATACTGAGTCTTCTATTACCCAAAGAAATTACCTGTGGGTAATAATTGCAGGTTGAGAACAACTTATATGTTAAGAATAATCTATGGAACGTATAGGTATAGTGTAATGATTAACTGATTCGAATATCAACTGAGACGATATTCTTTTTTAAAATATATACAATGTACCATCATCGATTTGTATTAGTCCTGTTTTATTACAGATCTAATTTATCCATCTCGTAGGCTTTGTTTTTATGTCTTTTCATATGTTTTAGGATCCGGAAGTCAGTGACAACGTCCTTGGTGCACTCTTGAGGTGGTGGTCTAGCAAGATGACCTACTGTACCCTCTGTCTTTCAGTTCCTTTGCATTTACATTCATTCATCTCCCGCTGTGTTAACATCTCGTCCATCGTTTTCTTTCTCTATTCATTCGTGTTCATCTTAGCCCACACCTTAAGATCAAACTAAAGGGTTATTACTTAACTCACAGTAATTTTAATCGTCATTAGAAGTTACTTGTTTCAGTAATTTAATCCCCCCACACTCACACACACAAAGTTTTTGATAATGTAATAAGAAAATTGTTTCCTTTAAGATACTAACGCCAGAAGTGCCTGGCGACACTGATAATTATTGATATATCACAAAAACTCTTCTTTCTTTCGTCAGCATCATTTCGTTCCCTTATAGGCTTATACCATAATCTCGTCTGCGTCTCACTTTCACTGCAGTGCGCCGCGTCTTCAATATGGGCCGCAGTGCCCCTTCACCACCACAAAAAATGACAACGAAAAGGAAAGAGTCACTCTGTAGCGGAGTCGTACAGGCTGACGACAGTGATATTGATGACATTAAAGGGGAGGAAATTAAATTTTTCTGTTATTAGTTAACCATTTTCTATATTTTGTTCTCAGCAGTGAGGACGACTTGTCCTCGCAAAATTACATAAATATATAAAATCCAACAATTTAAATAAATCCTCAATATTGTTTTTTCTTTCAACAAGTCTTGTAGAAGACTTCATCAAAAAAACTTTGACTTTAATCATCGTAGCTGTAGCGGCGAGGTTCCTCAGTAGCAGCGAAGGCGATCTGGTCCAGCACGAACTGAGGGATTGGGTGGGGGAAGGCGGGAGCCACTGGCAGCAGGTCAGACTGGGGCTGGTAGCCGTTCTCGTCGGCGACGAACTTCACGTGAACTGGGGTGCCGTCAGGAGCGGTGTAGCTGTGGACATGCACATATGTATCAGACACAAGAAATCAATATTAATATCATATAAGTTCAGTAGATGATAAGACAATAATGTAACTATCATAATACTCACGAGTATTCTCCAGCCTTGACCACAGTTCCCTCGGGTCCGTCGGGAGAGCCAGACTGGGATACTACGATGCCGTTTCCAGTCTCTACATCAAGTTTGTAGCCGCCGTAGTCCCCAAGTACAAAGTCGTGCCTGATAATGGGGACCTCCTCGCTGGAATCACCGTAGCGAGAAACAGGGGCAGGAGCGGCGTACTGGGGGGCGGCGGTGGCCACAGTGGCCAGGAGGGCGAGAACCACCTGTATAACAAAATCATTATCATACACGATAGAAACTTTGATTTATCTTATATTTCATACGCTGTATAATAAATTCCGTTTATATAATGTTCATTACTGCACACACCTCTCTGACATGGTAGTGAAATACCTTCAATCGCTAGCATACGTATGTTAACAAAGAATTAAATCCTAGATTTACTTTTCTAGAATCTCTTGCAAAATAAATGAAATATGTGTACATTACCACTGCTCTCTAGTCATTATGATACAGATTTTGGTTTTATTAATACATATGTATATTTTTTTATCAAAAGGATTTACCAGAGCCGGAAAATTTATATAGTTTATGCGCCATTTCCCTGGTTCAAAATTGTCTCGACGTGGTGTTTAGAGCCTGTGTGTGTAAAGCTGTATTATTGTGTGTCTCTGAGCCCAAAGATCAGTGTTAGACAACTTTCAAATACTGAAATAGATATCCTCAAGCATAATGATATCTTAAACGTGTATATAACTGAGAAAGATTAAAGTTGGCGATAATTTTCTTTGATCTCTAAACTAGATAATATATCTCGCTGATACTCACAAACTTCATGTTGGTGTGTGTAGCAGTAGACTGATGACTCTCTGTGTTGAACTAACGTATATATAGTGTACCAATTACACCCGCTGCCGGTTGCCAGTTACACTTTACCAAGTAACTGTTTTTGCTGTCTTCATTCTCAGGGCCCTATGATTTCAAGGTCGTATCTCGAGGTTTCTTGCTTTTCTTTCGCTACTAATCTCCTTTCTAGTTTGGTCATCTTATTTTTTAGCACAATTTAACTCGTCCCGCTGACCCATAATTCTTTTATATAATTCATGTTTATTATTCATCTGTGCAATATGTGTGCATTTGGTTACTCTCCCTCCAAATACACCCACACCGAGTATGGACACTTTCGAAGCTGCACCATGAAGTTGCTCCACTTATGGAAGAAAATGGTAACTTGCTAATATGGCTAACAAGCACGTCTCGTTGCTCAACAGTGATGGTCTCATCCCCAGGAAAGGTCGATTAACACCAGAGCCAGACTCCCTCGGCGGGACAACCTTGCCACGCCTTCGGTTAGTCTGGCGGACGTAGGGAGTATTTTCACACAACACACAGAAAGAACTAGTTTGATAAATCGTCTTTACACCTCACACCTCTTGGTAACTAAAGCTTGCATAAAATAGTTCCTCGAGTAACCGCTCAGTTACGTCTTTTAATAGAGGGGACATAGCGTGGTTCCTTGATAGGTTACTTAGTAGACAACTCCTCCATTAGAGTGTGTCACGGCCACGACGCCGCCTTCTGGCTCCGGGTCTCGGCTGTCGTGGGTCAGTCGGTACGCCCACTGTATAAATTGGTGTTTGAGTAATTACTCGGTCCCCGGGAGACATTTTCCGTTTTACCATCAGACTGGGACACTTCTACGTGAGTCGACTTACTCTCTGTTTCAGACTTCTTCTCTTTACTCAAAACTGCCGCAGTAATACGACTGATGACCCCAGCATCTGATCTCTTTCTTTCTGGAGTTTGTTTATTTTTACTTGGTAATTAAAGAACATTCTTTCGCTGCGACTGAATGAATACCTCAAAGTTGGACTAGATGATTATATCCGCAAAATAAGGCTAAATACTCACCAAAGCTCTGGACCTTCCTATCACTTGGTGGGGGTGTGGAGTCTGTCTGGCTTGGGAAGAGACAGATGTAAAGAAGAAACTGAGGAGTGTAAAGGCCGCCTGAGGCTCTCTCCATAGCGTTCTTGCTTACACGTTCTTAAACAGTGATTCTCATCCCCCTTTTCAGCTTATCACCCATTTCCTGCTTTCTTCGGGTCTTTGTTACCACTATCACACCTGGTTGGGTAACATGACAGCAGACTGGAAACCGATTTTGTTGTGTTTATGTACTTAGCAATGAGGAAATTCCTTTTTTCAGCCTACAGTCATTTTGAAGCTTTGGGGTCTACCGATTTTTCCGTATACAATTCGAAATTTTGATTCGTTGCTATATCAAACAGACCTGATCCAGTATATTGAGGAATTATTTGAAAATTACTGAAATATGTAATTTAATTTATACCGAGTCTTCTATTACCCAAAGAAATTACCTGTGGGTAATAATCGCAGGTTGAGAACAACTTATATGTTAAGAATATATTGTAATGATTAACTGATTCGAATATTAATTGAGTCAATAATTTTTTTGGAATATATATATACAATGTACCATCATCCATTTGTATTAGTCCTGTTTTATTACAGATCTAATTTATCCATCTCGTAGGCTTTGTTTTTATGTCTTTTCATATGTTTTAGGATCCGGAAGTCAGTGACAACGTCCTTGGTGCACTCTTGAGGTGGTGGTCTAGCAAGATGACCTACTGTACCCTCTGTCTTTCAGTTCCTTTGCATTTACATTCATTCATCTCCCGCTGTGTTAACATCTCGTCCATCGTTTTCTTTCTCTATTCATTCGTGTTCATCTTAGCCCACACCTTAAGATCAAACTAAAGGGTTATTACTTAACTCAGAGTAATTTTAATCGTCATTAGAAGTTACTTGTTTCAGTAATTTAATCCCCCCACACTCATACACACCAAGTTTTTGACAATGTAATAAGAAAATTGTTTCCTTTAAGATACTAACGCCAGAAGTGCCTGGCGACACTGATAATTATTGATATATCACAAAAACTCTTCTTTCTTTCGTCAGCATCATTTCGTTCCCTTATAGGCTTATACCATAATCTCGTCTGCGTCTCACTTTCACTGCAGTGCGCCGCGTCTTCAATATGGGCCACAGTGCCCCTTCACCACCACAAAAAATGACAACGAAAAGGAAAGAGTCACTCTGTAGCGGAGTCGTACAGGCTGACGACAGTGATATTGATGACATTAAAGGGGAGGAAATTAAATTTTTCTGTTACTAGTTAACCATTTTCTATATTTTGTTCTCAGCAGTGAGGACGACTTGTCCTCGCAAAATTACATAAATATATAAATTCCAACAATATAAATAAGTCCTCAATATTGTTTTTTCTTTCAACAAGTCTTGTAGAAGACTTCATCAGAAAAACTTTGACTTTAATCATCGTAGCTGTAGCGGCGAGGTTCCTCAGTAGCAGCGAAGGCGATCTGGTCCAGCACGAACTGAGGGATTGGGTGGGGGAAGGCGGGAGCCACTGGCAGCAGGTCAGACTGGGGCTGGTAGCCGTTCTCGTCAGCGACGAACTTCACATGAACTGGGGTGCCGTCAGGAGCGGTGTAGCTGTGGATATGCACATATGTATCAGACACAAGAAATCAATATTAATATCATATAAGTTCAAGATGTGATAAGACAATAATGTATCATATGTATACTCACGAGTATTCTCCAGCCTTGACCACAGTTCCCTCGGGTCCGTCGGGAGAGCCAGACTGGGATACTACGATGCCGTTTCCAGTCTCTACATCAAGTTTGTAGCCGCCGTAGTCCCCAAGTACAAAGTCGTGCCTGATAATGGGGACCTCCTCGCTGGAATCACCGTAGCGAGAAGCAGGGGCAGGAGCGGCGTACTGGGGGGCGGCGGTGGCCACGGCGGCCAGGAGGGCGAGAACCACCTGTGTTTTCAAGGAACATGTTATCAATTACGTTGTTGGTCACATAATTCATTATTAGAATCTTTTCATCAACTATATTAGTTCTTTTTTATATATGGCAGGTGTAACTTTACCAATACACAACTCTGCTGCAATACAACTAAATCTATTATTTAGAATTATTTTACTGGGGTGTAAATACAACTCTTAGGTTCTTGTGGGGAAAAAAGTGATATGATACTTTTCACGAACCTTAAAGGCGGATATCGTGTGTTGTGTGTGTGTGCAAGAATGTACACATACCATCTAACATAACTTTGTGTTTTATGGTTCATACACTCTGGACTATACACAAGCATATTTTCGGATAACTGAAAAATCATCTTTCATATCTAAGTGCTTTTGTTCTACTCACAAACTTCATTTTGGGGAGTACAGGGGTCAACTGATAACCACACTGGCCGAGCTGCTGTATATATACCAGACATTCACCACACGATCATTGCCAGCTACTCTTCTCAAGGCAACTTTTTTCTTTATGTATTCTAAATGATCCAAGATATCAAGTTTACGTTAATATAGTTCATGTTTTTCTCCCATGCATTGAGCATATTGTTTTTTTTCTTCAGTTATTATCGTTAATGATAGTGTTAATTACTCTATTTACTTTAATATATACAGAACATTTATTGCTCCACCTACCAGAATATTGTTACTAATGTCGTGAACAAAAGTGAATGCAACCAACTTCCACACGAGTCTCTTTTTTTAATAAACGTTTAAACATATATAGCGTTTACTGAAGAAATATTAGCAACCTTAAACTGAGCATCATGTACAGTCGGGGTCAAAAGTCTTGAACACTTGACAGAATTTGACATGTAAGTACCCGAAGATCTTAGGTATTAAGGAGAGTTTTATCACATTTTGTGGTTCAGTCATAATATGTGATGACAAGTAGTGTTATTAGTATATCCCAATCATGTATGTATAACTCAGAGGTAGATACCAGATATTGCTAAGTGTTCAAGACTTTTGACCCCGACTGTGCAAACACGTATATATATTAGAACACGTATTATCTCTACTGTACTGTACTGTACCGTACTGTTGTGTAATGTACTCTATTGTACTCTACTGTACAACATTAACATAAAATGCGGACGTTGCTACTGAGTTACTCATCCTCGAAGAAAACAAGGATAAAATACATTTCATAATCTCTCAAAATTGTTGTCCAGTAAACAAATATATATTGTATATATGTTTAGTCAAGACAATATATATGGTGAGGAAATAGGAATTTTTCTTCTCATTTCTTTACGTGTACATATATATATTTTTGAGTAACTAGCTCTTTACTTGTTTTGTTCTTGGCATAAGGACTGTTTCCGTTTGAAGACTTGTGGGTTTTCTCAAGTATTGGTTAAGGCAATTTATCAATAATTCTTGGGTCACCCTTGTTCCGTTTTGACTACATGATAAAGATACTAAATTGACCTAATGATATCAGTTATCATTAGCCTGTAAGTTAAATGTTAATGATAATTGAGTCAATATATATTTTTTATCTTTGTTACCTTATCTACACCTCTCTGAAACTGCCTCTCAACTATAATGACATTTGTGTACAAGTGTGTGTGTGTGTGTGTGTGTGTGTGTGTGTGTGTGTAAGACTATGGATTCAGTATTGATGACCACTGGATGCTGCATCATCAACCCGCTCCACTTATGAAAGAAAATGGGAAACCGATAGTAAAGGCTAAGAAAAGGCAACACGGTATTGTTACTTCATAGTGATTGTCTCATCCCCAGGCGAGGTCACCCACACCCAGGTCATGGTTCATCATGCACGTCTCGCCACACCTTACGCTGTCCTTTGTCTTAATTCTGATTTATGAGAGTTTAGCTGACTGCACGACGACATTTCTCACACACTGGTTAAAACTATATAATATGTTTATATTTCTCATTCTAATTACTTATCTTTTCGCGTTTCTTGTTGTAAACGGTCGTAAATTAATATCATATAGAATCCATTTACACGTATGTTGTATTTCTAATCTGTGTTTGCTATTGACTATATTTGGTGACACTTAAAAGTTGATGCTTTTTTTTTTTTAATTTTACGATTATTTGGGTTCTTCGTAACGCTCGACTGTATCATCAATGTATTTTAATCGTAGTAAGAAAGCCTCAGATATTACCCCGTTCTTACAGAGAGGAATCAGAGAGCCAGCATCCAGCATCTCACATAGAGGACACCACCACCTCTCGCTGTGATACGGTCAGGGGGGTCAGGTGACGCTGTAGGTGGTGACACCTCTTGATCTCGTTATGACCTTCACTTCCGGTTAAATGTGTGTGTGTGTGTGTGTGTGTGTGTGTGTTTGTGTGTGTGTGCATCTAGAGAAATGCAAATTAATCTACGACTCTCAACATGGGTTTACAAAGGGAAAATCTTGTCTAACAAATCTGCTGACGTTTTTTAGGAAAGTCTTCGAGGTAGTAGATAATGACGAAAATTACGATGTTATTTACTTAGACTTTAGCAAAGCATTTGACAGAGTACCGCATCAGAGGCTTCTGAGAAAAATTAAGGCTCATGGTATTGAGGGGAATGTTTCAAATTGGATGAAATCATGTACGCAGAGGGTCAGCGTAGATGGTGTTAAATCTGAGTGGGGCCGTGTAACCAGTGGGGTTCCCCAGGGGTCAGTACTAGGCCCACTCTTGTTCATAATCTACATAAGCGATCTAGATACTGGGATCAACAGTGACATAAGCAAGTTTGCGAATGACACCAAAATAGGGCGGCAGATTAATTCAGGGCAGGATGCAAATGCATTACAGGAGGATGTAAATAAACTGCAGGGGTGGTCTGAAAAATGGCAAATGAAATTCAACACCAGCAAGTGCAGCGTACTTAATATTGGAAGAACAAATACTGATAATGTATACAGCCTTAACAACATCAACCTAGAGAAGTCGACTTGTGAAAGAGACCTAGGGGTACTTGTAAGCCCGGACCTACGGCTTAGAAAACGGTGCGTTAATGTTCGAAATAAGGCAAACAGAGTATTGGGTTTTATATCTAGAAGTGTAAGTAACAAGAGTGCAGAGGTCTTATTGCAACTATATCTTGCGCTAGTCAGGCCGCACCTCAATTATGCGGTTCAGTTCTGGTGCCCCTATTATAGAATGGATATAAATTCACTAGAGTCGGTGCAGCGAAGAATGACAAAAATGATTCCGGGACTTAGAAACCTTCCATATCAGGATAGGTTAAAGAAACTTAACTTGCATTCCCTAGAAACACGATGAGTGCGGGGAGATATGATAGAAGTATTTAAGTGGGTGAAAGGAATCAATAAAGAGGATATAGATAAAGTTCTTATAATATCCGAGCAGGATAGGACTCGGAGCAACGGATTCAAGTTGGATAAGTTTAGGTTTAGGAGGGAGATAGGAAGAAATTGGTTCACAAATAGGGTGGTGGACGAGTGGAACAAGTTTAGCAACTTTGTTGTAAGTGCGGGAACTCTGGAAAGTTTCAAAAGGAGGCTAGATAGATTCATGGATGATAGAGAGTGGTAGTAACTCTCGACAGGAGCTGCCATGCACAGGCCAACCAGCCTATTGCAGACTCCTTATTTTCTTATGTTCTTATGTATGTGTGTGTGTACGTGTAAATGTGTGGGTGTGTGTGTTATGATTACATGTCTGTATGTAAAAGTGCCCTTTTCTGTGTTGTTGCTGACTTACACATAAATATTAAAAAATTTCTCCTGTGGTCGATGAGGAAGTCCGACAATGTTGTTCCCTCCATGACTATGTATGGCTTGAATGAGGAGTATTCCGGGCACCTGTTCCGTCATATTGGCACAGCTTCAGGAGGTTGGCGCACGTGGAGGCAGTGAGACATGTTACAACTACATGAGCTACCTGAATAAAATAGAAATTATAGCATAGGAGGTAACCTAGGTGGTTCTACCCGCTACTCCGAGTGGGTGGTCAGCATCTTACCGCTGTCGGGTGAACGATTCTCGGTGATAACTCTGCTACCATCTTCAATCCTAAAGTGCCAAATGAAACTCCTGTAGGACGAGTCACCCTGGTCCTGCCCGTCGTGGCAGTTATGCATGATAAGTACCTTATTAATTCTGAGTGTCTTCCACATTAACTGCCAATCTTCGTTTCATTATAACACTGAATCTATGGTCTATAGCCAGCACGCGGCAATAGGTAGCACGCTATTGAATTTTACTTTCCCTTGTGTTGTGCACTAATTTTTGTAGTGTGCCTTTTTTTGGTTATTTATTAATTTTTGCTTTGCATTTTATTTTACTGATAATTTTCTATTTTCACTGTAGAAAGTTTGTGGTGAGAAAGAGGCGGAGAGAGGTATGTGTGATGAAAGAGGCAGTGAGAAATATGGTGCCTAGTGGTCGAGACGGTTTCAGGGAGGAGATGTGTGTTTGGATACCAAGGCCTAAACTTACAGTCGTGGAGAATGGCTTAGGAAGCTTGAAGGTGACATGGGATGGCCGTCGAAGAAGGTCAGACCGTGTTCTCTGTTGTGGTTGAGAAGGCATCAGTGAAGTAAAAAATAAGGGAAACTAGAATAAGAAGCTTCTAAAAGCCCCCCGCGCCCTCCTGCTTTTTTTACGTGTAGAGAGTCATTCCGTTTACTCATGCGTAGATCATTTTGTGTAGAGGGTTATAATGTAACTTATTTTTTGTCACCTTGTATGTAATTACTGTTACTCGTGTTGGCCAGAGGCTGTTGAGGTCAGAGTACCTAAATGGTCAAGGTCCAAGGCTTTGCAGTTTTTGTAATGTGAATGGTGAACGTAACAGAGCCCTTAGATTGTGAAACACCTATGCACCTGACTAATCTGAGAGAGTGAAGTTTGTTCTAAATGACTCTTGTTTTAAGTAGGATTTTGTAGACACTGTATACGGTAGTTAGTTTAGGATTGCTCAAGAGTCGTATTGATTCTCTTTCATCTTACTTCGATTAATTGTAGCCAGTTGTAATGTTGATAAATGCTACTGAATAGTCATAGAGAAGACTTAAACCTCCAAGAAGATACGGAAGATTCTGGTGTGTCTAAATAGTTGGGTATCTATATTAACAATACTTAACAGTACATACAGCGGAGGCCACATTAAGAAAATTTAACTTGATCTGAATTCTGGAGATGAATCTTATAGTTTTGTTTGTTGGTGGTTTATGTTATTACCTTAGTTATAATAGAAGAGGTAACCTAACCAAGCCGCCAGGAACTTTCAAATACTTGAGAAAGTTGGTGGAAAATTTATCTTGTATAGTGGACTCCTTTTTTTTAATTGATCCTTAGAGTATGTTTGTTGAGGTAACTTGTGGCGAGGCGCTGGGTGGCAGAGGCTGAGTTTTAACTTGGAGTGAGAGGGAGAATGACAGAGGCTATCTGTCTATCTACTCGTAGTTAATCACACACACACACACTGTCTTGGATATAGAGTACACCCACCAAACAAGGGAACTGTGTATGTAATTAGAGAAAAATAACACAAGTTTCTTTTCTGTTTATATATTGATTCAATAAAATCATACAAATAAATTAAGCATACGCACTTGCCGCCTTCAGACACTGAAGCACGACTCTTGTACAATCATTTTATTTTCACATATCAGAGAGCACCACATAGACTGGAGGTTGTAATATTGTACTCATTAACTTTTACTTTAGTCATCGTAGCTGTAGCGGCGAGGTTCCTCTGTAGCAGCGAAGGCGATCTGGTCCAGCACGAACTGAGGGATTGGGTGGGGGAAGGCGGGAGCCACTGGCAGCAGGTCAGACTGGGGCTGGTAGCCGTTCTCGTCGGCGACGAACGTCACATGAACTGGGGTGCCGTCAGGAGCAGTGTAGCTGTGTGTTTGGAGTAAAATGTATGTATTAAAATGGGGCATCTACAGGACGTTGTTAACAGATGTAGTGATAAAGTAATTATAGATTAATTAACAAGTATTACCTTTTGGAAACTTCATTATATAAAACCTGACTCAACAGGTACTTACGAGTAAGATCCAGAGCTGGCGATGGCACCTTCGGCTCCGGGAGCGCCAGACTCTGAGACCTTAATGCCGTTGCCGGTCTCCATATCAAGTTGGTAGCCGCCATAGTCACCCTGTACAAAGTCGTGCCTGATAATGGGGACCTCCTCGCTGGAATCACCGTAGCGTGGAGCAGGGGCAGGAGCGGAGTACTGGGGAGCGGCGGTGGCCACTGTGGCCAAGAGGGCGAGAACCACCTGTAGAAAAACACGGGTGAGTAAAAGTATATAGCAGCAGATTTATTCCCCTAAACCCTTAGTCCTCACGGTATTCAGAGTTACACCAACATACTAGAGAAGTCATTTATCTGAACAGCACCCAGAGGGTTGGCATCGAATTCAGGGTCTAACTATATGCTTCTATAAACATAAATATGAATATTTGTGAGTTAATTCCAATTCGTTACTCATTCACTCGACTCAATAACGAAAACCCACCACTCGCTGGTACTTACAAATTGCATTTCGGAGGAGCAGCAAACAACTGATGCTTCTGCCATCCGCGGCGCTGTCTTTATAGCAGACTTCAACCAGCACACGCAGTTGCCAGATATTCTTTGTAATGCAACTTTTTGCTTGAAATATTTCCAACGATCAGCTGTTTCAAGGTCAATATGGTTTGTGTGTTTATGCCCTGCGGTTATTTCCTTTTTCGCTCCACTAGACTGCCCTCTTTTTTCACACACTATTCCTCTCAATATTTTTCGAGTATTAGATGACATGTTATGAGTCTTACATTTTGTTTTTACTCCCAAAAATGAAAAATTCTGAATTAATCTTGCCAGAGTTATTTTAACAAATATAATTTTAAGTAATAAATCACATGTTAGAAAATTTTCAGTTCGTAATTAACTAAAAAATATGGGGATCAAAACTAATTTTGATACACTATTCACTTTATAAAACTATTTTGAATTGTTAATAATATGTCCTGATTTTTTTTATTCACTAATAAAAAACACAACAAACCCACAGAAATCAACCGCTCATTTTCACGTAATATTTACTTTATCATCTTGAATATTAAGCTGAACCCCGTCGACGGAGCACGTGTTGTAATTCCTCGGTGAAGGTGTCCACAAGGGCGGGGTGAGCGTCTAGACCGAGGTTAAGGGTCCTCATGCAGATGGTTTCTGGCCTAAGGCTTTTCCCAGAAGATTGCATGACCACCGACTACGCCATGAGCTCAATAATGCAGCACTCGTGAAGCCCCTGACCTACACCCGTTATATGCTCCTCTCTTACGACCAACTGCAGAATCTGTCTTTATTCTAATAGACTAAAAATTGTATTAACTTTACTACATATTGTTTATTATTTTAAAACATAATTAATTTTAATGGTTGTTGAGAAGAAACCGGTAAACTATTTACTGTTTGTGGTATTTTAATTTGTTAGTTTAATCTGATCATGACTTTTCATACCATCGATACAAGTAAACTGCCTTCAGTAGTTATCAAGATATATCATCACTTGGAGTTCACTAACAGTCTGGCGCCTCACTTGTTGCAATCACTATAGAAATAATGTCCTGTAATAATACGTTCTCGGTGATTTATGTTATATAAACTATTTATATTCTCTCAAAATTTATTAGTTGCGTTATAATCTTTCTATGATGTATGAGTGTTAGTATAGTCAAGCTGTTCTAGTTAGTGTGTCAGAGATTACGGTCATTGTTTACACACACGATGATGATTCATAAACCACGTATAACTATAAACTTTTAATAACTTTTGATGTACTCACGAGAGGCACCAAATATAAACGGTTTATGATATAATTACAATTAATATACATAAAAATTAACAAAACTATCTTAGTCTGGAAAAAATAAAGACACATTCATGATATATTGATCAACACGTTTCCCTGGAGAGCTGAAAACATTCCCCAGTTGTTGCTTAGTGATGTCATGATCTGTCTTCATAATTATGGCTCTACTTTCATCTACAAAAACTGTAGCCGACTGATGAACATGGCTTAACGTTTATAACATGGCTTCAGAAAAAGCAGTTCTGAGGGGAGAGGTTGGGTGAAGAGGGAGGTTGAGGTACTAGGTCAACTTCTGCTAGTTCACTTCATTAGGATACTGTGTCTTCTTAATAACAGAATAGCAGGAACACCGTCCGTCTCAGAGAACGTTTCGTCTGTAAGATTTGTCTTATTTCAGGGATGAAGGATTCTATTAAAACTCACAGCTGGGTCTCAGAACACAAATAATGTCTTGGGGTGCACGAGATAACCAGCTCACCAGACATTACTCTCCAACGCGTCTCAAGTCACCCGTGTGAAGACTACTGGATGATCGTGTCATTGGCTTCTAGTTTTTCTTTATATAATTCATATTAATATGAATAGTTACAGTGTGAACCATCATCTTGTAAGGCTTCTTCTCACAGCTGTTGTAGACTTTTTCTCCCATCTATAAACTAGTTTTCTTTTGCCTGCGTCTGACATGACGTAATCCAGAATGAACTAAAGAAAACTTCATAATTATGCTTCCATAATTTGTATATTATTTTGCTGCAAATATTTTACTGCCTATATAGCGGCATATATTGCGGCATGTTCCTGTTATACCTATCGTTATTAACGGTAGTAGGTCATTATTCCAAAGTTTTGCATAAAAATAAATATAATTGTAAATATAGTAAAATAATAACACAATATTACTACATGTTAATGCTCTTCTTTCCCTTGAAATCTTGCTGCTGGGCTTCAAGTAAGGTGACAGGTTAAATGGACTCTAATCCTAATAGGCCCCAGTCTTACTCCTTAGGCTAAATAAAGTTGAATCAGAACCCATTTGACCTCCAGACTGAAGTATCGGAAGACACAGAGAGGCCAAATAACTTCCAACGCAAACAAACAATAGTGAAATAATTGAGCTTTGTGAGACGAACAAACAATCGTAGTCTTGTGCTAATTTCCTCAATATATTATGTTTGTTTGCTTCCTCTTAAGTCACAACAAGTTATTCACCAACGTAGAGAAGAAAAAGTATTGTTTCTCGATTTACGTGTCATATGATTCGCTGTAATTCGTGTTTTGAACAACTATCAGTAAACAGGTTGACCTTCGAGGAATGACTGGACAGGTTTTGGGTGATGATTGAGAAGTGTTTTAATACAGAACTTTATGTATAAGTAACCACGCCTCTTATCCACCTGATTATGTAACTATTATTATCATGGCTACAGCTCCTAAACATTTACCCAAGATACTCATAATATTCAAAAATTAAACAACGTCAGGTGAGACCCAGTCCAGGTGATCATCAAATGTTTGTCACTCCATCTTGTAATGATACAACAATATATACAACCTCTTATTATTTGTGCCTTAGAATGTTCATATACCCACAAAATTGAATTCATAATAGCGTTAAAATAATTGGTTTAGTTGATAATTAACAAACGCCATGTTGTTATAAGTACCACAGAATTTTACCTCCTTTTTGTAAGTCTATATTGGCCGTATATATTCGTTCAATAAATATATACAGTATTTAAAAATATTATTACATATAGTATATGTTGTAATAAAACAAAGCACTGTTATGTACTCACTTGTAATATGATAAAGACATACACAAATAAATAAGAAAGTCTAAAACAGAAAGTAAGACATTCGACATGAAAGGTGGATGACAGTGTAGGATCCGTTGTTGATTTTGTTTACTGAGAAGCATCGGGGAGAGCCTCGTCCTTAGCAAGGTTTACTTTAATCATCGTAGCTGTACCGGCGAGGTTCCTCGGTAGCAGCGAAGGCGATCTGGTCCAGCACGAACTGAGGGATTGGGTGGGGGAAGGCGGGAGCCACTGGCAGCAGGTCAGACTGGGGCTGGTAGCCGTTCTCGTCGGCGACGAACGTCACATGAACTGGGGTGCCGTCAGGAGCGGTGTAGCTGTGTGTTTGGAGTATAATGTATGTATTAAAATGAGGCATCTACAGGACGTTGTTAACAGATTTAGTGACAAAGTAATTACAGTATAGATTAATTAACAAGTATTACCTTTTGGAAACTTCATTATATAAAACCTGACTCAACAGGTACTTACGAGTAAGATCCAGAGCTGGCGATGGCACCTTCGGCTCCGGGAGCGCCAGACTCTGAGACCTTAATGCCGTTGCCGGTCTCCATATCAAGTTGGTAGCCGCCATAGTCACCCTGTACAAAGTCGTGCCTGATAATGGGGACCTCCTCGCTGGAATCACCGTAGCGAGGAGCAGGGGCAGGAGCGGAGTACTGGGGAGCGGCGGTGGCCACTGTGGCCAGGAGGGCGAGAACCACCTGTATAACAAAGTCATTTAACTTTACAAAAGATGCTCATAACTTCATTCAGTGAGGAATCGGCATAAAATATTGCATATTTTCAGAGGGATTTTGTCACTCGTGTACACTTGATCATCGTGAAAAACATACAGAATAAATACGAATCTACGCCACTGCTTTATAACAGCACAAATTTATCATGGAAATTATTGGCATTGACGGATAACGAAGGACAAACTCATGAGTAGCAATGGGGGGATGAAAGAAGTATGGGATTCCTCTCCCGTCGAAGATGAAAATTAAAATGATAGAAACAAATTTATTTGAGGAGTTCCTCAGAAAATAATCATACTGCCAGTAATGATATTGGCGTATTCATTCAACTAAATTATATAAGTAATTCAAGTGAATCAGAGAGAACAAATTACTCACAAACTTCATGTTGTCTGGTATCACAAGACTGATGCAGGTAGAGCAGTGGAGCACCGTATTTATAGCACCATCTCGCCAGACGGTTGCCGGTGGTGACTATTCCTACACATTGCAGCCCGACCTTTCCTTGACCTTTCCTTGGTGAGGTGTGTGAGTTGGTCATTATATCATCAGTTTATTTTTTTATATATAATGTAGAGTACACGGTTGGGCAGGTCTGTTGCAACACTGGCGACTGATGTCTTGGTCTAGAATACGAATTGGTGATTTACAGGAGTGAGTGAACAATTACTTTCTATCGTGTTGTGAAATATTATCTTATATAAGTTTTTCCATCTGATTGTATATAGATTAACTTCATGTCCTAGTTAATGTGGCATTTTTTAAGGGAACAGTTCATAGGTTCATAGTTGACATGACTGTTTTTTTATCGTGTGTGTGTGTGTGTGTGTGTGTGTGTGTGTGTGTGTGTGTGTGTGCGTGTGTGTGTGCGTGCGTGTGTGTGTGCGTGTGTGTGTGTGTGTGTGTAAATTTTGGTGAGTAGTCAAAAGGCCCTAAGCATGAAACGACTCGCTGAGGAGTTAGAACTGAGGTGTAATGAACTAACTGGCGTCGTCAGGTAAGACACTAATACCTGGATGTTTAGTTCTGCGGGTTAATAGTCTTCTGGTTATTTACCTCAGCACCCGTCAGTCTCGTGGTGATCCCTAGCTGGAACGACAACTGGGCCGTGTTCCCGAGAATGATGGACCTCACTATATACAGTTGACAAAGGAAAGAGGTAGGAAATATATTTATATATTGACGACACACACACACACTGACCCGGGAGACAATCTTATATACTGTATATACAGTACACGCATGATACCTAATATTAACATACAAAGCGAGGACTGTCCATAAAGGGTTCAAAAGGTATATAAACCTGGTCTAGTTGTAGAGTAAATGTGAGTTAAACAGAAGGTGAATGAGCTTGTTTTGTTGCTCAACAATGACCGTCTCTGCCATGGGCAAGGTTGGCCTCCTGCATGCTCAGCCAAGGTCCTCGTGGCACCGCAGACCTGACCCTGTGTCACAAGTTTACTGAGCTCCCGTAACTAAGCAATTACAGTTTTTGCACCGTTGATTTCATTTGTTGCCCGTCGTAACGATGAACAGAGTTGAAAACTAAACTAAATCTCATTAATTTGGAAGCTTTCGATTTCAGAAGTAGAGGGATATGTGCTAATTGATACCTGTATAACTCTCTGTGGATTATTTTACACATACAACTCATCACTTGAGATAGTATTGAACTCACAGTGATTTTATCGTGAAGATTAATTTTTTTGTCATGAGGTGTATACGAGCCTGTCACACCCAGCACCGGTGGACCCGGGATAGAGAGGTGATCGGTCGAGTGACTAGCGCCATACTGTAGGACTTTTGGGTCAAGGTGCCATCAACTGAATAACTCGGGATGGTCCGAACTAAGCTTCCAATATGTGTGTGTAAAGTTAAGGGGGGGGGGGTTTGGGCACTAACAGCTTGGAAGAAAGTAATTTTTCCTCGGTTGATGCTGCTCAGTATGGCAAACACAGTTTTATTCCATAATGAGGCTATCTCGCTGAGTTCTCTGTCACCTTATATGGGAATTGATTTGAGTGATGAGTTATCGTGGACATACTATGGACGTGTTGATTAGATGTGACTAAGGTCTTGCTCTTCTTCAGAGTCTCTGAGATATTCGGGATGGATTTTCTCAACTAGCAGCCTTAATGCTGTGGATGATGACAAGTATTCTGGTAAGAGGATCCTAAGTCTAGCTAGTGCAGTGAGCCGTGCAATGAGAGGCTGAGGAATTTTTCCAACAAAGGGTTCAGCTAGACATCAGAATGGGAGATGACAGAAGCCACATGCGCCTCTGCCTTCTATTCAACATTTCATCCAAGTCAGGTGAACTTGTTATTACTTGAGGATACCTTCACTGAATTTGGATCCTAAGGAAGCAACAAGGAAGTTGTTGTTTGGTGCGTTATTGCCTTGGGTTCCTGGTTCCTTGAGTTCATTTGATAAACTGACCTTAATTTCATTAGCCAAAATGAGAACCATAAGATGAGCGAGGTGGACATTGTATAACGTAAGTTAGTTATGAGCTGTTCAAAAAGAAGCTGAGAGTTATCACTGTAATTTATTGGGGTAAAGAGCCGGAGGTGGGGGAATATTGCGGAATTGTCTAAATTAATGCAACTCTCTCAACCATGGTGAAGGCTTTCTGGAATTCTAGTTTGAAAAACACTTTCATTCGTGAGACTGGAAACATCGGCTCCTGCTGGGATATATATATATATATATATATATATATATATATATATATATATATATACGGTCCTTCACATAAACATTTATCAATTCAGTGAGTTCGGTAAAGAGAAAGTCGCAGCAACACTGAAAATTTGACCAAATACAAGTTGGAAGTGCTGAGGATTTAACCTAGTGATGGAACCAAACGGGAGAAAAGTGACTGGTAAGAAGGTCAATGTTACTACACTAATCTCTAAATGGACACTTGCCTTGGAAGATATGAGGTGTGGCAGCATCCCCGGGAACAAGATTGTCACTACTATTAAGGAACATTATTGCTCCGGTACTGTCCTTTTCTGAGTTGTTGTTGACTTACACTTAAATCTAATAATTTTTCGGGAAATTTTCTTAAGTTTCCTCCAGTGGTTGTTCTTCGATCGATGAGGAAGTCCGACAATGTTGTTCCCTCTGTGATTATATATGGCTTGAATGGGGAGTATTCCGGGCATTTGTTCCGTCAAATTAGCACGATGAGGCACTCGGTATTCCAAAAGTCGGGGTGGTTGCTGCATGCTTGGACAGTTTCTGGGGAATCACTGACTTATTTGAGAGGGTCGGTGACCTTAGTGGCAGCTTGTGGACGAGTTGATCTGGTTATGTATTGTACTGGTGAAGGTTGGTTGGATAGAAGTACCCATGAAAATTTCTAATAAAAATTAAAGCGAATACGATTTTTTAAACAAAGAGAAAAGGTGGGAGATGATATGGTTAATTATCGTTTAAGATGATAGCGAAATATGGTAGCAAATTCATGGGTTCACTCAGTAATGTCAACCTGATGAACCTTTTTTCGTTACTTCCACTGTTTATACGATCAATATCACTTGCATCACTTAATGGTAGAAGAAAAATATATGTTTATTGAACATTTATTAACTTTCAGTAATAATAAATAAAGAAGACACGTTGATACATAATTTCTCTATAATGTGAAGTCAGTTTTCTGTATTGTAATGCGCTAACACGTCACTTTAAAGCTGTGACTGTTTACTAGGGAGCACCGTAGCTGCGGGAGGGGGCCGACTTCTTACGGGCGTCCTCCTCAGCGGCGAAGGCGATCTGGTCCAGCACGAACTGAGGGATTGGGTGAGGGAAGGCGGGAGCCACTGGCAGCAGGTCAGACTGGGGCTGGAAGCCGTTCTCGTCGGCGACGAACTTCACAACGACGGGAGTGCCGTCAGGAGCGGTGTAGCTGTGGAGAATGTATATTATTGTTATTTAAAGACAAATACATCATCATCAATAGCAAAATATACATCATATCGGAAGAAAAAGGTTGCAGTAAATTACAGCACTCACGAGTATTCTCCGGTCTTGACCACAGCTCCCTCGGGTCCGTCGGGAGAGCCAGACTGGGACACTACGATGCCGTTGCCAGTCTTCACGTCAAGTTTGTAGCCGCCATAGTCCCCAAGTATAAAGTCGTGCCTGGTAATGGGGACCTCCTCGCTGGAATCACCGTAGCGAGAAGCAGCAGGGGCAGGAGCGGCGTACTGGGGGGCGGCGGTGGCCACGGTGGCCAGGAGGGCGAGAACCACCTGTCCATGGTCAAACATATTCGTAAATATTCCAGTAATCGTGATGATTATTCACTTGTTCTAATAATTATTTTCAACTAAATATTGTAACGAAAAAATAAATATAAATACACACACACACACACACACACACACACACACCCACACACTACATCCTTGACCACCGAAGGGTCAAGACGTACCTGGCGCTCCTCTCGGAGCAGCCAGGTCAACTGTTAAGTTGGCCCATACCAACTCCCTCCCCTGAACCCTCCTCCCCACCGAAATATCAACAAGTTCTCGCCAGAAGTTACTATTTCATTTCGGAAAGGAATGGAACCAGTGTTAAACAGAGGTGAACAGTGGTGAACAGTGCTTAAGTCAGTGAGAACAACTCAACAGTAACAGTGGTACCCATGTTGACCTTCACACAGTGAGGTCCCAGGTACCCAGTGATAACGGCCCGTGAGACCCAACAACCAGAGATGTGTTAATCTGTCTACGATAGGAAGGCCTGGAACCACACCTCACTCATATAACACCATCTGTGAGGGAATTACTACACCACGTGAGGCCCCTCATAACACCATATGTGAAGGAGTTACTACACCACGTGAGGCCCCTCATAACACCATCTGTGAGGGAATTACTACACCACGTGAGGCCCCTCATAACACCATCTGTGAGGGAATTACTACACCACGTGAGGCCCCTCATAACACCATCTGTGAGGGAATTACTACACCACGTGGGCCCCTCATAACACCATCTGTGAGGGAATTACTACACCACGTAAGGCCCCTCATAACACCATCTGTGAGGGAATTACTACACCACGTGAGGCCCCTCATAACACCATCTGTGAGGGAATTACTACACCACGTGAGGCCCCTCATAACACCATCTGTGAGGGAACTACTACACCACGTGAGGTCCCTCCTAACACCATCTGGGATGGAGTTACTACACTACGTTTTTGCTGTTCAACACCTACAATAATATATATGTTCACTGTATGTTCCTTTACCTTTCTCTAATGAAGGCTTTTGTTAAACCACCAATGTATGTAATAAGTCATTTATGTCCAATGTATATTTTCAGCCTTCGGGCTGCTGAACTTTTTCAATAAACCGTCAATTATTATTATTGTTATTATTACACACCAGATGACCGCATATTTCCAACAAGTTCGGAAATCTATTAGATTGTTGCAAAATCCTCCATTACCCTCTACGTCAATCATATATTAAAACTCTAAGGCTGCATTTACACCAAGCCAGTCAAGTCAAGTCAAGTCAATCAAGTCATTTGACTTGACTTGACTTGACTCATTGCCGTTCACACCGACTGAGTCAACCTGAGTCAATCAGGACTCAGTACCCAGACTGATTTCGAGGAGGATGGACGCATATTCTCTCGCTAAATTAGCTGTTTTGTTGTGGATTCGGCGTCGTAAACGCAAGAGGGGGACCCGAATCTGGATGCATGAACTCAACACCAAAAGACCCAATTTTGGAAGCCTCAGTCATTTATTCCCAGACTTGGTGAACCATCAAGACAAATTCTACAGTTTCTTTAGGATGACAGTTGAAAACTTCAAAAAGCTGGTGGACTTGACTGGGTCTTCCATAAGGAAAATGTACACACCACTGCGGACTCGGCGTGACTGGTGAAGAAAATGGGCCCAACCCCATCTGTGACTTGATGTGACACGATGCGACGTGACTTGACTTGACTTGACTCATCTGGTGGGAATGGCTTCTGAGAATATACATTGGAGTAAATGTGCATTAGAGTGGCGATTCACGATGAGTCATGATTTGACGTGACTTGACTTGACTTGACTGGCTTGGTGTAAATGCAGCCTTAACTGAAATATATCAACTGCATAGCTTGTATTCATCTTACACTGAACTTGTATCATTAATTTTCATAGTAATATCCCCTCCCCCCCCCCAATCAAGGCACTGACTTACAAACTTCATGCTTCCTATAACTGTGAGACTGATAAACACAGGAGCCTCAAAGTATTTATAGTTTCCATCACCACAGTTGCCAGTTGGGGATATTCTGTTTAGATTCCGGTTCCTCCTTGATGCTATAATTCCTTGGCCGTGGGATCGAGGCTACCATCAGAGTTTTTGTTTACACAGTGAGGTCAGAGTTCATAGTGACATTTAAAAGTCATACTTCCGGTGCCAGTCTATGATTACATGTGTACGAATATTATACAGACGATGATCAAGTTTTTCTATATTAATGAATGTCAATTTTCGATAATAGTTCAATTTGCAATCAGAATGTCATCTAAGGTCGATTAGTACATGCATATTCATATCATACACTTTGTAGTAAATGTTAAGTGAATTTTACCCAGTTTTAAGTCTCGTGTGTCTTATTGCACTAAAATATACAACTCCTGAGGCCACTATTAGCTCCTCTACCTGTAGGAGAAATATTATAAAATAGTAAACCATAATATAATACAAGTGACTCTGCTTTTGTTTCAGCAACATACCTCTCTCTCCTCTCCCTTCTTCCCACTCCCTCTCTCTCCTGTCTTTCCTCTCCCTTTTACTCTCTCCTCTTCATCTTTTCCCTCTCATTTCTTTCCTCTCCGCTCTTTCTTCTTCTCTTCTCTGGTCCTTCTTCCCTCTTCATCTTTCCTTCTTCCCCCTCCCTCTTTCCTTCTTTCCCTTCCTCCTTCCCCTCCCCTCATCCTCTGTTAACCATACTATGCACTGTCTATCGTTTTCTAACAGTTACTTAAAAATCGTAATTGAAAGCGGAATCTATCCAGTAAACACTACTCAATAGAGTTCTACACCGACCTACAGTATGTAACCCTCAACTTCTGACAATCCCTTACTTGAAATACCTTTAATCTTACGTGAGACAGACGTTTTAGGGTTAGATTCCACAAGGTAGTCTTCTGAACCTTATCTGTTTATTTTGTGAGGGAAATTTAGACAGGTAGATGCCCACTCGATCTATAATACCACCAGACATGCGTTCTAAGAGTTGTATAATCAGGAAATGAATGGAAATGTGTAACTTTATCTGATTAGTACACCGAGAATCAGATAACAACAACAACAATAACAATATGACACAGAATGGAATATTAACATCATGAGGTTTTAATTTTTGTATTCCTTTATTATTTAACTTTTTTTTTAAGTTAAGTGTCTGAACAGTAAAGGTCTTCACGTACTGTAAAACTGTTTTATATCTTCAACTACAATATACTTAAAGACAATTTAATTCAGACTATAAGAAAGACACTAAGGTGAAAATATACCAATTGTTTATAGTAAAAAAATAGATAGAGAGTAAAATATGGTGTATGTTATGTGTGTGTTTTATAATTATTAAAATGTTTGAGCGTTAGTGGACATAATGGCATCACTGAGAGAGAGAGAGAGAGAGAGAGAGAGAGAGAGAGAGAGAGAGAGAGAGAGAGAGAGAGAGAGAGAGATGGCTGTAAAAAAATTATTGGCAAGAGGAATGAAACTATAAAATAATGGGAACTATAAAATAACAATAATAATGCTAACACTACAGGATGTTGTTCAGTGGATGGGGGAAATGCCTGACTCGTCTTGAACTGAGGGACTAAGAGCAGACTGGTCATTGGCCGTGAGGAAACACACTTCCCAGTCAAAAAAATCTTTAGGAATCTTCTTTTGAGATGACCAGGAGCTTTACTGAGTCTAATATAGTCGAATTGGTAATAATAGACTCTACATAGGACAAAAACCCTGATAGGATGATTATATGAAATTTGGTGACTTTTGAGAATCACATGTGAAAGTCAGGCGCGAACGTATCTAGATAATATAGTCTTAGTGTAATTAAGATGCTGTTTTCAGATCTTCTATTTAACTTTAGATTAAATTATATTCTTACATCTCCATTTACAGGGAATATTTATCGTTGAAATCTTTGGTAATCTTAAGCTTGTGTAATAAAATTCACAAAATGTCACACGTTTCACTCTCTTAGACCTGTCGATGCTCTCTTTAACTAGTTACCTATACTTGTCTTGGTGATAACTTGTAGTAATGTGACACCAAAAGAAAAGAAAATAAAAGAAATAAGAAAAGGTATTGTTTTATTATGAAACTGAAAGATGATCAAATTACTCACTCATAACACCCAAAAAAAAATAAAAATATAGATATGAAGTCTTCTTGCGTTTGTGAATGCTACGCGATGAAACCAAATGTGGATATTAACAAAAGATTTTATCACTGTTTACTTATACTTAGGAAGAAAATACATAGTGTAGACACGTGCCTATACTTTACTATGACCTGATGCTCGTGAGTGAAGTTTAATGGCCAGTTAAGTGACGGTTTAGGTAAGTTAAATGTGGGTTATATTCTGTCTCGTACTCCTCGTTAATGACTGCGACAGTGTCATTACCAATAAGTTAAAAGGGCACCTAGAACCGGATTATAAATATCTAGTTCATGAAAATATGTCAACTGGTGTAGTGACAGTATATATAAGATGGGAAGTGTGAGTCAAGGGACATACATCCTCGCCCCACCTACCAGCAGCATGAAGTTTGTAAGTGTTGACTATTATTACGTTTATATATAGTTATTGATTCATGAATATCTTACTATTAATGATCCTATAGTGTTTGACAAATACTGTGTTATATGAGTATTAGCAGTAGAGTAAGCGTATTGTCAGACGTAGTTACAATAAAATTTTGATATATAATTCTAAATACTGTACTATATCTGGTGCTCGGTTCACTTCTACACCATTGAAGGAATTGCATGACACAATATATATTTTGTTTGACACAAACGCTTTCCATAACAGGTGGTTCTCGCTCTCCTGGCCACCGTGGCCACCGCCGCCCCCCAGTACGCCGCTCCTGCCCCTGCTCCTAGTCGCTACAGTTCGTCAAGCAAGGAGGTTTCCATTATCAAGCATGACTTTGTACAGGGTGACTATGGCGGCTACCAACTCGACGTGGAGACTGGCAACGACATCGTAATATCCCAGTCTGGTTCTCCCGACGGACCCGATGGAGCTGTGGTCAAGACTGGACAATACTCGTGAGCATTATAGATGTACTGAGTCTTATTGCACACTTCAATGTTGGTAATGCTTTCTTGTTTATAATACACATTCACATTCTCACAGGTACATTGCTCCTGACGGCACACACGTCGTTGTGAAATTCGTCGCCGACGAGAACGGCTACCAGCCCCAGTCTGACCTGCTGCCAGTGGCTCCCGCCTTCCCCCACCCAATCCCTCAGTTCGTGCTGGACCAGATCGCCTTCGCAGCTGAAGAGGACGCTGCCAAAGCCCGTGGCAAGTCCGCCTCTTCCGCCAGCTACGGCCTCCCCACTTGATAGAACCATCCTTTAGAAACAGTCCACCTACAAGTACAGGAGTCAGGTGTTGTGACCATTGAGTGACGCCAACACCACCAGTTGATTATTCTTTGTTTTTTTCTTCTTACTATTATTTATAATACTACGAAATAAAAGACAGAACAAAGCAGACTTTTTATTTGGGAAACACAATTATCTACATGATTATACTCTACATAGTCATCGTTCAGGTACCTTATGGGTGATACAGGCCTATGGTATTATCAGCCACTTTCACTGCCTACCTCTGAACTGTTCTACTGTTGTTGTTGTGTTAATTGTCGTGAATTATTAAACATTCTTCTAACATAAGTGGTTTGTAAATACTATAAACACAGATCAAGAAATACAATACAATATATATGAACCCTTAAATATAATAATACAAATAAAGACTGGCCATTTAGATAGGGTGATACAATATGAAAAAGTAGATTTCTAACATTCATCTCTTCAAACGAGAGAGCAGCGTCAGTAAAGTAAAAATGAACCACACAAGACCATCCGTACCCCCCTTATATACGGTACTCGCAACATATTAGCGACGGTAAAATAATACACTAGTTTACCATAAGGAATAAACAACATAGAAGGAATTATGATCTATTATAACACTATTTAGGTAAATAGATTACTTCATAGAGATGAAAGTTAAACGAAAACAATTCTTGCGGTTCAAGATTAAGAAACATAACAGCAACAACGATTTTATTCAGTTGAGAGAAATCCCTACCAGTCAATGGGTTAACAACGTAATAAACAATGTATCTTTTTGGATTGGTTCGATGAATTTCAAAATGAACACTACGACTCATGTTTTCTCGGTAGGTTTGTCAAAATCCTTCGTCCGATGTCTAACACACAATTGAATTGAAACAGTTTATTTAGCGTTAAAAACACAGATACAGAGTGTATAATAATAACAATATTAACAGCTAACAAGTGGTGACATGATAAACAGTATTTAGATAATTCAACTGTGGAGTATATTTCCTAAGAGCTGAGGTCAGGTATTCCGAGTTTAGGAGGGTTGTGTGTGTAAGGAGCAGAGGTCATTCCCCTAAAATCAGTGCGAGGGAACGGGTGGGTCCACCTGGTAGTCGACGAAGATGGACAAGTAATTAGTTATCGGATACTGAAAGACTTCTCTGGATACGCCTGGGGTGAGGTGTTCCCAGTCCGTGAACCGTTGCTGGTTGAACATGTAAGTGGCTATGGACACCGAACATAACAGCATGAGGTAAAGGCTCCATGTTTTTGTGTTATGATGTTATATTTAATTTTAGATATTATTTTGAATTTTTTATGTGGGAAGGAATTAATATAAACCGCTATTTTTAAGTTTTTATAAAGTAACTGTAAAAGCCCTTATTAGGTGTATTGGATAAGCTTTGGTATAGTGTTAAACAGGGACAAGAAAACAACTGACGAGCAAAAACAATTAGTGTACGATAGAAAAATGTACCTTTGGATATCCGGGTTCTGTGAAGTTATGTGAATGATTGTTTCTAGGTCAGACGAAGCACAAACATGGTATCCTCGGCTGACGAAACTAACAAAAACCAAGAAAAATCGCTAAAGCAAAATCTAAGAAAAGTGGAATTCCTCCTCTTGGTTTTGGATATTCTTGAGGTAAGAAACAAGTTTTCTACTATAGAAATTTTTCGTAAACTTGATGGTTTTTGGGAACTGTGTGTTACAGTATTATAATAAGGGTTTTGATTGAGAGGCACGACTGTCAAGCCATAGTTTCTCGTGGTGACACAGTGGCAAAGGTTGGGTTGAGTGGTCAATCATTAGTCACGCCGTAGAGTTTTGTATCCCAATGGTCACTTTAAAAGCTGACAGTTGACAGACCATTAGTGATTTTTAGTCACAGAGATACGAAGAAACAGACATATATATAGGACCGAAAAAAGTATTGTGTCAACTTCACTCCTGTAATATTGCTCCATAAGTAAGAACACTCTTGAGTGTTTGAACTATTACGAAGACATTTTATCAGTAGTATTAAGTTGTCAAATAAGACTTGAAGAAACATTCAATATTTATTTTGATTTGCGCTATTATATACAGAACATAAATAAATAAACAGAAGCAATTCTTTCACACGGTGTTAGTTTACACACAAAAAGTCGACATATCTTCATTCGTCAGAGATCTTTTACTGGGGAGCACCGTAGCCGCGGGAGGGGGTCGACTTTTTACGGGAGTCCTCCTCAGCAGCGAAGGCGATCTGGTCCAGCACGAACTGAGGGATTGGGTGGGGGAAGGCGGGAGCCACTGGCAGCAGGTCAGACTGGGGCTGGTAGCCGTTCTCGTCGGCGACGTATGTTACTTCGACTGGGGTGCCGTCAGGAGCAGTGTAGCTGTATGTATGGAATAAGAGATATGTACATTAATAAGAGGCATCTTCAGAACATTGACGACATATATAGCAGCAAAACGGCCATAGACTAATGAACAAATGTTCTCTGTTGGGTATTTCATTATTTAAATCATGAGTATGACTCAGCAGGAACTTACGAGTAATATCCAGAGCTGGCGATGGCACCTTCGGCTCCGGGAGCGCCAGACTCTGAGACCTTAATGCCGTTGCCGGTCTCCATATCAAGTTGGTAGCCGCCATCGTCACCCTGTACAAAGTCGTGCCTGATAATGGGGACCTCCTCGCTAGAATCACCGTAGCGAGGAGGGTCAGGAGCGTCGTACTGGGGGGCGGCGGTGGCCACGGTGGCCAGGAGGGCGAGAACCACCTGTGGAACAAACATTCAAGAGTTAACAGAGAACACATTAAAGACGGGTTACGCTGATATTTAAAAAAAACGGTTATACAGATAGTTTACAGATAGTTTGTTTTTTACTATTGATTATATAAAGGTAGAATTACATATCAATAATCCCTACAATATATACAATAGGACAACATATCATTAAGCAACTGTCTACACAACCTACTATTCCAGCCCGACTCAGCCCGATATTAACAGTTCCTAAGTAAACAATATAGTACAATGTATTCCCGGACTTACAAACTTCATGTTGCTTGATGCGGGAAGATACTGATATCTTTTCGTCCACGAGCCGCCTTATTTATAGCGGTCGCTGATCAGTGAGTTGCCACTTGCGCTTCTCCCGGCGACTTTGAATCCGGTTTATGCGTGACCTTATATTTCTTTGTAGTTTAACTCTCCTGTTACAGTTTTTATGAGTATAATGATAATATCTTACACAGATTGTGGATAGTGTAAGAGATAACATGTCCTTCAACTCGACAATATTCCCCTTGAGTCTTCCAGCATGACTTAGTATAGCATTATGGTTGCACGCTTACACAGGCTGTTTAGATAAGTTTATTTACATTTTCTCATTATAGATATAAATATAGCCTGCACACGTGAGCTTCGTCAGTGTTCGATAACGTTTTAAAGTAATCAAAATGTCTATCCCGTGTACTTAAAATGGTATCTGTTGTGTGTTCAGTGACGTTATAGAGGTATTACTGTGTTTTAAATATTACGGTCTATTTGTGTGTAAGAAGTCAGAAAGTTTCATTGACTATTTCTTCAACAATTAAAAAATTATGAGACAGAACTCTATCAGTGACTCCTAGTAAACACAAAGTACTGGTATAATAAACTTTTTTCATTTATTCCCAACATTTACACAAAACATATGACGTTCTTTCATGTGAGTAAATTCGTGTTCTTGTCAACAAATTTTGCTTACGTTATGTCGTTTACTTTGGCGACACTTGTTTTTTTAGTTATATTCGTTGGTTTATGAGTAGTTTGGCACCATAGTAAGTCAGTTTTGTTTGTAATAGGTGTTTAAACATATTCATCAAGGTATTTCGGCGTTAAGTGTAGTTATCCGAGATAATCAGTTCCCCACGTATTGTTCCTACCTTTCAAGCACTACCGTAACTTTAGACGCATCACAAATATAACCAATACGTTACAGATTTATGAGACAAGTTAAAAATCTTATTAAAACTCTAAATTCAGTTTCGTGAAAAATTTGATAGCGAAGGAACTGACGTAATTACCAAAACAAACCAACAAATCGAGAACAAAAGAAAACCCTTCCACTATTGCTTTTTACACTTAACCCCTTCACTATAGGACGCCATTGTTAACATTTTATTTAACTAACACCGGACGATTTTATTTAGCACTAAGACTTAAAGTGAGGGTCAAAGACTGTTTCTCGTGGATGTTATTTCACTTCAATGGAATAATTTTTGAAGGTTCATGACTCTGTGTAGTATTTGTCCAGTCGTTTCGTCAAGTAGTATACACCCTTAAGTTGACGAGGATGTAGGATACTGGTGGTGTCTTGTGGTTGTTAACTGTGTGATGATGGTGTTGATATCTCATTACCATTCAAGATCTGTCATAAAACTGATACTCACGTTGTCTAAGCTGTCTCCTACGCTATTATACTCAGGTGTCGACCAGCTTAAGATACAGTATCTAACCAACGTATATATTACAGCTAAATAATGGACAGATAAAATAACCTTTGTAAGTTATTGGGTTAAATTTTTGGACTAGACTTCCTCGAATTTCATTACCTGGTTGTTGAAATAGTTTATTTAGCCAGAAAAATGCAAAATGGACAATAACAGCAATATTGACATGGTTGATACCCTAACATTAAACTTGGTATCCAGCTCTGGGTTGCCTGAGAGAAGATGTTTACAGAGTGTTTGTGTAATGTTGAGTCGAAGTCAGAACATCGTCGTCACTTAGCAGTGCTTGTTGTGGGGGGTCATATATGGGATGGCATTACTTGTGGGGAGAGGGTCATATAATATGGGATCTATATATAGTTGGTGAACGTTACTACTCATCCATAATTACACCTGAATAACATGGAATAACTCCCTATAAAGGAAATACAAATATGAGTGAATAGTTAAGCTCCCAAATCCACCCTTTACCTACATGGCCCTCAGGTAGGTCATGGTGCCAATAGTGCCCAGGCAATTTTGTCCTCAATTATACACTGAAGGAGTGACAACAACTGCTAATAAATCAGTTTAATGATACAGCTGTAACTTTGATTAATGAAAAGCCGTATTTTAATCACGAAATCAATGAACTTTTTGATTTTTGGTATGAAGAGACAGAATATTTATATATAATAAATCTACACAGAAAAGAAGATAATTATCACACAAACTTTATCCTGGTTCTTAAATGTTCATGATAAATTAAAATTATAAAAATAAAGTCATATATTGAACTGGTATCAAATTCAACTCTGCTATATGTGGAAATAAGGTACCTTTATAAGGTATTCAGGCTTGTATATAGCCGCGTCCACTAACAATAATATTCATTTCTGGAGTCTTGTTGTCCTAGATAAGCATTTACGATTTGTGTTTACCTATTCGTGTTTAATTCAAAGTGGGACGCCATTGATTTATTTACACAAACCAGGTTTTTTTTTTTAGTAAACTTGTAGATTGACCCCTGATTATTATTTTTTGTCCGTTTCTATTTATTTGGTGCAAATGATCATATATATTAGAATTTGTTTGTCGCATATACTGAAATCCCCCCAAGCGCTCGATAATGTTATTGACATTGGGAATATAGCAGGGATTCTGAAGCACTATTAAGAACTTGTATTAATAACGTGGGTATACAGTAAGCTATATTACTGTGTGTGTTCCTTTTACTTTGCTAAGTGGCTTTTACATCAGCTTAGCCCTAGTCTGCATTAACCAAGGACTAGATTCATTGTTTTAATACTGTATTAGACTAGACTATAAACAAATAGTCTAATATATCAAAGATAATGTTTTGATTCGAGATATAAATCTGCTAACTACTATATACTCTCTGTACACATACTACTGCTCTGAAGTGTAATGTGTTTTGAAGATAGAAACACTGCATTTACATAATTCATTTAATTTGCATTGACAAATAAATAACATAATACAATAAACAATAAGTTAGATGGACACTTCTATACAACGGAGACATGACTGTTGACCTCGGGGGAAGATGACTGTTTACTAGGGAGCACCGTAGCTGCGGGAGGGGGCCGACTTTTTACGGGCGTCCTCTTCAGCAGCGAAGGCGATCTGGTCCAGCACGAACTGAGGGATTGGGTGGGGGAAGGCGGGAGCCACTGGCAGCAGGTCAGACTGGGGCTGGTAGCCGTTCTCGTCGGCGACGTATGTTACTTCGACTGAGGTGCCGTCAGGAGCAGTGTAGCTGTATGTATGGAATAAGAGATATGTACATTAATAAGAGGCATCTTCAGAACATTGACGACATATATAGCAGCAAAACGGCCATAGACTAATTAACAAATGTTCTCTGTTGGGTATTTCATTATTTAAATCATGAGTATGACTCAGCAGGAACTTACGAGTAAGATCCAGAGCTGACGATGGCACCTTCGGCTCCGGGAGCGCCAGACTCTGAGACCTTAATGCCGTTGCCGGTCTCCATATCAAGTTGGTAGCCGCCATCGTCACCCTGTACAAAGTCGTGCCTGATAATGGGGACCTCCTCGCTGGAATCACCGTAGCGAGGAGGGTCAGGAGCGTTGAACTGGGGGGCGGCGGTGGCCACGGTGGCCAGGAGGGCGAGAACCACCTGTTTATTGAAAGTATAATTAGACAATTGTGTACCGTTAGTGAGGGGCATGACTAGCTCAGATGAAGTTTTTCTCAGTGAAAATCAATCCTGAATCTGCACTCCTTTTAATTTTTTAAATATCCTGTCCGCCATAGTGGCACCGTTTTAAGCATCTTCAACTAATTAACTGTTGCTGAATTGTCGTTCTTAAAACTTAGTCGGTAATCAAATAATCTAGACTACACATGTGGGGTGAGAATCCCAATGTATCTGATACTGTATATAAAAAGATGTCAGTTACTGTTTCAAGTTGGCTGAGCCTTATGAAGGTCATCAAAGGAAACTAACGGGTAACAGAAGCATTATTTAAGTAATTTTGAAACACTGAGAAGCTGGACTCATGACCTCTTTCAGCTCTGTCCATTATGCCACTGTTTTTAACCTCGGCCAACATTCTCTCCCCTTAATGTTTATAGCAGTGGAGGTCAGTCCTTATATGAAACAAAGGTAACCAGGAATGCGTCACAAGCTGCTATACTGATGAGTGCACTAGTTTCGTAGACCAAGGGAGTAGTGAGGACCTCTTGGTACGGAAGAACTCGGGTATGTGGGAAAGCTTATCTCAGTGGATGAGTCAGAAAAGTGCTCATACAGTTGGCTAAAGAAGCTAAATTTTTCAATCAGCTCAATATGATGCGTCCTCACTTAGCCGATTATATATCTCTATAACTGATGTGCAATATATAAATTACTCCAGTAGGAAAAACAATCCTTTCTGAATATTTTAAATAGTAATTATGGATAATAGTTCATGACTGAAAAAAAATACTAATACATTGTATATAGCAAGTCATTACTTATTAATATTTAATTTTCAATAATTTAGATGTTATATGAGCTTATTGAATTACCCATAATTGATTTTGCAGTCGATGTAAATTAAACGAAAATTTTTGTATCTTTGCTTTAGAAAATTATCAACACTACAGGGTGAAAGTCAACTCATTGGTAATTAATGATACTTCAGCACACACAGACTTACAAACTTCATGTTGGTCGATACTGGGAGTTTCTGATGCATGAGGTACCACGGTCGGCCACATATATAATACCAGTTGGTCGCCCAGCAGTTGCCAGTTGTGCTTCAGGTTATGATGTCTTGTCAACTCCCCCACGACCTCGGGTAAGTAGAGTAATGACTTTACTCCCTGTCTATCAGAGTTTTTGTGTGTATAAGGCGAGTAGAGAGAACCATTCTTGGGACGTGTGTCATTAATAGTACTGACTCGGAGATGAAGTTTATATGTATATGTTTATGCTTTATTAAATTGGGATAATTGCTTAATAGCGATAACTTTTATGCATCTTTTTTAAGGATCAATCTCTCATTAGCCATAGACGACCATGCTGATCATCATAATACATACAAACAAATAGTTTCGTAACAATCATAACCTAACCTAACCTAACCTAACCTAACCTAACCTAACCTAACCTAACCTAACCTAACCTAACCTAACCTAACCTAACCTAACCTAACCTAACCTAACCTAACCTAACGTTAAATATCCTAATTTAGGTACAATTTGGCTATTTTATTATGGCAAACGAAGTCTCAAATGAAACAGAGCAAATTTAACTAATATCTAACTAAATCAAATTAACTTGCACCAATTAAATAAAAAGGAGCATACATTTTCAGTAATACGTATATACGATAAACTGCTTCTATTTCACCATATTCCAAACATCTCAAGCCTTTAAGAGACCAATAAAGATCTTTGGTGAAAAACTGAGATAATTTCCTCTGACTACAACTGGATTTTGATCTCTCTTAAGACCCCTTATTAGTGTTGGCAGTAGTTACAGTAAGGCAGACGGAGCGACATAGCCAGATAACTGCTCCACCAAAACAGTCCTAACACTCGTGGTCCCTGGGTTAAGGATTTCGCCATTATCTTAGTGTGGTTTAGAGTTACGGATTCCTTCACGTTATCTGTCCTTAACCTTACCTAACTTTAACCTACCTTAACTCAATTTTAACTTAATCTAACCTTAATCTAACATAACCTTAACCTTAAACAACCTTAATGTAACCTCACCTAACCTAAACTAACCTTCATAACTCATATTTTAGCTGATCTATCGTGAAATACCTTAGACTCGTGAAAGTTTATTCTTACATGAAGGACTTGTAAATCGAGACGAATATCCCAAAACGAGTTGAGGATCTGGAGTAAAATCTCTCTTGCTAAGTAAACACATCTTGAAGGAGGAAGACTCGATTCTCTCTTGCTAAGTAAACACATCTTGAAGGAGGAAGACTCGATTCTCTCTTGCTAAGTAAACACATCTTGAAGGAGGAAGACTCGATTCTCTCTTGCTAAGGGAACACATCTTGAGGGAGGAAGACTCGATTCTCTCTTGCTAAGGGAACACATCTTGAGGGAGGAAGACTCGATTCTCTCTTGCTAAGGAAACACATCTTGAGGGAGGAAGACTCGATTCTCTCTTGCTAAGGAAACACATCTTGAGGGAGGAAGACTCGATTCTCTCTTTCTAAGTAAACACATCTTGAGGGAGGAAGACTCGATTCTCTCTTGCTCTAAGTAAACACATCTTGAGGGAGGAAGACGCGATTCACTGGATATGATTATTTTCAGGTATAGTCGAGGCAATCTTTTCCACAATGGACTTATCCCATCCCACTTCACTTGTTTTTGACCTGATGGGGTTATAGTGGTCATAAACACTCTCACACTCTCATGAGCAAGTTACCCTGAGCAGAGATAGCACAGAGTGTAATGCTTTACCTGTGAATACTAATTTAAATTTACTTTTCACAACTAAATCCTACTGACGGAAGACCATGAATGGCCTCAAAATTACTTCCTATTATCAAATCATATACTAATATTTGCGTCAATTCATCACAACAACTTTAATTATGAGAATAAAATAATGATCATAAGTAGGAAGTTCTCGGTGAAATAGGAACATAATAACAATATTTGTAGATAAACTTGTTCAATATAAATGTAAAAATGGGAGAGATTAATTCTTTTTATTATAAGAACCTAAACGGGAGACTGTGAAAGTTGAGGAGTGTGGAGGCTATGAGGTGTGTTTGGTGTTCAGACTGAGCAACACTATCTCCCTTTGTTTTTCTTAAGAGCGTCCTGAACTACTCGATGGGTCAACATTGTGTTCTGGAGGAGACACTGATACGTTGATGGTTCTGATGTGTAATGAACAGAATAGTCTCCCTAGTCGAAGGATCAGAAGAGCACTAAAATACAATGAGTAAAGTATAATAGAAATTCACTAGAGATTCAAGGATTTGTTATGACTAGCACAGGGTAGATGAGAATGTGTCATGTGCAGATACGAACTACAGGATCAAACTCGTCTTGGTTATCTCTTAATACGGCAGAGTAATACAGTAACTTTTTTATGACAAACGGTATAATTAATTTAGTAGTGGTACAAGATGTTGGGAGCCACGGTAATAATGAAGACTTAAGGATCGGGTTTTTTTATTATTAACCTGAGATCGAAGAAATTACTCGGTATACTCATGACTGCCATATACACACCCTCATCGTGAGTCAAGATAAGATACTTCATATTTAAAAGGACAATCAATTAACTCTATAATCATGATTCCTTACTTGTACGTTACTTAAATTGTATGATTTTTTGTAAACTAGACTGACTTGATATATTTTCCAAACTTTCAAATAAATAAATTCGTGACTTGGAAGGAACTTAAATAAAATTAATTCTTAATACTCGACGTCATTCTGCTACTTTCTGTTCCTTGCGTAATATTGAACAGTTGTTTCTTACACGTCTGTGACCTCAATATATTTCGGAGAGATAAACACTATAGAGAATTATCAACTTATTTAATTTGCATTGACAAATAAATAACACAAGACAATAAACAATAAGTTAGATGGACACTTCTATACAACGGAGACATGACTGTTGACCTCGGGGGAAGATGACTGTTTACTAGGGAGCACCGTAGCTGCGGGAGGGGGCCGACTTTTTACGGGCGTCCTCCTCAGCGGCGAAGGCGATCTGGTCCAGCACGAACTGAGGGATTGGGTGGGGGAAGGCGGGAGCCACTGGCAGCAGGTCAGACTGGGGCTGGAAGCCGTTCTCGTCGGCGACGTATGTTACTTCGACTGGGGTGCCGTCAGGAGCAGTGTAGCTGTATGTATGGAATAAGAGATATGTACATTAATAAGAGGCATCTTCAGAACATTGACGACATATATAGCAGCAAAACGGCCATAGACTAATGAACAAATGTTCTCTGTTGGGTATTTCAGTAAATAAATCATGAGTATGACTCAGCAGGAACTTACGAGTAAGATCCAGAGCTGGCGATGGCACCTTCGGCTCCGGGAGCGCCAGACTCTGAGACCTTAATGCCGTTGCCGGTCTCCATATCGAGTTGGTAGCTGCCATGGTCACCCTGTACAAAGTCGTGCCTGACAATGGGGATCTCTTTGCTTTCTGAACCGTAGCGAGAAGCAGGGGCAGGAGCGGCGTACTGGGGGGCGGCGGTGGCCACAGTGGCCAGTAGGGCGAAAACCACCTGTGTATTGAAAGTACAATTAGACAATTGTTTCTAAGGGGCTCGACTACCTCAGGTGGCAGCAATTTAACTTTAGTTCCCGTTTTATGACAACTGTTTTATAAATAACTTTATGATATCCAACAGATGATTATTATAATTATTTTTATTTTCATTTTTTATTATTATTGCTATTATTATTGTTGTCTTTTCGGTTCATTTCCTTGAGTTACTGAGCAACAATTACAATATGATTCACATTAGCCATGAACTACTTTTTACTCTCCCTTCTAATCATAAGCTGTTGACCTGTGGCTGTACATCCACGTGCTAATCTCTATCATCTAAATTACACATCAAGGGAACAACAGTTACTGATATATATTAAACACGAGATTGTTATCAGTTACAGCGACAAGTTGGTTGGTGTAGGCGAGGTGCGTTAAATGTATGTTATTAAGGATGGAAAATGTCATTCAAGTGCAACTGAGAGAAGTGGTTACATGACTCACGTTAAGGCGCCTTGACCCCTCTCCACTCTACCACTGTGATGACCTTAACCCCTCTCCACTATACCACTGTGATGACCTTAACCCCTCTCCACTATACCACTGTGATGACCTTAACCCCTCTCCACTATACCACTGTGCTGACCTTAACCCCTCTCCACTATACCACTGTGATGACCTTAACCCCTCTCCACTATACCACTGTGCTGACCTTGACCCCTCTCCACTATACCACTGTGATGACCTTAACCTCTCTCCACTATACCACTGTGATGACCTTAACCCCTTTCCACTATACCACTGTGATGACCTTAACCCCTCTCCACTATACCACTGTGATGACCTTAACCCCTCCACTATACCACTGTGATGACCTTAACCCTCTCCACTATACCACTGTGATGACCTCGACCCTCTCCACTATACCACTGTGATGACCTTAACCCCTCTCCACTATACCACTGTGATGACCTTAACCCCTCTCCACTATACCACTGTGATGACCTTAACCCCTCTCCACTATACCACTGTGATGACCTTAACCCCTCTCCACTATACCACTGTGATGACCTAGACCCTCTCCACTATACCACTGTGATGACCTTAACCCCTCTCCACTATACCACTGTGATGACCTTAACCCCTCTCCACTATACCACTGTGATAACCTTACCCCCTCTCCACTATACCACTGTGATGACCGTGACTGCCATTACTAAACAATATGTTGGCGGTGTTTAAACAGGTCAATGCACTTCTTTTCTGACCTTACTGATTGAAATAACTTCCTTGAGGGATATATATCAAAACACTTGTTAACTCAGACATGGAATAAATTTTCTCCTTCCTTGGTTTATTCTATTAACTATCATTGATTAATTATCATATATAACTCTCTATCACTTGTGTATTAAATGCCATATAGACTAGTTAAATACTCTCTATCATTAATCGCTATTAATTATACAACAAGATTATCAATTAAGGACATATTATGAAGACCCCACGATTAAGA